TGTCTTAACTTTAATTTGCATTTTATGTGCTGCACTACTTTGTAATTGAACTTTAAGTGGCGCTTTCGGCGGGCTCCGCAGTGCAGCGATGCAGGAAAAGCCATTTCGGGGATTACGCTTTCGGCCAGCTTAACTAGCCAACGAAATTTGGCCATTTTACGAACAGGGGAAGTCTGGCTAGGGGCTTTCAATCAAAATTTGAATATTATTTTAATTGGAAAATTATATAATGGAAATGGGTACTTAATATATAACTCATTGTGGAAGCCATCTTGAGTGGGTTTCTAAAACCACTTGAATAAAAAAAAACAAATAAAAAATGCCTAGAAAAAGTTATACATTCAATTAAAACGTACACAAAAAAGGATACATTTTTGTAAGTTTATCTGAATATTTATCTAAATATTTATATTCTTCATACTATGCAACTAGTTGCAGGATATTATTTAAAGCTTTATATCAATTGTCGAATTTAATCTGGCATTAAAACACTCAAAACATTTTTCAAAACATTCCCAATCTTTGCCAAAATAATCACTAAAGTTTTTAAAATTTGTATTACCAAAAACAAAAAAAATCCAGTATCTATTCTGTTAATTGAACGTTTTTTCGTTTGGTGTTCATATTAAAACAGTTTGAGCATGACTTTTTTGCTCTTTTTTACTCTTTATCGATTTTGAATTCAGACTAAATCGAAAATAAAAACCATAAACCATTGGTTTCTGTGACGCTCCAATTTTTTCCTGTTTAAAAAATCCATTCTTTTTTTTCCCCAAAATAAAAACAGGCATTCAACTTTTTTATATAAATTATATTTTATTTAAATACATAATTATAAATTTTTTACAAATACATAAATAAATAAGTTATGACAAACACTATTTTACAAGACAAAATCGGAACTCGGTTGTACAAGATACAAGATACAAGCTACAATTAATATCAACAAGTGGTGACGCGACGGCTGTGCGTCTTCAATTAAGTAACAACAATTGTGGGCCGCTGATGAGTGGGTCAACAGGTGTAGTGGAGTGGAGTGAAGTGAGGGGGCGCATAATATATATATAACAAAAAGTAACAGGTAACCAGAGAGGCAATCGTAATAAATAAAAGTGACGACGCTGATAGAAACGATGACGAATGCCGCAATCGAAATGGTTGGGGGATGGCTTCTGTTAGAAGTGGAAAACGAATTCGTCGTCGGAGGAGGAGGATGTTCCAGAGATATTCGCCTGGTAGCCAGTCACCTCCTGCTCCTCCTCTTTCTTTTCATCCTGCTGCTCCGTTAATCATTGATAGCTCTGGGTGATCTGTTGAATCCAGGGCAGATAGGCGGAGACCTTGACGTAGACGCCGGGCACATTAACCTGACCGCATCCGATGCCCCAGGACACCACTCCCACCACGTGCATGGCTCCGTTGCGATCGCAGACCAAAGGACCACCGCCATCGCCCTTGCAGGCATCCTTGCCCTCCTCTCCGCCGGCGCACACAAATCCGGGATTCAGTTTGTAGCTATAGCCCAGTCGGGTGTTCCTCAGCTGCTGCTCGCACTGCTGGTGCGACAGAATCGGCACATCCACCTCCTTCAGGATGTTCTGGTACTTTCCGTGCTCCCCAAAGGCATCCTTGCCCCATCCCGTTGTCCAGCAGCGGGCGCCAGTGAAGTCGGAATACTTGTCGGGCAGACAGGCGGGACTGATGTGGGGATTCTTGGTGAAGTCCACGGGCTGATCCAGTTTCAGAACGGCCAAATCGTTGTCCAGAGTGCCGGCATAGTACTCGGGATGGATGTGCACAGAGACCACATCGCGTTCGATGTAGGGGAAGAACTCCACGTCATGGTTGACATCCCATTCGCCCAGGCGCACACGCAGATCGAAGCCATTTTGACTGGAAGAGAGAAGCAGAAAGGTTAATTCACTGATTAGAGATAGTTTCAGGGTTCGTAAATTGACACAAATGTTAAAAACTTGAAAAATTGTATTTTACAGTGTGAGCAACATTGTTGACATGTGTGTCAAATACAAAAGTGTTAAAATGTGAAAAACAATTTTTAACACACTTGTTTTTTTTACACAAACGAAAATTACATTTCACTGACATTAACGAGTCAAAGGGAAATTGAAAAACCAATATGGGCCAAGATATCTTATATGTTAGTTTTAACCATTTCAAAGCATATATGAATTCTTATACTCTAGAAAACCGTGAATTTTTCAGTTCAACATACAATTCTGACACTTTAATGTCAAAAACTCATTGTGTTAAAAACACGCCCTGTAAAAAACACGTCGTGTTAAAAAAACCCGTCATGTAAATAACACAAGTGACATGTGTGCGTTATTTATGTTTCTAACATATGTAGGAAACAATTTTTTACACACAAGTCAATAACTTTTTTGACATTTAACATGTAAATAACAAATTTTTTACAGTGCGTGTTATTTTCCGAACCCTGTATAGTTCCTCGACTCCAAAACTTACGATTTAATGCAATGGGCAGCGGAGATGATGTGCTGGGCGTCGATAAGGGTGCCACCGCAGGCGTAGATCGATTCCTTGGGGTCCTTCTTCAGAATGGCCACATGCCAGGGATACTCGCCGAACTCGCTGTCTCCATCGACATAGACGGGATTCTTGATGCGACCGGTGATGCCGGCGGCATTCCTCACGCCACAGCGACCGAATTGCTGGGGAGGAGCCTGGGGACGCAGTGGACGACGGCAGCAGACCTCGTTGATGCGGCAGGTCTTCTCCACGGGTCGGTTGCCATAATAGGCGCGCTAAAAAATATTAACAAATAGATGGGAAGTTAGCTATGAATCGAGAGAGTTACGGACTGATGTTTCTGAGACTTTAAAGACACTAATCCTTGATCAACACATGGTTACCTGCTCCTCGGGAGCTGCTCCCGCCCACACACCACCATCCTCAACGCTCCGGCGCCTGCGATCGCGGGGGAATGTGATCCTATCACTGCCTGCAGCCTCGCCGGGGGCAGGAGTGGGTATGTTGTAGAGCGGTCCCAGGTTCAACTGCTTGCCACGACGACTAGCGGGATTCCCATCTCCTCCGCTCACATTGGCACTGCGTTCCACATGCTGCGAGTACTCGCCAAAGTCCCCGAAATCGGGACTTGAACCGGGGTATATCGAGTTGAAGGAGCTCTCGTAGGGAGCAGGAGATTCGTGGTGATGATGATACTGCGTAGGCCCACTGTGGTACTCAAAGATCGGAGTACTCGGCACCATTTCCACACTGAAATGCGGACCGGGACCAGATCCTCCATAGAAGTGGGGATACGAGTGGTGGTCATGATGATCATGGTGACCATGGTGATCGTAGTCGTGATGCTCATAGCCACTGTAGTGATCGTGGTGGTGATAATGAGTGCTATATGCTTCCGTGGGCTTTCGCTTGAAGAAATCTCCCACTTTCTGGATGAGATTAGCATTCGGGGTGACATGGAGATTGACCAGTGGCTTCACCACCTTCTCGCCATACTCCGTCTTGGCCACCTGGACCGAAACCAGTGGATTCACATTCACCAGACCGAGATTGAGGCCATTCGGACCCACAGAACCGAAGTAGGGGTTCTGGCCGGGCACATGATCACCCAGGACATTCGAGGGATAACCTCCATAGCCCCCGGTGGGATAGGGAAGACCAAAGCTCACACCATAGGTGGGCAGCACTTTCCGTTGGATCAGCTCGATGGCCTGGAGGGCGGGCAATGCCAACGGGGATCCTCCGAGCGGCGACTGTCTCTAGTTTATTTTTGAAAGGGGAAACAACATAAGAAGGCTACAGGTGGAGTTCCATTTGCCGGTGGCCGGATGCATGTTGCATGTTGCATGTTGCAGGTTGCATGTTGCAGGCGTGCGATCACTAAGGTCGTGCTTGGTTAGCTGGTTTAGTTCTGGGTTTAGTGACTTGGTCTAATCGGAACCGCTTTAGTTGAGCTTGGAGCGTTGAACGATGGGTGCAGTTGTCAGATTTGTTTGATTGGTTGATTGATAGGTTGACTGATTGATTTATTTGGTTGATTGGATGTGTGTGTGGGTGGGGCAGAGAACTCGATTAGTGGTCCATGTGAACCATGTGTGATTTGGCATTAGTCGGGCACTACCTAAAACTAAGACTAGGGTCTTCTAATAAACTTACCCCTTGAGCATCGAGCGACAGATCGCTGGCCTCCTCATCCTTCTGCTCATCAGCCTGGCGACGAGTGCGCTTCTTGTCATCCTTGTCCGACTTCTCCTCGGCCTTCTTTCCCTCCACGGGAGCAGTGGCATTGGTGGACAGAGCATCGTCACTTAGAGCTTCAATATCCTTGCCCAGGTTGCGGGGATCGATGGGCAGAATGAGGTCCTCCTTGCGTCCAATGCGATCGGCGGCGGGGCACTGGGAGATGGGCACACACTGGCAGTCGACGATCTGCTGGCGGGCGGTGTCATAGCCACCCTGGTATTGTCCTTGTCCTAGTCCCTGTGCCTGGTAACCACCTGAGATGCCATTGTACTGATTGGAGGCACCGCCCTGCAGTTCCTTCTTGTAGTAATCGGGGTTCTGGCTGTGGTAGCTGGAGCTGGGCGAGCCACTGAATCCTCCCGAGGCGCTGTTGCCAAAGCTTCCCAGTCCCGAGTTGGGTTTGTACAGATCCCCGGTAGGTTTCTGCGAGATCCCGAAGCCGTTCTGGGAAAGGAGTCCGCCCTGAGAGGCGCCATTGAAACCGGCATTGAAGGCATTCGACTGGGAGTAGCCGGAAGATCCGGAAGAGGTCTGAATCGAAGGAGTGTAAGTGGCCGAGGATTGAGCCAGAGCACTGAAGTCCGTGTTGATGGTCTGGCCGGCTCCAATGGGAATGGGGACGCTGGGCACCTTGGCTCCCTCGGCTCCCTCCACATGGTGGTAGTGATGGTGCACATGCTGCTGCAGGGCATCGAGTGGTGCTCCCACCACCACCTTGGTGCTGGAGGAAGTGGCCGACGAGGAGGAGGCGGAAGACTGCTGCTGCGAGTAGAAGCCATTGGGAGCAGACTGGGCACCCTGGATGCCACCCTCAGGGTTCTCAAAGTTATAAGGGGGAACTCCATTCGAGGAGCCAGTGAAAACGGGTCCAGATCCGGTGTAAATGGGTCCCGGTGGCTTGCTGTCGTAGATCAGAGCTCCGGGTGGTGGCTTCGTGTAGGTGATGCCGTCCGAGGAGCCATCGATGGCGGATGGTGGAGGATGCTCCAGATAGCCGCCGTTTCCGGTTGGCCTATAAGGTCCAGACATTGGCTTGTAGGGTCCCTCGTAGCCCACCTTCCTGGGAGGTCCAAAGGAGTTCAAGGAACTCGGAGGAGGTCCAAAGGAGCTGGGCGGAGGTCCGTACGATCCGGGAGGACCTCCCATTGGCGGACGACCACTGAAGTAGCTGGGTGGTGGCATGGGCTTGGCTGGACCATAGGGACCACCGGCGAAACCAGATGGTGGTGGAGGACCTTGGGCATAAATGGTCGAGTAGAAGGGACGTTTCTCCTCCACGTCGCAGCTCATGAGTCCCAAACCACACAGCTTATCCCTGATGAGATTGCGGGCCTGCAGATCATTTCCCTGCTGGAGAGCCTGATCGATGTTTCCATCGGCATAGACGGCATCGTATTCGCCCAGGTTGCGACCCTCCCGGCGGGAGTTGATCAGCTGTTCAATGACCTCATCGATCTGGGTGGTGCTGTTGCTCTGGATGGACTCGTGGACCAGGTAGCGTCCCTGGATGTCCGCTTGCTCGGCGGGTTTGGTATCGACGGATCTACGGCTGGGTGTGGCATCCTCCATGGGCGCCCACTCGTTGCCCCAGCTGGACTCCTCGGCGGCCAAGGAGGCTGTGGCCAGCAGTACAACTGCCAACAGGCTGGCTCTTATTCTCATGGCGAAATCTGAAAATATTTTAAAGATGGATAGGCTTTAGAAAAATATTCTTTTAAAGTTTGATTCCTATTTAATTGAGATACACGATAATATTCTAACTAGAGTTTGAAAATTATAAATATTTGGCAGTATTGATATTTTCGAAACTTTTATTATCGATAATATCGATGTTTTCAAGGAATTTAAAATCAAATTTAAAAAAAATGATTATCGGCCCTGTTCTAGTTTTCACTTCCGAAAGATTCACACGGATTCGAATTTCCCAGACCTGTTCCAAGACTCACTTCCGAAAGAACTGCACGAAATCGAATTTCCCTCTGTTGTTACTCTGTTAACTTCCGAAAAATTCACACGGAAACTTTCCGCCAAGCATATGACAGGCGGATTTAAATTCGGCAGTATAAAAATTAATTATTTAATTAAACTCTGCGATAGCTATATAAATCAATAATATTTTTATGCTATTCCTTGATGTTTTATGTTCCTAATTGCATCATCGGAATCGAAATTATTTGCATATATGACTTATTAATAATTATTTTGTGGTTGCACCTTAAAACCCGGTAAATTCTAGCTATGACAATTAATGCAAATCCGCCGCCCTTGTTCTAAATTCCGCTCGGATTTGGTAAAAATGGCCTAGAGTTGTCACGGTATGGATATAAGTTAGTATTTCCTTAGGACTTATTCTAAACTTATCCGATAAGGTTAATGGTTCTATTATAAGAAAGATAATTTATCCTAATTAACGAAATAAGTGTTTTGGCTCGGAATACCACATTATTACATGTGAAATTTGAACGGAGACATTTGATAGGGACTTTGTTTTTCGACTTTGGCATCTCTGTATGCTCTTGCAGTTTGCAATACTATGATTCCCCACACTGATTTTTAATACTATTCTGTCGGGAGCCTTTCAAAACTGCAAAGGGACCAAAGGGAAATATTATAAAATGTCCCTAACAAGTAAGGGAAATTTAGTACTGTTAATGGGAAATCCGATAATGTTAACAAATTCACTTCCGAGTGAAAACTGGAACAGGCCGGTATAATTCTGTTCATAACACGTATTATTAATATTAATATTAGAAAAAATCGCGGTTAATTTATTGAATTTTATTTTCCGGTTCTCATTGTTACAATACAGTTCGTTATGCTCTTTCAGACTAAAGGATCCACCTCTTAAGAATTCGTGGTTGATTTATTTTTTAACATTGAGTTGAATTGCGTTACCCATATTTAGAAAGGATTCAAAATAACAGATCATCATCTTATGAAATTGTATCAAACTGTTGACAAACCATCAAATTTAATCACTTCTTCGCCTTTTATTTTGAGTGGAAAATAAATAAAGTGGTTTAGTCATGATCGGTTATGACATAACTGGCGGGCTTGACACCATTACCCCAAGTCATTGTGCCAGTTTACATTTCTCCTGCCATCTTCGGCTTAACCAATCCGTAACGAAACCGAATCCGAAGCCGAAACCGGTTAACATCACGAAATCTTCACCGTGACTCAGACTCTCGTATAAGACTTTTACTTTCGTTGGAGGTCGCAGACCGTCGCACTTAATTGCCCGATTTCGTACGTTACTTTTTACAGAAAGGAAGGAGGGAGGGCTAGCGTAATTTATGAGGTAATTTTCCTCCAGATTTAGCAAGCCTACGACTGCAATCCCACTGGCGACCATCGCTCAAGTTGATCTCTCGCCCTGACAGCCGCTTTCCGCTTCGTGTATCTTTTATTTTGTAAAATTCACTTTTCTTTTCAGCCTGTTTTTATGGTCGTTTGCATTGCAGTTATGTCACCGGCTCAGAGCGAGGGCGGATTTGGTAAAAGATCGGCTACACTTTGACAAAAAATGAGTCTATATAATTTGGATATGTAGTGAAATTGACTAAGGTAAAATTTAAATAATTAATTGTAAATGAATCGTTGTAAATAAATATTAAATGTTTCAGTAAATATTTTGACTCCAATTAGATAAAGATATTACTTCTGGACTAATGGGATTTAAACAAATTAATTTACGTTCTATGAAGTATGTACTAATATCAAAATATATTTTCTGTTAAATATTTCAGCTTGATTTTTTCAAGTGCTTTAAAAATGTATTTTCAAGTTATGTAAATGAATCTTGGGATTACTATCCATTGCTATCTTTAAGCCCCGTTTTTTGGACGGAAGTTGTGTGCAGCGTTGCATTGCAAATTGCCGGCAACTCTTTTGCTTTGCTTTTCTTCGGCGAGAAATGCTCGTAAGCGATGCTAAATGCGGATTGGAGGGGTTTGGGAAATTTTTTTAGGTTTTTCCTTTGTATTCGCAGTGAAAGTTTTGCTATTTCGATTGGCTTGATGACGGCGAGGCTCTTGGCCAAGAGTTTTTGTTATACATTATATAAAAATATATAGCATCCATAATTTTATCTGCTGGAGACTCACAATTAATGGCAACTAATTTTAATTAGTTTGAGTTCGGTTCACTTGAGTTCACTTTCGGTAATTTGCCACACTTCACTCACCTTTTTTATGTCAAGTTTAATAATCCAATTGGGTAATTATCACTGTTGTTTTGGATAATCCTTATGCAATTTATGGAGTCTGTTATCCTTTCACTTCACTCACTTTCTGCACCGATTGTGCTTTTCGTTGGTCTGCAGATCGTTCACTGATTTCGCTTTCGTTGGCCGCGCACATTTTATACAAAAGCTGCGCATGCGCAGCGTCGACGTCAAGCTCCAACGTTTCGCTGTCTCTTTCTGGTCGACTCTCCATCTCTCTTCCACTCGCAGACCGCCTAAGTTTTGCGAATCGGTAGCCCAAAACAAAAGAAACAAAAAGCGGCAACGGCGACAATGTTTGGCAACCTCTCTTTCTTGGTGTTGATTTTTGTGGGCAATCATTTTTCGTCTGGGTTTTTTTCCTCAAATCCCCAATTCTGCCAAACTACTGGAGGTCACTAAACGAGGGTCTAGGCGGAAATATCACTTAGGTAGCTTCATTATCAGTGAGAAAACCCCAAAGACCCACAAACTATCACTTCGTTTATAAGAAAAACATCTCTTAAAAATTAGTGCCTATGTTAAACATCCAAATTGGTTTTGGTTTTTTACGATTTTCAGGTGGGGAGCTTTGACCAAATTTTAAATAACCAAATTTAGCTTCCCGGAAAGGCGTTGCTTGAGAAACCGGGATTATGCAATTCTGCAATTATGAATTGGGTCAGAGAGGAGCAACCGAATAATAAAAAAACAACATCATGAAAAGGGGCAAAATTGGGCATTGCCTCAAACCGGATCTTTTGGCATACATTCATCTTTCCCCATATCTCTTTTTTTCCTTGATATACGTATGTCTGCCTCTCTTTTCGGGTGCAGTTCAGTTAATATCGTCTGGTTTTTAACCCATGGCCAATGCATACGTCATCAGTCGGTCGGTCGTTTTGCTTAATTTTCAAAACCCAGCTCGCTGTGAATCAAAAATCGAAAAGTGCCTTACGGAATTACCCGAAGTTCATAAAAATTAGAGACATTCCCCCCGACTTATTCACGATGATCACGTTCGCGTGCCACTACCTTAAATCCCGAACATTATCATGTTTGTGTTGTATGTTGTGTGTGGTCAGTGCTGTTTGAAGTGACTCTCATTGTGATTCAGTCGATCCAGTGGCTCCGACCTGTGTTACTGACCTTGGTTCGATGAGCCGGAGTCGTTTATCTAGCCCCACTTAAGTGGCGTTTTATGTTAAACATTCCAAGAAAGTTGATAATGAATAGATCTTCGAAAATTATGCTAATCACTTCGATTTGCCGGAGTTGTTATTGTCGCCACTCTGGGTGGTTTGGCAAACACCTTTCGGCTATTTGTTCGTGATTAATTCGTGGAGTTTTTATCAATCAGTGGCGTAGTTTTTGACCATCGGGTTTTCCATGACTCACCCGGCGAGCACTTTGGGCTTTTCGAGCATTGTTTGAAGGAGGTGCGTCGAACCTGATTCGCATCGTTTTTAATTCCGTTAATAATAGTTTGGTTTACCCTTTTTTTGGGCATATCGACGAGATGGAGTTTATTATAATGCCAAAGACGTTGTTAAGTTGTAAGTATATAGATAAGAATATGAATACGTTCTGGTAATAAATAAATTAAAAAACGAAAATAAAGAAATAAATAAATGAGTACATAAGCAATTCATAAAATTTTAATTCATTAAAAAAAATGTTTAGATAAATAATAGATATTGTTATAAAGCTTTTTTAGGGTTCAAGAAAAGACATCTAATTTTTATTAAAAGTTCTTTCGGTGGAGGTATTAAAAAAAAAAATAAATTTATTCAAGAAATGAAAAAAATATACAAATTTTTTGAATAAATTGTTAAAGCGAATAAAAAATTCGTTTAAGAATGTATTTTTTCAGTAGCAAACAAAAGGTCTCCAAACCAATTATATAAATATTTTAGGTAAATAATTTTGGTATTTTAATTGAGAATCTAGTTTACCTATTCAAAATATTGTATTCAAATTAATAGAGTATCATAACTGCGATTCGCTGTGACGCGAAATGATTTTCCTGATAAAAATAATTTTGTCAGTTAGCTGAAACTAAGCTATTGGTAAATCCCAGTGGCTGATGAACTGAACTTGAACTTGGACCTCGTCGGAGACATCTAATGCCAGGTGGAGAGTGTGTAATCCGATGGGGTTACAGGTTCAGGGGCTCGTTATTGGAACTTCATTCGATTTGGCATATATTTATATTTATGGAGCGCTCCAACTTTTTGCCCATTTCTTGGGCTGCAGTATTACAACATAGCCTATGTTAATTATGGGCAACTTGTTAATTGTTTGCCCAAATGGATTTGTGTGGGAATCGTGTTTGCTCCACTTTGTTAGCTTCCTCTGGGTGAAGCACTCTCCCTTTCTCTTTCTTGGTATACCCCTCTCTCTCTTCCACAACTTGTCGCAGTTCAAGTCCAAAAGGCAAAACAGAAAAATTGTCACTTGTTCAAGGTTGGACTGTCGACTCCCCGACTTAGATTTGTGTCAATTGCTCAACAAGTTGAGGTCTTCCACCCACGCGCTCTATTTGGCCAAAAACAATTTGGCAATCTCTTTAAGCCAACCATTATTTATTGGTTATGGATTTACAGCTTAACTTTAGGTGATATGTAAAGTCAAACCAGCTTATTAACAGTACACAAATGTTTTTGGGCGATTGGAGTTTTTAAATATACTTTATAAACAGGTTTAGTTTTTAGTTGAAGTAAGTTAAAATATTCTAGTTGGGTTTGGATCTTAAGTAAGAGAGAGCTTTTAATATTATTAAAAACAAAAATATTAATTTTTTGCCAGCGAAGTAACAAGTTGAGACTTTTGTTAAAATAAGTAAATGATTAAGTTAATCTGGAAAGAATTGGAAATACTTTTAATTAAAGTCCTGATTTTTGTTCATGTAGGAAATACTTAAAATATCAGCTTACAAATTTTGTAATAACCGTAATAATATTGGTTACAATATATTATGGTTACATTTTTCCCCAGTGGCTACAATTGCATTCCGGCTTTAAACAGCCCCTGCAATTGTGCCATGGATTTGCCCAAAATAAATTCGCCAATGCTGGAAAATCCCAAGAAAACCGAAAAGCGAAGTTAAGTCTTTGGTCTCGCATTGTTGGCCTATTCAATTCTTGATTGCTTGCCGGCTTCAACAGCTTTTGGGCCTTGGGGAAACCCCAGTCAAGTTTGTGGCTAGCATCGCTTGGCTGGATTTGCTTGACTGGATTGCATAATAATGCAGTCGAGTGCAAGGCAGTGAGCCGGGCCTATGATTCATATATACATGTATATTCGCAGTCGATTTGTGGTAGCTTCGATTTGGATTTCTTTGACTGGTTTATGCGCCAGGCATTCGAATGAGTTTTTCGCTTTTGTTTTCATCGCCGCTTCGTGTTTTGTTTTTTGTTTTTTGCGAAATGGCCTGTAATAAAATCGATGCGTATTTGTTGTATTATTGTAATTATTATAGTTGGCCAAAACCGTCAAGGTCGTTCACCCACATTGTGTGATATGCATACGGATGAGTGGTAGATGATTTCTTTTAAGGGCGGAGTGAGTCATGTTGCCAACAGACAGCTGTTGCTCCCACTTATTCCCCTTGGTTATTACATAATATCCCGAATTATTTCACCCGCATCAAAAAGCTTTTGTTGCCATTGCTGCCCTTTCACTGCTCTCTTGCTGCCTGGCTCATTTAACACGGCTTATTGTCTTCATCTCGGCTCAAAAATGTTTACCTACGAGCTCTGAACATTTGTGAATTAATTTGAAAACCGTTGCTTGCCACACCGGAAAGTTGAAAGGGGGCGGGGGTCTTCCGTTCTCCCCCTGGCTTTAAGTGAAAGCCTCTTCCAAAAAGTTGGCCCATAATTGCGCTTTAAGCTGAAACTTCTGGATTACATCAAATATTTAATATTGTTTTGGGCCGAGTTCTGGGAAAACTGATTTTGATTTTTGTGGCTGGCCACTTATGCTAAGTGGCTAGCCTTTTGATTTCCACACAGACGGAATTTCATTCGCCGCTTTCGGGATTTAAGTTATTAAATTCCTCGCAGACCCCCCAGGATGGCAGGTCCTTTTAGTGCCGTTCAGTCGCCAGGATGACAGCATAACGATGCATTCAAATGGCGGTTGGGATAGACAAACAAACCGATTACACAGCAGTCGAGCACCCAAATCACCCACTGTGCCAATTGAGAGTGCCCATATAACCCCAATCAGAGCCGAGACCCAGGGAGATGCAATGAACCCAGCTTTCAGGGGGGAGAGGTTTCCAATCCAATGGGGCCTTTCATTGTCCGATTCTTTGGGGCAGCCTTCTGGGAGGCGATCATCGTGAGCCCAAAAGGCTGCTACGCCGCACTGGGTAACAAAACCCATGATGACGATTCAGTCGATGATGATGATGATGATGATGATATGTAGGTGGTTTCAGTTAAAGCAGAGGAAACTGCGCCTCTTTCGAATTGCATCACTGGATTGCCTGCGTTTCCTGGTACTGACAGGTATTGAGTGCTGGGGAAAGACAATGCACTTGTGCATCAATCGATAAACAAAACGGTTCTGCCCACCTTGATGCTTTGACCTTAATGCAGGAGCCTTACAGACACACATCCGCCGTCTTGTGTAATCCGATAATGCCCAACTATGAGGGCATTACCCACCCCCTTTAAGCATTCTGCGTCATTTTCGCCCAGCGGGCTGTTCACACGGTTAATTGGCATCAATAAATCCTTCGGCGATTACATAACTTGGTTTTCAGTGCCCCTTCTTTGCCAGGAGTTGACCTTTGGCCTTTTCTAGGGTTCAGGGTCTTCAATTTCATTACTGGAAACTCTATTATCGCAGTCTTCAAAAAACAGAGAGGGGAAGATACATACATCTCAGGGCTTCCAATTGTTGTCTTTTGATAGGAGACGAAGCCAGGACAATTTCACACACTAGGTGAAAGTCCTCTGGGATCTTAGCTGGGTTTTCGGCTACTGACCCGGGGTCATTCCTATGGAAATTGATAAGAGTACAACAGCCTCCAAGGTCCTGGAAATAATGCCGAAACATTTGCGTACGGCACGTCAATCATCCCTGCACCAATGCACCCGAAAATTAAATAGATTTCGAGGATGTGTGCCATGAGATACTCATTTCTTTTCTTTGTGTAGTATTTAATTATTTAAATTATTTTAAATACGTGTAATAATTGTGAGTATTTGTTGTACTTAATTATTACAAATCTGATCACCTTTATTACAATAAATATCAAAATTGAACTTTTTAAATAATAAATCTTTTATTAAAAAATAAAAAAAAATAATTGTTTATTGTATTCCGGGTTCTAATCATTTGGATTTTTTATGTATAATAAGACTTCTTTTAACCTTAAATAAAAATAGTATAATAGCTGCGTGAGTAAATAATTTTATTTTATATTTTTTTATTTTATATTTTTTAAGATTTTTGTTGATAATATCCAACTAATTTATTTAATACTTGTTGAGTGCTTAAAAAAAAAACTTCGAAACTGCGAATGTTTCAATTTAAATATAAATCAGCTCAGGCCCTCTGTCCTGCCTCCTGAAATTCAATAAGCCCGCACAACATCCTTGAGAACAGGATACCAAAGCAGTGCTCACTTCGTGCGTTTGTTTGCTCATCTGGTGACGTCAGTTGAGTCATATTCCGCCACCCAACACTCAATCAGAAGTGCAGCGTAGTGCGAAATCTAATTGGCAGTCGTCTCCCCTGAATCCAGTTGGGATTAGCCTCCACACTCATCGCCTAATCGAATTCAAAACAATGTCCTTTTGAGGGGTTTTTGAATTTATTTTCTTTTATTGTTTAAATCGAATGTTTGGTAGGCCAATTATTTGGATTGAATCAAATTTAAGTATTCATGCTGCGAAGGGGGTTTACTTTCTGTACAGGGTGTTGGCTCCATCGAAGAGCGGATAACTCCAGGTGGGATAGTGCAAATAGGTGGTCCTCAAGGCGGGGGTCAGCAGGGGTGTAACCCTGGGAACACTGCGATGCACGATGGTGGAGCTCTGGTGGGACACGGCGGTGGGCACATGATCCACCAGATGACCCACCCTGGCCAGAGTTGGTTGGTGGTGCAGGGTCATCAGGGGATGGTAGATTTGCAGCTCCGATCTTCCAAGTGCCAAAAGGCAAAGCAGGAGAACAAAGGATAAATTCTGCAAGATTATCAGGGGGTTATTTTATAGTTAAATATTTTATTTAATTTCTCAATAACTATTCTTTTTCACTAACCATCTTTTGTGACATCTTCGTGGTTCAGTGCACTTCACTTGACTGTTGTTCGCTGGCCAGCCAATCCTCCGCTTTTATAGTCCAAGATTGGTGAATGGACCAACCATTCTAAATGAGTGGTCCCAGCCCTTGAACATGAGAAGAGCTTGGGCGTTAACCCAGACCCTGTGTCAGCCTAATCCTCCAGAGATCTTGATTGCACACAATCGGGGAGTTCAGTGGGAACCGAGGAGGCGAAGGGGTCGGATGTGGCATATTTATTGTGGTCGTGGGCTGGTCTCTGTGTTAACTTTATTGATTTCCTGTCGTACCAACAACGCCCAAGAATCCAAGCCAGGCAAGTGAAAATGAAATCTGCGCACAATACGCAAAATGCAGGACAATAATTTTACATAAGATGGCTAAAGACATGGATTTATAAGGGTTACGAGTGGTTAAATGTCTTTAAGAAATAATTGAAAATATTCGAAAAGAATTTGAAGCTTTAATTTTGTATAATGAACCATGACAAAAAGTTCGTTAAATGCAAACGCGAAATTTGTATTAAAATTTGTATGAAATTCTGCAGAAATGGCAGAAGAAAGAAGAGATAGATAGTTCGTTAAAAGCAAATGGGAAATTTTAATTAAAATTTTACTACAGAAGAATTCTACAGAAAATGGCAGAAGAAAGAAGAGATAGATAGTTCGTTAAATGCAAATGCGAAATCTTTATTAAAAGCTCACTACAGAAGAATTCTACTGAAAATGGCAGAAGAAAGAAGAGATAGAGACAGAGAAGAGACAGAGTTCTGTGGGTTATCGGGTCCAGAAAGGGGATTAAGAGTAAAAGTATCTCATAGATTTGGCGAGTTCATCTTGTTGATCTTTGGCATGGCTTCTTAGTTGCGGATCAGGACCACTCGGGGATCGGAGGAGGCCAGGGTCCACAGAAGCGGTGGCTGCTGGCGAACCACTTGGGTGGTGCGGACAGCGGGAGCCACAATCGGAGTGACCAGGCGGCGGTGGTCGTGCACCACCGTCTGGCTCTGATGCGAAATGGCCGTGGGCACATGCTGCACCACCTCACCCACCTTGGCCACCGCGGGCTCCTGGATGGTCAGCACGGTTCGCAGTCCGTTGCGAGCGGCCAGGATTAGGGGAAGTGGAACGGAGACGGGAATTCCGGCGGAAACGAGACGGGCATCGATGGCATCTGAGCTGCCACTGGATGACTGGGACAGCTGGGGTGCCTCCTCCTCATCCTCCTCCTCGGATTGCTGCTCCGCCTGGGCTCCCGAGGAGACGACTGATGCCAAACCGCCCTCGGCCAACTCAACGGAATCCTCGCTGGCGATGGGAAGGAGTTGTGAGGACTTGGCCGAGCTGAGGGCCACCAAATTCGAGGGCCACTCCAAACTGGCAGCCTGCGAAGCTCCGGCAAGGACGAGCACAATGGCCAAGATGGGCAGGAACTGAAATTAAATAAAAGAATTTTGAAAAAAAATTCCCAATAGATCATCTCAAGCGAATAACTCACCACTCTAGACATGATTATTGAGTAGTCTCCCTTCAAATCCGTAAGCTGACGAATGAATGATGCAGTTTCTGATTAGAATATCTGCTTTTATAGCCCTCTAAATCTGGAACCAATCTCCTCGCCTCACTGCCCAAAGAAATGCATCGTTGGCTAAGCTAAACACCGAACCAGAAACATTTAATCAGCTATCAATTTGAAATTTGATTGGGTTACACTAGGTAAATCAGAGAATATTCTGCGGCAACTGAATATCGCACTTGTGCTTGTTTTCCAGCCAGAATTTCTCCAAGTAACCGATGGGATCGCGGGGCATTTCACGAGCCAGTCCCAGCATTCCCTCCATCAGAATGGGCACCACCTCCTGTTCCAGAAATATTCGCCTGTCGGCTGAGGACTTGTAGCCTTCTACCCGTTGACATTTCTTGACCCCATCTTCCTCTGGCTTGGGTTCCTTATTGGGCTTTTCGACATCCGGACAGAGGATCGATTGTATAGCGGAGGTATACTTCTTGGCCTTATCCACACTGGTTCTGTTCTTCTTGTGGGGACTCAATTTACGATTGGCTGGCATTTTGATGAGCTGACTGGTCGGGAATTGGAAATAATATTTACTTTGCATATAACATTTAAATCAAAGGTAACTGTTTTGATGATAAATCTATTCTATAAGGTATTGAGATGTTTTTTAGATCACGTTGGATACAATTTTTAAATCATTTTAAAAGGAAGAATACTAGCTGCATTTGGAGTTTCAGTACAGTAAAATAACTTTCTTTTAATAATTCCATTGCAAAAATGTGCAAGTAATAAGAAACCATGGTTCATTGATTAGCTTTTAATAAAATCTCAGAGGAATATTATTAGGTGTACTATTTTTTATTAAAAATAAAGAACTTTTTTTGGCTTTCATTGATTTTCCTAAATATTTAAGAATTTCTTTGAGATTTCTCTTTGATGATAAAAAAATCCAGTAAACAAATAGTTTTAATTGTTTAATTTTCCAGTTATCGTTTAAATTTATTCTCAAACAGAAATTTCACGGTGCAGCTGGACGAGCACTCTCGAGCATCCAGCAACCCGTGGCCGTAACCCAGCACTTCCTCCTCGGTTCCAACGCTTCTAAGCTGATTAGCATACGTAACCCGATCAAGCGAGACATCTGCTGCAGTTCTCCAATCGCTTGGCTGGACGGGGCGGTAACTTAAGCCGCTTAGGTCACCCCTATCCTCCCCTCGCATCCCCACCATTTGGAGGGGAAAGATTGCGCAATCCCCACGAGAGTTTCAATCGAATTCCGAGAACGCCCACATTCGGCGCTTTTTGCTCTCCGGCAGGCGTTGGAGGAACTGGCTCAAATCCCTCGAGAGGCCACCAAAAAAGGTGTATCTTATCTGGTGCTCCAAAAGCCAAACGAAATGCTCCGTTCGATAGGTCAGTGACAGGAACTTAAGGGCAGTGGTCATGACCAGCGTGTAGACCATCAGTTGATGGCGATTGAGGCCCAGAACCAGGGGACTTTGATAGATCTCCAGAATGAAGAGGAGGGAGATGACCAGCGCCAGTTTCGAGTTGCTGTAGAAAAGAAATTCATATAGGATTTTAATTCTAGATATTTCGGCACTCACTTGCTCAACTTGAGGTAGGCCAGCTGATTGTGCTGACAGCGATTGATTAGAAGGCTAGCCACTGGCTTTAAAACCTCAGCACCACTGCCCATGACAGTGCCCACTAGTAGCATGGGAACTGGGGCATTTCCGTACAGCTGACCAGCCAGATAAACTCCTCGATCGATCAGCTGGACCTGGCTAATGGTCGATGTGGCGGCGGCCAGGATGCGAAAGGCCATTGTGCCGGCCACGGCGTGTCCCAGGTCGAAGGGACAGTAGAAGATGCAGTACCTACTTCAGGAAAATAGTACAGTAGTCACTTAAGATCATCATAGACCTCTAACTCACCAGATTAACGAACCGAGCAGGATATCTGCGGTATTGCAGAGTGGTTCCAGGGGCAGGCTGCCCAGGAGTAGGTTTCCCAGGATATCGCCCGCGTAGTTTAGCAGCAGATTGGCCAACCACAGGACGAAGGGCTGCCACTCCAGCGCCTTGCTGCCGCTCCTCTTTGACCTTGGGGATCCTGCAGAGACCACCAGTTCGTCCCGCAGTTGCTGGGAAATCTGGGAGTAGTGCAGGATGCGAAAGATCAGGTGGTTCGGTAGCTTGCTCAGGATCAGCCGGGCATTCATCCCTTTAGCTCCTAAGAGTCCTCTGGTTGACTCTGAATTTTGGATTCTGAGATATATTTTATTTAATAAAAGTCAATTACCCTTAAAAAAAATGGATATTTGCGAACAGAATTTGCTTAAACGAAAATATTGACAAGCGAAACTCAGGTGTCTACATTTGTGTGGATGTGTGAATGCAAATAATAATAGTTGGTCAATCCATAAGCTCACAAAAAGCTTGGGGTATATTATTGAATCTCTTTAACCTTTTGGCTTAGAAAATAAACTGAACCTCGAACAGTTTCTGGGCATCTCATTTTTTTAGGCAAAAAAAATCAATTGATTTAAAATTTGATGATTATAATACGTTTTTTTTTTTATTTTTATTTATTTACAAAACTAAGGCTAGTACACTCATAGAAATTTTTACCTAAATACTAGAAAAGTCGCCCTAAAACCGAGGTCGCCCTAAAACTACGAAAAATTTTCTTATTATACGGGTGGCTAGCCCTAAATATACGAAAAATCGCCATGGAAAATATTTTTTAGGGTTAGTTTTTCCGAAACGCCAAATTTGCCCTGTTTTTTAGGGCGAATTTTTATGAGTCGACTCCAAAAGTAATTCCTTCTTTTTAGGGCGAAATCGCCCTAAAACGCAGAACAAAATAGCCAAAAATATGTTCTGAAATTGCCCTAAAAACAAGGAAGAGTCAAACGAAATTCTAAGACGCAATTAATGGATACACATGTAATATGTGTGTATGTGTGTGTGGTTGGCAGGTCAAAACAAGTGAATGTGTGTGTATATTAGGGCGGACCTTTTTCTATGAATTTTGATGCTGAGCGCATTTGACTTTAGAAAAGTCCACCCTTTTTCTTCTTCTTCGCTACTTTTCGTCCGTTGCAGTGGCAAGGGTGGGGGTAGAAAGAGTTGCGTTGTCTAGACTTTGTCATAATTTTTCGGGCGCTTGGCAGTAAAAGACGTGTTTGTATGAAACCTTTTGTTTGTGAAAAAGTGAAAAATGTAAACGCTATTAAAGGACTTGGGAGGCGATTCTTTCTCAGTTTTCTGGTGAGTACATACATATATAATTGTGCAATTTGGATATTAATAACTAATTGAATTTACATATCTGTAACAGAGGAAAATGCAGCTGAAACTTAAAAAGATTTGACTGGAAGCAGCGGTCCAGATGTAGAGTTTTGGAAGTGTGGCAGAACAAAGTAAGAACATTAATAAGAGTATACATATATGTATGTGTATATGTAAATAATGCTTGAGGTAAAAATATGATGCAACAGAATACACACTTGTGTACATATGTATATATTTACCAGAAATCTGTATTTATGCACCGGACAAACCGCATTCACAAGTGAATATGCCAACATAACCCCAAATTTCTATTGCGTCATTTCGTCAGTAACTAAAATTTGCTTTTGTTGCTTATTTTTTTCCAGAAGTAGCAGCAAACGCAATCGCAGGCTAAAATTCTGAAAATTCTGACTGTTAGTAGTGCATTTTTAAATTAATTTCTAACAATTTTTTTTTGTTTTAGATTGAGAACGTCTTTGAGATCCAGCTTCCGCAAACCACTTTTCGCACTTTTCAAAAGCGAAAGTAAGGGAATAAAACTGCTCAAATCTTTGGAAAGCCACGCTGAAGGTATGTGTTTTTTTCTTTTTTCTTTTCTCATTCAATAAATAGACTGTTTTTATTTAATAGAGATACAATCAACTTTAATTTGGCTTGCGATACATTCAGTGTTGGTGCGACAGCAATGACAAAAAAGGACGGCGGGAGCAAGAACGCGAAGAACACCATTGCGGACCCTCGAAGCCGTTTCTTGGTTTGGAAGGCTACTGTTGGGGAACTGCAAACACATCTAAAGGCATTGACGGAAAATTGCTAATCCGGAAAGCCGAAACTGCAACCATTCAGCTGCAACGTGGGAACAAGCCCTTTTTGACCTTGGTGAATTTCCAGTTTACCTATCAGAGGTTTTTTTATAGAATGCGAACCTTATTGAAAAGTATTGATGTGTGCTTCAAAATATTTTTTGTTTTAAACCACGACATTTATCCAAAAAATGTTTTATGAAATTCATTTAGAGTCTGATAAGAAAGGTAAAGCTTTATCCGAACTCTTGAAGGATTATAAAACCTTAAAACTGTAACTATTTTAAAGAAACAATCTGTTCATTCCAAAAAAAATATTATTTCTATGCATTCAATTAGAAGTAAAATTTGATAATCAGTACTTATAGTAATAAGATCGATGTAATTCTTTTAGCAATAAGAATAATTAGAAAAGTATGTAAATGTATATAATTAGAAATTGTGTAAATAACAACAAACAAAAAGAAAAAAAAAAAACAAAAAAAATATAATGAAATCGTATTTTTATTTATGAAAAATGGCCGTAAAATTTTGGGGAGCATTTGCATGTTTTAGGGCAATTCGCCTATAAATCCAGAGAAAACGCCCTAGATTTATGAAAATCTGCCTTTAGTTTTAGGATATTTTTCCTTATTTCTAGGGCAATTAGCCCTAAAATCCAGAAAAACACCCTAGATTTATAAAAAACTGCCTTTAGTTTAAAGGTATTTTTTCCGATTTCCAGGGCTATTCGCCTATAAGTCCAGAAAAATCGCCCTGGATTTAAAGGAAACTGCCTTTAGTTTAAGGGTCTCATTTCTTATTTTTATGGCAATTACCTGTGAAAATAGAAAAATCGCCCTAGATCTACGAAAAATCGCCCTAAATGTATGACAAATTCACCCGTATTTTTAGGGCAATTTGCCCTAATTTTGTTGCCTAGTCGCCATTGACCCCCGTTTTAGGGCGATTTTCCTTGTTTTTAGGGCGATTTTACCGGAAAATTTCTATGAGTGTAGATGATTTCATGACTTCTTGATTATAGATTACATTTTACCTAAATTAATATGTTTTCTGTTGTTGGATATTCAAGATAATTTCGAGCTTTACAATTTCTAGTTCTTTTTGCTTGTCCTGTGTAATTGGTGGGCATAATTCCCGAAGCTGTTTTATGTTTACAGAATGATAAGTTTATGTAATGGTTTTATGATATGATTACAAGTGGCGATGAGTGGCCAGGCTGCGAGGTCCTGGAACCAGGGAGGCGAAGCTAATGTTTCGCACGGGCTTAATCCTCGGCAGCATCTGGTGGACCACCGGATGGGCGGCGTAGGTGAGGTGGGCGGGCGTCTGACCGGAGGTGGAAGGATGCTGCTCCTCCGCCTCCTCCGCCGCCGGAAAGAACCCCCTCAGCTCGCCTGCTTTGTGATGGCTGACAATCCGCGCTGAAGGAGCGACCAGCTGCTTGTGGGACTGGAGGATTAGTGGCTCCGCCGACGACAATCTGGTGAAGCTCTGATGGGAAACGGCACTGGCCAGCCGGCCGTTGCCATGGAGGATTGTTGTGGCCGCCTCACTGTGGCTTATTCCCCAGGTGAGTACGAGGCAAACAACAACCTGTTGGGGGACTTAGTTTGGAAATCGGGGAAGACAAAACCTATGCGGATTACTCACTGTGATGTGCATGATGGTCACTTGAGTGGGCTACTAATTACCGTTAGGCATGTGCCGCTGCCATTTATAGCCGGACGTGGACGTGGCCAAGAGGACTCCTTGACCAAGAGGTCGCCCCGCCTTGTCGCAGCAAGATTTATGGGCCATTTTGTATGCAGCTAATTAATTAATCAAAAAGTACTCCAATCCGACAGCCTCTCATGAGCTGCGTGCACTTAGAGCTTCCATTACGCGCCTCCGGCTAATCACCAAATCATATGGCCGGTCGACTGACTCAACATCGCCCGATTGCCGGAGAATGTGCGAAGCCACGACGGCAACTTTGAGTATTGAAACCTGAGGGGAGCAAGAAGTATTCGGTTCGCAGCTTAAGATACCCTATTTATAACATTAAAATACCACATAGTGGATACATTTTTCAGAAAATGTTGAGAATGTTTTAGCACATTCTCAATACATTACATTGCTGAATTATTTAATGACTAAGCTTAAAAGATTCTTGTAATCAATATTAATAGTACACAAATTTCGTATTTTTATGTTTTTAATTATATACCTTCATTTTAAAAAATAATTTACTGATATTATTAATTATGTTTGAAAGTTAATAGTCTTTTAAAAGATAAGTTTCTAACAGTTTATTTAAATAACGTTTATGATTTTACTAAAAACATTGGCATCATAAAATTTAAATAATAAAATAATTGGGTTTCGATTCTCTAATTTAAAAAACAATTTTATTGGGATAACGAGATTCTTTTAGATTTTTAGGAAACAGATAATTCTAAGAAAATGGCAACATCCCTAGAATGTTTTACAAATTGTTAGCTTTAAACTTAACCACGTTAACTGGTGGGTTTTTGAACAGTTTATTTGTATTTCTAGTTAAGAGTGAATACCCCCCGCTAGGGTATTATATCAGCCAACCACAGAGCTTGGTGGTGCGGTGGGCGAGCGGCGGAGGTGCGAAGTGGAGTGGATCAACCTTCAGCGAGTTGCGCAGACGCAGACGCCGTCGCATGTTGTAGGCTTTGTTGTTGCGGCGCTATTACTACAATATTTGCGGCGTTCGGTATTTATTTATATTTGATTTTTTTTTCGGTTTATTTCTTTACGTAAAGCTGCGTCCAAGTTGAGACACTCCCACAATTGCAAGATAACCGCGACTGCGCGCGTGTTTCCAGCGCTTCGATCGCAGATCGAGCATTTATCCAGGGGCTGTGCAAAGGGGGTTGTATCGTTGAGTTCACCCCCTCGGCATGCTCCACGGCCGCCCCTGTTTGGGCCAGCAACTGCTCCACCGTGATTTCATGGCACAGCAATTCACACAGCACTTCAGTTTGACTTTGCCACTCGCTCCGCTTTGTGTTTGTTTCTCGAAAGGGGAACCGCCAGTCTTCGATTCGCATTCGGATTCGATCCGCCCACCTCAGTTCGACGGCGGTGTTCTCAGTGGCTTTGCTGTCTCCATAATCGCCCCATTAGGCTTGGATCGTTACCATGCGGCATCTGGTGAGTGGGATGATCTTACTTCAACTCAGGGGGTCGATTTGGGCGAGAACCAAAGGAGAATTTGAATGTGTTTTACCTGCTACATATTGGTTAAAAAAATGTGAAAATAAATTGAAATATTATTTTATTTTTAAACTTTAATCTTTAAAATTCAAGATATTTCAATAATAACTTTAATAGAATTTTTCCGTATCGAAAAAGTCCACTTTTATCTTTTCCTGAATTTGGAAAAAATTAATCATAGATTCCTTTGCTTCCTCAAAATAGACCCCCCACCGTATTATTATTATTTATTTATTCAACTTGGATTTTACCACCCTTTTAGGTGTTTCTGGCTATAATTTCCGTGGCTCTGGTTTTGGCCAGGCCGGCAACGGAGGCACCTCGTCTGCTGATCGACTCCGCGCCCTCGGTGGTCTCCTATCAGGGTTCATCGCAGGCACAGACCCGGTTCGTCATCGCTCCCATGGGCCGGGCATTGGGCTATGTGGAGCCCACCAACCTGAATCGCACTTTCCACACGAAGGCCACGCAGGAGGACGGCGCCACGGGCTACGAGCAGCTCAATCTGAGCCCGGTTTATGTACCGAATAGCTAGGCAATCGAATGGTGTAGTTTTAGATAGTTAAATGTGTAAATAAAGACAGCTTGTATAACAGTATATTGTTCCATATTTCGACCATTTTTGCTCTTCAGGATACTTATATTTAAGACATTCTTTTTCAACCTCCTTTTTAAAAGAAAGTAGCATTTTTGTCTTATAAAGCACCCCGAGAAGCCTATTTTTCTAAGACTTTTTGAAGTTTTAAAACTAATTAAACTTTATTTGTTAAAGAGGCAGTGCCTGTGATTATGACTCACTCTGCTTTTACATTAAATGTCACACTAAAATGTAATTATTTATATCCAAAAGTAGAACAGTTTTGCAATTTTCTTGTTTGTTTTGCATTTTATCAGGCTAAAAAGGCAAAGTATTCTTATGGATGATAGATCAGGAGAAGAATTTTGGTATTCAGAAAGTATTCAACAAAAAATTTGTTCTGATATCACCTTCTATAATAAAATCCCCGATCCGCCGCTAATCCCACGGCATTGTCATTAAGCAAAATGACACATAAGAAAGTATTTCCTAAATTAATTATTTAAAATAGTTTATTAAATAAACTTTATTTCCTTTCTTTTTGGCTTGATTAATGTAAACGACTTCTTAACAGGAAAGTAAATATTTCCGCAATTCAGTAGGCTCTGGTTTAAACCATAAAAAAAGGTGTGTCATACATACGACGAAAGTACTTTGGGCGCCACAATAATCATGGCGAACAGCGGTCGTCGCGATATGAGGGTTCCCAGTCCTAAGATGATGCTGCCCCAGTTGCAGGCCTTGGAGGAGGAGGCCGACGAGTCCGCCCTGGACTTCCACGAGACGGTCAACCAGGCGTGGCGGGCACAGTTCATGCACCCGGCGATGGCCAGGTTGGGCATTGGTTTTGAGTTCGTCAGATCGCCCTGTCGATATATAAACTTATCGCAGAGCACCCAGGAGGACGAGGCGGAGAATCGCGAGTTTGGTAATTCCACTTCCAGCGGCACTCGACTGGTGCGTCTTCTGAATGCCCCCCAGATCGAGATTCATCCCTACAGTTTTGGGTCGGATGACGAGAACCAGATGCAGCAGCTGCCGTAAATCAAAATCTTCAATGTCTTAAAAATCCCCCTACCCTTCCAGAACGCATCTAAGCTCTGCTGAATTCGGACTGAAAACGCGAGGCCCCAAAACGGGGGTCTTTTATAGCACCTCGTTGGTTAATCTGTCTCGAAATAAAATTGCATTTCATCTTGTTTTCGCTGACACGAATGGCGAGACCTTCGCTTGGGCTCTGAACCTCTGAACCAACAATAATTTTTTCGGTATTGATCTTTGGGTTTTTGTTCGAGCTTTTTAAAACCTTTTTGGGCCTAACGACAATTGATTGCCGGTCTCACTGATTATTCCAAGTGAGGGTTCGCAGATCTTTAGTTTAGCGCCGGGTTCAAGTTCAATGTAAAGCAAACGAGTTTGCCAATTGCTCGTTGGTTGATTCCGCGTGAAGGACAATCTGGCTGGCTAATTTTTGGCCATATAAAGCCGTAGACGTAGTTTGAAATCAGCAACAGTCACTCGTCGACTTCAGAGCATCACACCAACCCAAAAAAAACACCAACATGTTCCGCTTCGTGAGTATTCCAAGAAAGGATTTAAGGATCTAACGGAGGATCTAATTTTGGTGTTTACCCCTAGATTGCCATCTGTGCCCTGGCCACCATTGCCGCCGCCGCTCCGGGATTCATTGAGGAGCACCATGTGGCCGTCGCCCCCGTGGTGGCCAAAGTGGGTGCTGTGGTGCACAGTGCCCCGGTGGCCACTTCCCACCAGAGCTTCACCCAGTTCCACAACCAGGCGGTCCTCACTCCCGTGGTGAAGCATGTTGCTGTGCCAGCTGTCCCTGTGGTCAAGACTGTGGCCACCCCTGTGGTTCCCGTGGTCAAGAGTGTCTATCCCGTGGTGCCCGTGGTCAAGCATGTGGCTCCCATCGTTCCCGTTGTCAAGCATGTGGCTCCCGTGGTCTCCGTGCCCGTGGTCAAGACTGTGCCCGTGGTGCAGCACCAGACCTACGTGGCTCCCGCTGTCCACCATGTCGCCGCCGTGCCCGTCGTGAAGGCCCTGCCCCATGCCGTCTCCCACCAGAGCCACACCCAGGTGCACCACCAGAAGACCTTCATCACCCCGGTGGTTGCTCCCCTGCCGGTGGTCAAGACTGTCGCCGTGGCCGCCGCCCCAGTGGCCCATGTCTACCATCATTAGGAAACTTGTTATGGATGCTTCTTTGAATAAATTGAATTGTTGATATTATAAATTGTGAAATGTTATATTTACCTATTTGGGGGGAATGCAAAAAATCCATATTTTGGCCACAGCCAAATTTGAAAAGTTGACCGATTTGATCCCATACAATTAGCATCTTAATTATCAATTTGAATGACTTTTATCTGAGTGGTATTCATTAGTATTCAGCGTCATGCTGAGATCGGTAGCTCAGTGAAAAACTCAAAATATATGAAAAGATAACAAAACCGCAAAGCAGCCCAGAGGCTGGCCCAAAAATAAATTATGCGAAAGCAATTATTGTTTTTATTTTATTGTCACTTAAAAAAAAATATGTACACTCATGGTAAAAATAATAGGAAAGCCACGGGCTTGCGTTCATTTTCTTTTAATATTTCTAACTACAATTTGTTTGAATAATTTTTGTTTAAACATTTAATAAAGATTCTTTAAAAAAAAAATGAAAAATATGGTTTATCCTTTTCTTCAATGAGAGATTAATTATCTCATGAAACTTGGGTCGTCATATTAGAAAGGTTCCTATAAGACTCTAATTGATTTTTTCCAATGCCAATTAAATTTTTCTTAGGAGCATTAATTAGAGGAATTCTAATAAAATGTATTTTCAGTAACATTACATTTATTGGCAATCAAATGAAATATTTTTCAGTAGCATTTATTTTTTTAATGTTAGTGAAATGTATTTTCATTTTTTAATGCCAATGAAAAGTGTTTTCACTAGGATTTTTTTTATTCCTTGTAAAATGACTAATGCCAAAAAAAAAGGAGTTAACTAGTTACAACTCGCCTCTTAGTGGAGATGTACTGTCAATTTAAATGTTGATAGCTTAAAAATTGTATCAATGATCATTAATAAACAAATACAGATATATAATTCATGTATATTTTTTTTTTTATTAGTTGTAACTTTTTTCTTTTAACAATTATATCAGCACGCTTTTAATCGATTCACTTGTGGTAAGCGGAGTAGACCACTGGGGCACTGTGCACAGTGTGGACCAGAGGCTGGACCTGGACGGAGTGGACCAGAGGGGCAGCTGGGATCACGGTCTTGACCAGGGGAGCGGCTGGGACAACAGTGTGGACCACGGGAGCTGCAGGCACCACAGTCTTGATGAGGGGAGCAGCTGGGATGACGGTCTTGACCAAAGGAGCAGCTGGGATGACAGTCTTGACCAGAGGAGCGGCATGGACCACGGGGGCGGCATGCACCACCGGGGCGGCATGGACCACTGGGGCGGAGTAGACCACAGGGACCTTGCGCACCAGGTTCACATTGCTCTGGTGGGTGATGGCCGAGGAGGCGCTGGTGTCCACGTAGGCGGTCTTGGCCAGAATCGCTGGCTGGACAATCGAGTGGGTCTCGGCAATCAGACCGGGAGCAGCAGCGGCCACAGCCAGGCAGGCGAAGAAGGCGACCTGCAGAGGGAGTAAATCCATTAAAGGACACTTTTCAGTTTCCATATCCAGGTTAACTTACGAATTTGAACATTTTTGGAGGTTTGGTTTTGGGGATTTGCTGTGATTGCTGAATCAATTGCAACTGCTGATGATGACAGGCCAAACGAGTGGCTTTTATAGTTGCCTAGTTTGGTCCAAACCCCAATTGTTTTTTTTTTGTTTTTTTGGTTTGTCGCTAAGTACTTGGCTGAACTTGAGCCCCGGACCGGTTTGGGTTTCAAATAAAACACTTATTCGGGTTTTTAGTTGGCTTTCTGGCTTCTAAGCGCTTATCAAAGACGCAGTTCGTTAACTGACCTAGGTTCCAGCGGCTTTTGTGTGTGGGTGACTGTGAGGAAGTCTTGGGCGGCAAACACACAACAAGCCAGGCCAATCAATCGACAATGGGCCAAGTAATTGGCCTTAGATGCGGTCGCTTACGCAAATGAGGCTGCCTGGATAGGGAAATGGAGATGGAGCACATAGAGTGCGTGGGTTATCCTTGCACTTCGAACGTGGATACTACATACTTCACAGTCACTTGATCCGCCCGTAATTGAGTTGCATTCTCGTCTTGGGGCGTCTTCTATCCCATCCTAGATGTGTGGGCTCAAGGGGATGCATCTACAAGTGCTCGTTATATGACCTTTTACCACATAACGCTAATGAATGAATGTGCCAATGTGTAAAAGTCTAAATACCATCGATGGCAATTTGATAAGGATTGTTCATATAACATCAGTTACATTGTCACAAGATGTGCACATAATTAAAGGTTATGACAAAAGGTGTTTTAAGTCCTTGACTCACATGAGCTAAGAATAAATGTGACCTTTTAAAATCAATCGAAATTGAACGTGTAATAGAATAAGGAAGAAAAGGAGGATTAAGACACAGTCCAAATAAGATGTTGTGTTGTAAGCTGGACATGAGTTCCAGTTGAACAAGAAATTCCGAGAAACCAAAATGTAATAATAGAAATTATTGCATAAGAAGTGTTTAAAGACCTTGACTTGGTAATGAACCATATGAGCTAAGAATAAATGTGACCTTTTAAAATCAATTGAAATTGAACATGTAATTCTGGGAAAGAAGGTTTAAGACACAGTCAAAATAAGATATGTATATCAATTTATAAATACTTTCTAAATAAGAAATACTACAAGGCAAAGGTAAAATAAAAATAGAAATTAATTCTTAAGAAGCGTAACATTCCTCCCAAAAACAGCTTATTTTTTACGATAAATTTGAAGCAAAATGACGAATCAATTTTTTGGACTACACGTTTTAAAACTCTATAAAAGACATACCCAAAAATAAACGTCTAAAAAAAGAATTATTTCTCAAATAAAATGTACAAACAAAATGATTTTCTTAATAAATACAATCGGTACAGTAAAGAACTGTTTGCTCCATTTGATATCCGAACTTGACCCAAATCAGAACCCTCGACTTTGCCCTTCATTAAACGGGTCACAAACAAAAGCGCAGTAAATTATACGCGTACGCCTGCATTCAAATTGAGGCTGGAGTCGAGATTGCAACATCGACGGGTCCAGTTGATGGCTGCGGCTTCTCAAGTGATTCATGGCCAGACCATAAAGACCTGGCTACCAACTGCAGCCGAGCAGCCCAGCAGCTGTTAAGTGCCCGCTCGAGTGACAGATAAAGACCCCCGATTCGGTCCCAGATTCCGATTCCGTCCCCGTCGCAGTCCCTATGTCAAGGTTATCCGCCGGACAAGCCCCACGCGCACTTAACCCACAATTTCGAGCTGGACGTTGTTGTTTCGCCGTCTGTGTCATTGTTTTTTCGGTTTTCGGCTTTTCGGGGCTCGGCTTTGGATCGGACGACAGTTACACGTACTTAAGATAATCATCTGGCAACTGGTAATGTGGAAAATGAATACCCAGAAAATTATGCACACATCTTGATTGAAATTCGTTCGCTGCTCTCGTAAATCCTAATTTGCGGTCTCTGTAATTTTATGGAGCTATGCTGGCCGATTATTTCTTTATCGCTTTTGCTTGGGACAATTCAATCAGTCATCCCAGGATAAAATAAACAAGTTTGATTTTGTTGAGCTACATTTTATGGGTTGGGACACAAGCTACTGGCATATGTTAATTTAATTAATTTATTTACTAACCCCCATCGATTTGATGTTACTAAAACATGAATTAATGCGAAATCCAACAGGCAAATATATATATTTTATTTTATTTTATTGTATTACAGGGAATTTCACAATCGTTTTCTTTTTTAAATATTACTAGATATATTTTGTATGTTTTCTTTCTGATTATAATTTAATATTAAGCGTTTTGTCCGTATTTTGTCTTAGGTTCAATTGTTATACTTTAGGGATCATTGATCTGATCACGTCAACAACTGTTTCTTGGTCCATTCAATCGATTTGCTAAGTAGACCCGTTGTAAGACCTTCATTAAATTCAGCGTGTCATTTGTCATTTTGGCAAATCTATTGACAATTTGGCTATATAAACGTTGCGTAGGCCTCAGTGGGTTATGAGTTCTTACTGGAGTTTCGCAGAGCCAAATTCAAACTAAGACTAGATCCAATTTCAGCCGCCTCAACATGCACAGAATGGTAAGTAAAAATATTGTATTTATTTCATTTTAAAGTTTATAATTCAATCAATTTTGAATTCCCTTTGTAGTTGCTCTACACCTTGGTAATCGTTGCCCTCGCTTGGGTTCAGGCCTGCCAAATCCATCATAATCTGACATTTCCTGCTGCGGGCCAAGTTTCCGACTGTTCTGGCCACCACCTTAATTTTCGTAATCGGAGTTTGACAAGGGATCTGCCCACATTAACCTACGGAAACTCGATGTCTTCTTGGCTTGAACTTTGCTATTATGGCAAACCATTTACGTTAAGGCACTAGCCTGCATTGTTGTTGCTTTTGTTATTGCTTGAATAAACTGTTGTAAATTATTTATCATATAAAAAGTTGTGGAAGATATTTTGTTCTACGAGGGGTTTCTAGGTTGCGATTTATTAAGAAGTAATCGAAGGAAAACTTTAAATTGTTGGTAATGAACAATTCTTTACATGTATAGATTAGCTTCTGTTATATTTGGAAATTTGTAGCATTGTTAATTCCCTTTAAAAATTTAAAATTTAATAAAATGTTAAAATGTTATTAATAAAGTAAACTACTTAACATGTTTTATGTTCTATATATAGGAACGAATTTAATAGTTTAGCTACTATTATATTTAGGAATTTTAAATCATAGTAAATTATCACTTTTAATTTTTAAAATATTTAACAGAAAGAGCAGGTCTTTAAAATTGATTGAATATTTTTTTTCTGAATAAATTTTACGATTTTTTAAATATGGATAGATATACTGATTCTACTATAATTGGAATTTATCTTAACTATTTCTATAATCTTACATGATTCGTTAAATTTTAACCGTTGTTCCTTTTGCTTTTCCATAATCAATGAAATAAACGATCTTGTAATTTAAGGATCAATAATACTTTTGAGAATTTTATTTAGTTTTCATATAATTGGTTAACAAACAAGCAATTTAAGGGCTTTAATGGTGCAGGGTGTAGGCCAAAGGAGCGGAGTGCACCACCGACTTAATGAGGGGAGCAGAGTGGACCAGGGGCACGGAGTGAACCAGAGGAGCGGAGTGCACGACGGGCACAGAGTGGACGACTGGAGCGGCATGGACAACGGGCACGGAGTGAACCACTGGAGCAGCATGGACAGCCACGGCGGGTTGGGTGTAGGTGGTGGTCTTCACGATGGGGGCAACCACTGGCTGCACCACTGCCTTGCTGTGCACCTGGGTGATGCTCTGGTGGGAAACCGCCGAAGGAGCCGAGTGCACCACCGAGCCAACCTTGGCCAGGACGGGCTCATGCACCACATGGTGGGTTTCGATCAGACCAGCGTTGGCGGTGGCAACCAGGAGGGCGACGACGGCGATCTGTAGAGTAAAAACTTAAGTTACTATAAAGCCAGAGGATAATATTCCTTGCGTTACTCACGAATTTGAACATATTGATAATTGTTTTTTAGGCAAGGTATGCTTGTTAACTTCAAAAGATTCGTTGAATAACTGATGATGTTTGGGAACAGCAAACCTAGCTTATATAGAACCTCGAAAGCGCATCGAGTGCTTGAAGCCCAACCACTGACCTTCACTACGCCCCTGCATGACCCGTCTTTGATCGGATCGAGAGCCGAAATCGAGGCGAAGTCGGCTCATTATGATTTCTCGTTGCTGCAGCAGCCGATTGCCAATTGCCGAAAGCTCGAAAGATCGTTGGAGCCCGAAGACTAAAGTATCTCGGGCCTTATCAAAAGCCCCCCAAGGTGGACAACTTCGGTAGCCGAAGTCTCTGGCTGTTTGAGCCCTTAGCCTGCGTTGGTTAGTTGCTATATAAGCCTCATCGGCAGGTTCCACCAGCATCAGTCATCTCTCTGAGCTTACCCCAAAAACAACCTACCAAAAACCCACTCAAGATGTTCAAATTCGTAAGTATAGAGGATTTCCGGAGAAAAAAGAAGGTCTCCAAAATAATATATTACCCATCCCAGGTTGCTGTCTTCGCCCTCCTGGTTGCCACCGCCAACGCTGGTCTGATCGAGACCCACCATGTGGTGCATGAGCCCGTCCTGGCCAAGGTTGGTTCGGTGGTGCACTCGGCTCCCTCGGCGGTTTCCCACCAGAGCATCACCCAGGTGCACAGCAAGGCGGTGGTGCAGCCGGTGGTTGCCCCCATCGTGAAGACCACCACCTACACCCAACCCGCTGTCCATGTCCATGCTGCTCCAGTGGTTCATTCCGTGCCCGTCGTCCATGCCGCTCCAGTCGTCCACTCTGTGCCCGTGGTGCACTCCGCTCCTCTGGTCCACTCCGTGCCTCTGGTCCACTCTGCTCCCCTCATCAAGTCAGTGGTGCACTCCGCTCCCCTGGCCTACACCCTGCACCATTAAGGATTCAAATATGTGATACAGTATTTACGATTTTTTGTTTAAATAAATGTTTTTCGTTTTCCATAACAAGTTAATCGATTGTGTTTTATTATATAAAGGGATGGAAAATTAAAGGATTTGTTAAACACTAAAAGCAGGAAATAAATATTGCAAGCCTAAAGTATACAACATTTATTGGATACGTAAATAAATACAAATTTATTTAAAGTAAAGATATTAAAGAGCTTTTTTAAACATTACAAATGGTATTTTATGAAGTCTTACTAAATTTATATATAATCCTATGACCTACCGTGCTATTTTTTAAAAAGTTAAGGTTAAAATAAATGCAATTATTTAACTTTATATTTCTTCTTCTTTAGGCAAAACAATGGATTTGTATTCCTCCCATTCTTATAAAAGTCTTATACTCACCTTTCGATCGTCAAATATTTTTTGTTGCCTACTTTAGGGCTGCTGTAAAAATCCATTGAATAAAAAAATCGGAAAACATTTTCGCTCGCTATAACAAGTATGGTAGGTAATTTATTGCTTGGAATGTATTTTAGTGTCTAAACATTTTTTTGTGATTTTTTTCTTCTCATTGCTGGATTTGCTTGCTTTATAAACAGGGCACAGGATACGTGATTGAAGTAATCCGCAGGAAAATGCTAAAGTTGAACAGGAGCTGAATGGCTGGCGTGTGGGTGAGATATATGGGTGGCTGGATCTTCGAGCTGGATAGCTGGATAACCGGATTAACCGATCACAACGGGTCCCAGACCATGGACGCTCTTGACCAGCAGCGGGGAAGGATGCACCTGGGTGATGGCGGCATGGGAAATGGCACCGGGCACCACGCTCACGACCTGGGGAGCCAGGAGGGGAGATCCCACGACGGTGGGTCCCCAGAGTCCTGGAGCCACCAGACCAGGGGCAATCAGACCAGGAGCGGGAGCAGGAGCAGGAGCAGGAGCTGGGGCAGCAGCAGCCAGGCTGAGGAGAGCAACGAAGACGCACTGGAAAGGGGAAAGGAATATTATTAAATCAATATTTTAGAATCCCATTTTTGCATTTAAATTCTTTTAAGAATATCCTTTTTTTCTTGCTTATACCACTTACCAGCTTGAACATTTTGTTTTGTCGATGGTTTGCAACGATTTGACATAGAATTGCACTACCGACTGGCCTATTTATACAGATTAATCAGAACTGCAATTGGCAGTCGGCAGTCTCTCTAAATGGGTCGCCAACACGCCTCTGCACTCTGCACTCATTTAGCCCGGCAACAAACACATTTTCCCCAGCGTTCAAGCCAAGTTAAGCCACATAGAACCAAACTGAACCGAACAAAATGCAAACCTTTCCGGGGGCAGGTTCTCGTCTTACCCGGTCACACAATAAAAAATTAAATGCTAATAAAAATATTTTATTATAACGGATTCTTAATATAGTCATAAAATATTAATTACAAATAAATTTAATAAATACAGTCCCTACTTTCGACAAGCTAACGATTTTTTTTGCTTTTTAAAATATAAATAATTTCAAGTTTAAATTTTAAAAATCTGTTCTCTTTAGCTCAGTTACCACAAAATATATTTTTTTATTTTAAGTTCCTAAAATAAAAAGTCTCTTTCTATTTTAATGACTTTATATATTTTAATGACAAAATATATATTTTTATAATTTTTAATGACTTTTCTGCCCAGTGCACTCGTTCTCCCCCAGTTGACTGGCCACTTCAAAGCGATCTGATTCGATTCGATTCGATTTCGCCGCCTTATGATTTATGCAATGCGAGACATGTTCTAAGTAGACTCCCTCCCCTTCGATTTCTCACTTGGGGCTATGCGGCGTATACTTGACACTGTTGCATGCGTCGCACAATTAAGCAAACAAATAAATAGAATCATGTCGGGGGGAAAATATGTGTAATGTGAGCCCAAGAAAAGAATCTACTCAAGCGGCTTAGTTGGCAGGGGAAGAGGGGAAGAGAGGCTTGCTCTTTGCACTTTTGGCTTGCATAAATTAAGTCCCAACTTGGCGAAACGTTGATTAATGTGACTTGCCAATAACGCCGGCGGGCAGTTGGTAGACCACTTGGTCAGCCAACTTGCCCCGGGGCTCGGTCAATCGACAGAGATTGTCTCCAAAGCGATTTTGTCTTGTGCAATACTGCGACACTAGCACATCAGACACATTTTATGATCGCTGTCGCAGGCAGTGAGTTATTACAATGCCGTCATGGAGATCAGGAAACATATTTATAATTCAGAAAAACCTTCTATAAAGGATGGATTTTCGGGAGCTAAAAACTTCTAGTTTATACCCATTTAATATTCGTTGCTTTACTATTGCTATATACTATCAAAAATATTTTTTAAAATTTTTAAAATATTTACTGATATTATAAATAAAATAACCCCCCAATGCTAATGTTTTTCGTATAGAAAAAGAAAACCACACTTTTTATCTGTATCTTCACATCTTTTCCCCTTTGCCATTCGCTCGTTTGTTTACCTATAATGAGCTACCGAATCACGTGCCACTAAAATAATACAAAAACCGCAGTTACCTTGCCGAATCTATTGCTTATTATTTTATTTGTATTTTATTTTTCTCGTTTGCCGGTCAGCGAACCATTCAGAAAAGTTGGCTTAAACTATAAGCGATTTGCGGCTAATTTTGGGCGATGAAAAGACAGGCCAAAACAAAAAGCGAAAAGTTTTCAGGGTTAGTTGGTGATTGATATTGATTTTGATTTGATTTTAATGCACCAAACAAGGAAGTAAATACTTATTTGTGTGGTAAACAGAGGCGTACTAGAGAGGAAGTCCAGTACTTGAACCCTCCTGTGAGACGCCACTGCTTTTGCCCCACCCCACAACTTATATTTATTGCAAATTGGCAATTTCTAATTGATGTTTATGTCACATTAAATGTTTGAATATCCCATTTGCCTGGCTTTATGGCAATGTTTGCGGATTAAGCTAATTCCGAATGCGAATAGATATTGCCGGCTGTGTTCAGTGTGGGTAAGATACACGGGCAATTTGCATTTGCTTATGCAAAGCGCCGATTGAATTGCAAAAGCCAAATAGACTTGAACTTGAAATAGATCTGGATCCCTTCTGGCTGTAATCTCAGAGCCAGTTCACAATGGAAAATTGCTTGCAGCGGCGGCAACAGCAACTATTTATCACCTCTCTTGGCCAATACCATAGATATATTCCCCTCGTCCCGCCTGCATAGACATTCGTCATCTGCTTATGCACTGATTTGCATAACACTGAAAAAGCATTTTCAGTTGCCACATGTAGTGGCAACGTGTGTTGTCACCATGGGAAATGTGCCATCCCTCCTCGAATGTATCGAATGGTTTTTTCGGTTAATTGCGATGGCAGGGTAATTATGTCACCTCGATATGGGGAAGCGTTTGTAGTGCGGTTGCGCCACAATTAGATCAGATCTCATTTCAGGCACTTCCAGTATTAATTTACAACTGAAAATAAAGGGAGATTAATATCAAATGGTTACCCAAATGATTAGTTGTGCAATCAAACTATTATTATATTTTATTTTATTTTTAGTGTTTTAAATTCCATGTCCTTTGGAAGTACCTTAGGTACCTTAGTTATATTACTTTACCCCACTTTTCTAAAAAACAAACAAAACTTTTAGATATTTTACTTTTTATGTACAGTATTAAGGACATTTTATTTGATTTTTAGTTCCTTAAATTTTGAATTTTCAAATCCTTATCCTTTACTTTCCCCACTTCCCCCAAAAACAAACCAAACTTTTAGATATTGGATCTTTTATGTACAGTATTAAGGATAGATGGAATAGCATAGTCAGCAGCTTACAGCGAAACATCCTTTTGGACTTTACACATGAACAATCGACACACGCAAACATACACAGCATACAAAGGTTGCATTCTCCCCGTCGTCGTTATCGGTAATCAGCCATCATTATCGATCATCAGTCATCATCGTCAATTGTCAATCGTTAATCGTCGTAAATCATTTAGTGCAGATGGTGGTAATCGTGGAAGTCGTGATGGTGGTGCAGATGGAAGGGATCGTACGGATGGTAGGCTTTGATGATGGGCGCAGGATGATAGGCCTTGATGATCGGAGGATGCACCACGGTCTTCACCACGGTGGGCAGCAGCACCGGCTTGATGATGTGGTGCGGCACGCTGTGCACCACCGTGGAGCTCTGGTGGGAGACGGCGGCGGGCAGGTGGTAGTGCAGCGGCTCCACATGGTGGTGGTGTGGGTAGTACGGAATCTCCGGATAGTGGTGGTGGTGGCCGTGCAGGAAGCCAGGACGAGCTGCCGCGAGGGCGCAGATGGAGAGTAACGATAGAACCTGTGGGGTTTTCGTTATATCGCAATATCCTTAGAGCGGTTCTTGAGTTCGCGACGCGTTATCCTTACCAGTTTCATCATTTTGTGGGTGGCTGATTAATCTCGGTGGCTCGCTGCTTGCAACTGATGCCACTCGATGGAGTGGAGGTGGCTTTTATTCACTTGCCACCTAGCCATTTGGCTACCAACAACAGCTGCAGATTCCGCTGCAGTTGCAGATGGAGATGCAGATGCTCTCGTTGCCATATCCGCCGCCGCTGAGAGGCTTCAATGTTGTGGAACTTTGCGTTTGCATCCGCAGTTCGCCGTCTGCAGCCTGAAGTTGTTGCCGTTGTAATTGCAGCTCGTTTCGTTTTCATTTCAATTGTTGTTTTTGCGTTGTCTGCCGTGATTTTTTCGCAGAGAGTTTTGTCAAGCGCCGCATTGTTTACCCGCAGCCATCGCTTCGTGTCTGAGACGCTCCATCCATCGACCCCTTCCAACCCCAAGCGCTGAACTCTACCACGGTTGGGTTCAATGAGGTGGCAGACACACCGATTGATGCTGCTATGGGAATGCTTTAATCGTATACCAAAATAAAAAATAGAATTAATATATTAGCCAAGTTATCAGAACTTTAAGTACCTAGTTTTCAGGTATTGCATTGTTTCGGACTAAGCGAACCGATCTTAACTGCATGATATAACACTTTTGTTTGCTTTAAAGTTTATATATTAATTTAAAGTATTCAAAATTTATAGGTATAGGGTTCATAAAAAATAAAGCTCCATATAAAACCTAAATATATTTTAAAGTTATTATTTAATCTACTAGTTTATGTATTTATAGAGTACCTCCTTAAGGGTGCATTGTTCATTGTTAACTTGTTTTAAACCTCTTTTTACATTTTTTCCCATCGCTGATATACCTTTTACTAGAAGATCAGTTGCTTATGTGTTCATTCAGAAAGCTTATCTTAAGGTTGTCGCTGCTGTTCTTTTTTACTTTTGGCAAGACTTATACTACTACTATAATATCCCAGCGATTGTCGCCGTTCTGTTCTCGATGTTTGTCTGCTGCAATTGGCAATGGTAATTGTAATGGTAATTGTTGCTGCTTCTGCCGGCGATGTTGCTGCTGCAACTTTATTGCAATTCGCGCTTGAGATTCGCTCGTACCGTTAGACGAATGCCAGTTGCAAATTGTCCCTGTATTTGCTTTTGTATCTGTGTATTGTAAGTAGCATAATTTATGCCAGTGTTACATTTGCCCCGCTGCGACCTTGACTACCAGCAGTTTTTGGCCCGCAAATTGCTGTTGGTTTTACAGCATCGCATTTTTGTTTTTTCGACCTCCTCTGTTTTTGTTTCTTGGTCAGCGGAAATTCACACTTGCCAATTTAATTGTTGCAGTTTTTTTTGTCGTGGAAATTAGTTGCCTACGTCTATGTCTATGTTATCTTTGGGTCTGAGAATGTGTCTCAAAAACACTACCTTTTTTTTAATGTGTGAGAATCAAGATCTAGACATTTCTGGCGTCATATAAGTTTTTACACTAGCGATCAAAATAATAGCTTTAAATACGTGTAATAATTTAAAATGCATTTTTTACGACTTGTTGAAATATGAAAAATATAAACTTGTTTGATGATAAGCTGTATAATTGTTCATTTTTGTTAAGAACATTTAATTCAGTTTGTATACCAGTGCTGAAAGAGTTAATGTAATATTTTTTATTACATAATTAAAGTTTTATTTTACAATTTTTCTAACATTTAAGACATTACAATCGATACTTATACGTATGAATATGAAGAGTAATTACTGATTAGACCTAGATTTTAAACGAAGTATAATTTTTAAATAAATGTTTGCTGCCGAGATTCCTGCTGTGTGTATCCAAGTATCTAAGCTATAAAAAGAAACATCAAAATCGAACTTGGAGCTCATCTTGAGTGCTATTATGTTGACTGCAGTTGCTAAGCTTCGCTTCTGTCTGCCATCGATTGTGATATTTAAGGCTTCCATTTGCGCCCTGTCATCTTGTTGGCTGGAAAAGTTCACGAACGGCAGAACAGCGGACTCAGCTCCATGGCAAACTAGAACACTTGAGCCGAGAGCACGAGCTCATTAGAATGTCGTTTGGTATTTTGACAGCCAACACGGACGGCGAGTGCTGAAATGTCATCGTAAGAGGGGATCGAAGTTGGTATAGGGGGGTCTCGTAAATTAATCATGATTTGCATTTAGCGGGGTAAATATTTACACAACAATTCGCTGGGGTCCCTGGTCAGCACTCCCAAAAAAAAAAAACGGCCCACAATGTATTCAATTGCTCGGCTTATCGCGACCAGGAAACACTGCATCTGCGGCATAAACGGGTTGCAGCGAGTTTTGCAACAGCACTCCACCCAAAAAATGCTCGATTCAGTTCAGTGGGTTAGTGGGAGCCCCAGTCGGCATTATCTTCGGTTCGGAATCTCGAGTTATTTTCAATGTTAGTGCAGTTTAATTGCGAACCAAGTCAGGCATCCGCTGACGCAGCACATCCAATTCTGTGCCGAGAATGCCGCCGCCGCCGTTCAATTGATGGACACATCTGACCTTAGCGAGTGGCCAATGGCCAATTGGTCGCTTGGCCACCTGTTGGGAGCTCGTCGAGTATCCGCCAGCAGTTAGTTACTCGAACGTAATTACTCGGGGGGGCCAAATGAAAATGAATTTAATATGCCGCTCCACTTGCCGCAGCTGCAGCGCATTTCTCACCCGGTTGCCATTTGCGTAATGCTCCTTCTGGCCAGATTATTCGACTCTATGGCCGAGTTTCTGAGTGTCCAGCGCTCTGACACCTGAGTGAACCGTGCCAACAGGACAGGTCGGATCATTTGTATTTGTGGCCGGGAGTGTTTGGCAACTGCAGCCATTCGGGCTTGGCCAACAAACAAAACACAAACAACAAAGCCCGCAAAATATATTCAATTTCGCTTAACATAATGGTCAACTAATTTTGAGTCTTGCGCGCTGTCTGGTCTGAATGCTTTTGTACTTAAAGTTTATGGACAAGTTAATGAGTTTAGTTTTGAATTACATTAGTAGGCGGCTGACTTGATGTGTTTTTTGTACAAAAACCATGGGAGGCTTTTTATACCCGAATCATTCGTAAAATAATTGACGTTTTTATTATTCGTTAGTATTTATTAAATAAAAATGTATATATGCAAATTAAGAATTTTCAATAAATTTATTTTGTATCTTTTGTTTAGGGAGTCATTTTACAAAATCCGAAAAAATGTATTTGTATGCTTAGAACTAAGAACAGAAACTAACTAGTTTTGAGAGACATTCTTTAGATTTTATGCATTTTAAATTAATATCGTCTCTTCATTAAATATAATCGAAATCCATTTTAGTTCTCTTACACTTTACTGACTTATTTTTCCAATTGATTTCCCATAACTACTTCCTCATTTATGAGTTCAATACATTACTTACATCATACCAAACGTTGTTCATATTCTTTCGTCTGATCTGTTCCGACCTTCCAGCCAATTACCTGTATAAAAATCACAATAGCACAATGGCAGATCAGAAGTTAATATTGAAAGACTCGGAAGCACTGAAAAGATAGAGGTAATTAAGGCAAGAACAAGTCAGAAAAATAATGACGTCTAAAAGACTGTCAACAAGTGTTTCTTTACCTCAAAGTAATTGATCTTTAAGCGCTGCTTAATTGTTGTTCATTACGCTTAGTCTGAGATCAGCTCGAATGTCTCTAATTAAAAGCGAAATTGAGTTTGGTGCTAAACGGTGGCGATAAGGGGCGATCGAAACGGAGTTTGCCCGAGGAACTGGTTCCCCGCATGATAATTGCCTGGCCATTTCTTAATGTGGCTAGTAGTGATCTTGTTGTATCCAGTGTTATGCAATGCACTGGCAGAAACAGAAAAATAAACCGAAACGGCAGAACTGTCACTTGCCTGCTGGCCATAAGGCGTACATTACCCCCAGAGCAGTACAACTCAAGATCCCAAGAGAGATACTATGTATACCGCAGATGTTGGCGCACAGCTTGTTGGTACAAACACGGCCCGGATATTGCCAAGGAATTTACCAGAAATAGACTCAAATCTATTAAAAGTCACTCAAGAATTTCGGCTAACAATTGGAAAGGGGTGGGGGGTTTATGTCGCCAGATTGGAGCATTCATTAATCATGCTAAAAATTGCTGACAAATCACCATAACGGCGGCAAATACAACTCAAGTTGAACACTATTGAAAGTACAGTTGTGTTTGTTACTTTGGGGCAGTGGCGTGTACTTAACCATTCTTATTCGGTAAGGGGGGATTTTTATGATTTTTTTTTTAAAGTATCCTTATTATATCTTACAAATAAACTTCTATAATGTTTTTAGCATGCAACTATAAAAAGACCCCTTTTTTCTACACCACTGCCCCTCCGCGTATGTGTGATCCGTGCGCCTGCGCAATCGCAATCGATGTTTGCTTATTACACAAAGCGGAACTCCAGACCAGTCCCGAGTGCGATTCTATGTGGGATGTGGCTACGACTGTGGTTGGGCCTGTGCCTTCTGGTGCTTTATCGCTGGCCCGTCTAGCTGGCCATTGTTATGCCAGACAATTGCAAGCCGAGATTAGCATAACCTGAAAAAAACGAACGGATAAAAAGGGGTGGAGAAAGGAAGGGAGTGCCCGGTAAAAATATTGATACAGTAAAACGAAATGAGAAATTTTGACATCAATTTATTTTGCCAAAATAGGTTTTTATTTTATATTTATAACTTGAGAAAAATAACGCTACATTATTTACAGATCTTTTCACATCTTTATGTCCCTAAAAGAATTGGGAGCTCAATTAATTCTTTATGTTTCTTTATGCAATTTCTAAAGTCCACATATGTGAAATACCCTTTTGAATATTCAAATATTCAGAAACTAAAAAAAAGTAATCAAAAGATTATTAAAATAAATATACAAAAATTTTACCTACATACAAAATAAAAATCAATATTAAATATTAAGTATTATTTACCGACATCCTCCCAGTAACTTCGACTAGCTCATCTCTAAACAGAAAGTGAAAAGAAGTAAACAAAAAACCACTTTGGAACTTGCTAAAAATATGAAGAAATTCATTTTCATTTCGTTACGCGTTCGTCGGCTGACGTGATGGGCAAGCAAATTGGCCAGCAAGTTTGCGCACATTCCTTTCCCAACACAACAGACCAACTGAACTCAACCCGGTTTGATTATTGGCCTTCTCCTTCATCTTCTACCGAGACGTCGATCCCCCTTGGCCAAGTCCCCCGCACATTAGAGCCAGTTATGTTTTTCGGCCATGACAGATACACGCAAGTGCGTTTACATTGAACTTGGGCTACTTTGGGGCGGGTTGTGCGTGTTGCAGCCACGGTGAATTTTCACGGTCAAAATCGAGGAGGAAAATGACAAGTGTGAACCGCATTTTCAGCGTCGCGACGCTTGTCTCTCGGCCTGAAGTGATGCAAGTGGCGGCTGCTGGCCAACTGCCCGAGTGGGCCAAAAGCCCAGCGTCCGCAAGCGCAACCCAGTGAGACAGACAGACATTACATTTTGACTGGTTTCTTTTTCCCTCTATTTTTTTTTGCAACCTGATGGGGTACGATGTCTTAGGTGGGCAGTGGCCACTCGGTCAGTTGGCCATTTGGCCGTTGTGTGTTGTCAAGGGGGGGGTTTTTGGCCAAAAGCAAACCAAGACAAAGCGAATCAGCTGCAGCCTAGCACATGCAAACATCGGTTCGGTTCAGTTCTCCCCTTTGGCCGTTGGCGTTATTTTTCAGCTTTTCCTAACGATGCTTGAAGAAGGAAAAAAGCAACAAAATTATTATTATTGTATTTTCTGCATTTTAAGATTCGGCTGCACATGGGGCACTCTGCTCTGCTCTGCTCTGTCCGCCTTTTGGCAGTATAAAAGCCGTTGCAAATTTGGAGCTAACAACACAATTCGGCGAGGCGTCAACACAGACCCACAGTTCAGTAGTTCAGTTAATAGCTAGCGCACCAGGATCGCAAGGATTAGCAAAATGTACAAGTTGGTGAGTTAATCTATAAGAGGGAGTTATAGATTTTATAATTAATATTAAATTTTACCCCCAAAGGTGGTGTTCTTCGCTCTAATCGCCATGGTGGCTGCCCGTCCTGGTTACTTGGAGTCTGGTCCGCTGCTCCATAGCTATGCCGCCCCGGCCATTATCCATGAGCCTGCCCTGGCCAAGGTGGGCGCCATCATCAAGACGGTGCCCAGTGCCGTCTCCCATCAGAGCATCAGCCAGGTGCACAGCTCGGCCCACATCATCCAGCCGATTGTGGCCCCCGTTTTGAAGACCTATGCCGCCCCCATCATCAAGACCTATGCGGCCCCTGCCCTGCACACGACCCTCCTCTCGTCCCCCTGGGCCGGACACGGCTGGGCTGGACATGGCTGGGCCCCATCCTGGTAAAGGGGAGAAGGGTTTTCTCAGAAGGTCCTGGATGGCTTTGCGTGGGCTAGCAACTATGGCTAACAACCTCACCCCGATCCCAAGCTTATTCTCTTCACCCTGCTGTTTTGTTTTTCTTCTCTCACATTTCGACTGATGTAAATAAATCCATGTTTCATGCTCAAAATAATCCTGTGGTGTTCTATAAATATTAAGCACTTCGAATTGGCAGGGCAACTTTTTCTTCTATAACACCATTAAAGGGAACAGAAAATCATCAAACCTTTGATAAAGGTCTGAGGTTTCTTAAAAATTCTAAATTAATGGTGTTTTAATAGTGTAAGCCTTTTTTAAGGACAGAAAAAAAAGACAAAAATTGAATGCAAAAGTTCCATTTTATAGCGAGTTTGTAGTCATAATTTCGATGAAACAAGGTTTACAGCCAAAAGAGTCACTGTTTTGGAAAGCTAGCAACATAAGCTAACGATCCGCACCATTTTCCGAACAATTTATTTTTTATCGAAATTTCATATTTTTTTAAGGGGTAACATCATGTTTTTTTGATAAAATGGTCAAAAATTTTTAAATTTCAGGTTTGATTGCCATCCGATTGGAAATTAAATCACGAGCTCAAGAAGGTATGACATTCCTTATTCCGCCTTCATTATGCAATATGTCAGCCAAAAAAATAAATTTTTAATGGCGGTAAAGAAGGATTTGAATATTACCATTTTATGGCGGTTTGGTGTTACGAAACTACAAAAGAAAACCCGCTTTAAATTTGTATTTTTAAATTAAAGTGCAATATTCAAACTCATATTTTAAAACTAAGTGTGCTGCAATATTTTTTTAGTCTTCATTTGATTTATTAATCAGATAATTTTCTGAAGATGCAGAATTTAAGTAGATTTCTACTTACTCATATATCTTTATTACTACTGCAGATATTAAAATGATTTTTCTAAGAAAAATTTTCTTGTTTGCTTTCTTAACAGTAAAAGAAAAAAGTTTAGAAAAATCCGTTTTGCATTGTGCTGGAAATCCCACTTAAAGACATCTCAGAATAAACACAAATATAAGTTTTTTTTCAACAATCACATTTTACTCGCAATTAAACTCGTTTATATACAATAGGAATAGCAATTTTCTAACCATCCAGATCGCTCGTTTGAGCCCCCAAAAATCCAGTGCTACCGATTACCAGCTGGAATTGTAGACGACGGGAGAGGCGGCGGCGTAGGAGGTGTGCACCACGGGAGCAGCAGCGGCATAGGTGGTTTGGACAACGGGAGCAGCGGCATAGGAAGTGTGCACCACTGGAGCAGCAGCAGCATAGCTGACCACCGGAGTGGACTTGACCACCGGGGCCACGATGTCCTCCACCACATGCGAGTGACTGTGCACCACCGACTGGCTCTGGTGGCTCACCGAAGTGGGAACACTGCTCACCACTGCACCCACTTTGGCCAGATGTTGCTCCTGGACAATGGTTGTAGCAGCCGGGGCGGCATAAACCAGGGGAGACTCATAGAGATGTCCGGGACGAGCGACAGCTACGGCGAGGAGAGCAGACAACACCACCTGGAAAATTCAAAAAAATTGGAAGAGTTAGATATATGACATGATATAATGATATATTCAATAACTTACCAATTTGAACATGTTTAAGGATTTTTGTTTCTTGGTCTGTGTTGTACTGCTGAAGCGAACAAAGTTGACTGATAATTTGACAACCCAAAGTGCTGCCTTATATATGGTTTAAAAATATTGTTCGTCGTCGCCCCGACGCAGCTGCAAAGCGAAAAAGAGCGGTTTAATTAAAACATTTACGAGCCGAGCAGAGGGCAGTCAAAACCAAATGAGTTGTATAAATCTGCCCTCCGTGGGACAATAAAGCATGAGACTTGCAATTGGTCACTGGTCACTTCAAGACAAGATCCGAAATCCCAGACCCACGAAAAGCTCACGCACTGCAAGTTGACCCTGACTCACGCCCTCAAAGTGCAAGTAATGCAGTCGCCGAGGAATCCCAGTCTCTAATGGCAGTCAAGGGGGCCTAATGGCTGTAATTCGATTCGTTTTTACACAGAAAAAATAAGTAGGTATATTTGATGATACCTACATAATTTTACAAAGAAATGTGCACTTTTTAATTCGAAGAACAAAATATTTAGAGATATAATAGCTTGATTTTTGAATCGCGATCTACAATTTATTCCCTAAAACTTAAAACCTATTCCTTCGAAACATCTTAAGTGACCCCTTATAAGTATTAGCCATATAATTCAATTAAATGATTATTTTTAAAACATGGGATTATAAAAGAATTGTATAAAATTATATTTGAAAATACCGTAAGTTACCTTGACTTTTAATAATAAATCTAGTTAGTTAGTCGAAGGTGTAGGCAAGTGTAATACAGTCATTACTTTAGTAACCAATACTTTAATTTGTAATAAATAAGTAAATATTTGGAAAAATAATATTACAAAATAAATTCACTGGTATTTTCCAGTGTACTCGAACATGTACAATGTACACAGCTCACTTGTCTCCACTGAGCCGTCCACCGACGCTAATTGCTTATTGATCGTCGGCCAGAATCTGATATGGCTTTAATTTCGGCCCGAATTGTGACGTGCTTTTGTGCGCCGGAAATGGAAGGTCAAAGCCAAGTGGCTGCTGTATAAAAGATAACTGCAGCCGGGCAATCAGCAACAGTTCTCGCAAGAAACTCAACCCGATCACTCGCAATCCAATCAGTCAATACAGACCTAACCCATTTTCCAAAATGTTCAAGTTGGTGGTATTGTCTGCTCTGCTCGCCGTAGCCGCTGCCCGTCCCGGTCACCTGTTGGAGTCCTCCCCGCTGGTCTATGCCGCCCCAGCGGCGACGACCATCGTCCAGGAGCCCGTCCTGGCCAAAGTGGGTGCCGTGGTCAAGAGCGTGCCCACCGCGGTGAGCCACCAGAGCCAGTCGGTGGTGCACAGCTCGGCCCATGTGGTGGAGGACATCGTGGCCCCGGTGGTCAAGTCCACTCCGGTGGTCAGCTATGCTGCTCCTGCTCCAGTGGTGCACACCTCGTATGCCGCTGCTGCTCCTGTGGTGCACACTTCCTACGCTGCTCCAGCTCCCGTTGTCCACTCCACCTATGCCGCTGCTGCTCCCGTTCTGGCCACATCCTATGCCCAGGTGGCCGCATCCTCGCCGCTGACCTACACCGCCACTGGTGTCTGGTAAATCCGCTTCCAGGCCACTCCAATCCCCACTCCCACTCCTCCAACCGCTGCCAGGTGACCAGGATGCGTGTGCATCGCTGGACGGCTATGTGATACGAATTTTAAATAAAAATAAATGTTTTGCTTTCGAATCGTGCAAGGTGTTTGCTTTTCAATCCAGTTCATTAATCTTCCTTTAGTTGCAATTTTAAGAGCCCTACACTGGCAAAGAAAAGGCTCTATATAATTATATAAAATATCATTACATAATTCCCTATTTTTTAAACCATTCTTTGGTTCCCCTTTAATATTTAAGGTATGACTGCTACTCACCTGTTCTGTAAATCAGAAAATGTAATTTAAAATTTAGACATTTTTGACGTCAATTGGGTTTACTTCTCACATTCCTCGGTGTTGACTTGGTCCTAACATTATTTCATTTCTAAAACTGTCCTAGTTCATTGCCCTCCGTCACGTACTTACTTCCTGCTGCACCTGTTTCTTGGGCAAACATTGGACTTTCACATGGCGAGAACACGCCTCAAATGTGGGTGAGAATTAACATCCCGCTGGGTCGTAGGAAATTGCTGACATACCCCGGCCAGTGACCTTTTCATTGCATTAGACATTCTTTTTTATTGTCTTGGCAAATGGAATATTATGGGCTTATAGGATTTTACTATTTATTTAATCAAGTAAGTTTACAAATATTATAAATGCCTTCATGGAATTTTCTTAAATTTCTTCAATTTTCCTAAATTTTTTTTAGCTGCTCTCATCCTTGGTGCGGAAGGTTGATATCAAGGGAATTTCAATATCGGCCTTGGCAGCCAAATTCGCAATGGGGCCGAAAAGCCTAGTCAAAACTCCATCCAATCCGTGATCCACAGCGGTTAAGTTTAGGTCCCTTCTGACTATCTCGTGTCGATCTGTGACATATCCGCTGGTGCCATGGAAGGACAGGAAGAGGAAAAACAGAAGCTACACAGGAATTAATTAATTTTTAAGGGATTTTCCATATTATTTCTTACCGCTTTCAATAGGAAATCCATTTGTAGTTCTGGCAAAGACGATTGAAATGCAATTAATGCTGCATTATCGCAGCTTTCCCCTTTTATGGAAAACTTTCTTAAATTCTAGGGACAAGTGTTCTTGATGCACAGGTGCTCTCATGATTTGTAGAATCGGAAAATAAACACAGACACAGTTTCTTGGAAATAAAAACTTTACTTTAGTCGTCAGATTTTCTTACTGATGATGAAGTTTGGATGGCACCGTGTTAAATTAGAGATTTATAATTTTATTAGTTGTATGGCCGTTTTGCGTTGAAAATTGTATAAAAAACAAGGGTTGTTTACCTATTTTCGGCATTATCACAAAACTTTTCGGTACTTGGAAAATTACCTTTTCTAAATATGCATAGTTTTTGGCATTAACTTAAATGAAATCTTTTCATTTTTACCAGCCAATAGGTATTTCCAAAGTATTTACTGTCAGCGGAAATCTTGCTTATGAGGAATGAAATATAGAAATGGCGAGTTGATTATAAATGCGACAAACAAATAAATATAAAGGTAAACAACATCTTTACAAGAGGGTTCTTATTTTTTTCCATTTCGTTGATATCTATAAAAAAACACAGTAGCTCGGTAATAATAATAAGAAAATACATAAGTCCAATCATCCTATTTGTGTATTTTCCCTCTCCCACAGTCATAAACTTAAACACATAGAAATAAAAAGAGAATTAGTTTGTTAAATTACAAAGTGATATTTATTTCTGATTATTCTTAAGTAATTAGTTTTTTGTCGGATGAAATACAAATAATGTAGCATTCGTTTGGTTTTCGTTTGCCGATGGAATTGAAATAGGAAGTGAAGTAGTGATGTTTCCAACATTGTCTACATTTCCACTGAAATTCGTTTGCGTTTGGTTTGTAGAAAAAGTTGAAATTGGAACGGGTGTAGTGAGGTTTCCAGCTTTGGCCTGATTTGGTGAGGAGTCTGCACTTCCACTCAAGAACACCCAATTGGAAAATGAGATTGCAGTGAAGTTTGAGTTTCGCCTGGTAACATTATGTGGCTCCTGAGCGTATCCAAGAGCAAATTGCCCGTACAGGCATAAAACAATCTGTAAAAATGTTATAATAATACCCAAGTTATAATCGATACGTTTGATTTGATCTAACCACTTTGAAGAAGACATCCATTTCGACTGTGCGTTGATTGCAATTCTATAAACTTCACTCTAGGAAGCTTCTGTTATATAGTGATTATCTATTTTCTTAGCAAAGTCTGTTCTTGAAGCCCGCTGTTTACCCAGCGAAATGCATTGCCTATTCTTTGAAGCGAAGTAAGAGTTTCTTGAAACGAAAGTATGGGGCTCTGTCATCGGATAACTGGCCTTGACTTGAGTCGGAAGCGGGTTTCGATTGGCTGGCAATTAGAAGTAATCTCGGACCCTTGGATCTCCCTCCTCCTCGCCAGAAATGACCAGAAATCGAATCTGCGGTGAGTACGTGCGACTAATGAGTTGTGAAATGAAACCAAGAGTGGGTATGGCAAACAAGTGCGAGGCCGAAAATAAGTGAAGTAATGGGGAGAAGCCGAGCCGAGCCGAACAGAAATTGGCCACGAATAATAATCTGGTTTATGGCCAAGACCCCGGGACAAGCGGCCAGAATCCGTTCAGGCACGTTCGACTTATGGCTCTTTGTATCCGCCCCGAAGTGCGTGTGTGTGTGGGAGCCACGAAAGTGAAGTTCAAGTATAAAAGACGTTGACAGTCCCTCAACTCGACACATTCGAAGTCTGTCTCCCTTTCCAGCGACACAAGTCGAAGAAGCCAACTCCCCGTTCAACATGTTCAAATTGGTAAGGATCTAGGTGCAAAGGATTGGGTTTTCTTGAACACATAAAAAAAGCAAGTTCCCGTAAAATCGATATGACCCATATCGTTTTTACATGAAATACTCTTTAATAGTGTAAAATCGATCTACGTTTCATATCGATTTTTTTTTGGATAAATGTATTACTTACTAAAATTCTTCTACAGTTCGTTCTCGCTGCTCTTTTGGCCGTGGCTGCCGCCAAGCCCGGTCACCTGGCTGCTGCTCCTCTGGTCTACAGTGCCCCGGCCACCACCGTCGTCCACCAGGAACCCGTTCTGGCCAAAGTTGGAGCCGTGGTGAAGAGCGTGCCCACTGCCGTGAGCCACCAGAGCCTGACCCAGGTGCACAGCACCCCGGTGGTGGAGGATGTGGTTGCCCCCGTGGTCAGGACCACCGCCGTTCACTCCGCTCCCGTGGTGGCCGCCGCCCCCGTTGTCAAGACTGTGGCCCCCGTCGCCTACTCAGCTCCTCTGGCCTACTCCGCCCCGGTGGCCTACTCCTCGTACTCCGCACCCCTGACGTATTCCGCACCTGTGGCCTACTCCGCGCCCCTCTCCTACGCCGCCCCCGCGCCCCTGCTGCACCACGCCCCCCTCACCTATGCCGCAAGCGCCTGGTAAAAAGAACGAAATGTGCTGAAGAACGAAAGATTTTGAACTGTGCCTTGTTTACTAGATAGTTTGCAAAAACTTAACTCGATAGAATAAACGAAATGTGAATATAAAACAATTACTGTGTTTAATAATCGAGGGGGAACCATTGAAAACCTTAAAATGAAACAGGTTTTAGAAGCAGAAGTTAAAAATATTTGTGAATATATCTCCAAAAAGAAGGATTGCCTCGACTAGCAGATACTCTCTACCCAGTTTAAAATTTGCAATATTTGTGCATTTTGTAACATCATGTTCTTTTGGAAATACCAAAAATGTGAAAATTAAGGTTTTAATGCCTACTATCTGTACTATCTGTATTCAGGTTAATTTAAGTTTGTGAATTTATAAAGAACTGTGTATGCAACTAAGTATCACTGCAAGACAGAATCTAAAAAAGTGATTTTATATATGATTAGACGTCTAGATGACATGTTTTAATTTGAATGTTGCATTAAATACACATTTTTTAAATTTGATAAATATTAAGCAGAATGAACCAGAAATTGATTGTGGTTGCATACTTTTTCCTTGTACAAATTACCCCCCGTGGATCAAGTCATGGTATTGAGTGATTTAACAATACTGTGTTTGGTTTGTTTTTATATATTTTTACCTTGTCGCATTGTTGGAGAAAATTAAAAATATTAAAATTACGGAAAGTGATTTGTAGAATGAGGTTTGCTGCTGATAAAAAAAAAACCATTGTGGGTTCTACTCTACTTCAGGTAAATGCTGGGGTAACTGGCTCCTCCCCAGACTCCCGGCTCGTACCACCCGGCACTGCTGCCCGCGTAGCCCAGGGGGGCGTAGGAGATCGAGGTGGCCGGGGCATAGGCTGCCTTCAGGAGCGGAGTGTGGTCCACAATGGGGCGCCAGTAGGGACGCTTCTCGTGCACCACAGTGGAGCTTTGGTGGGAAACGGCGGCTGGCAGGGCGTAGTGTTCATATCCCACCACACTGGGTGCATACTCCACGTGCTCGTAACTGGGCAAATAACTGGGACGAGCCTGGATGAGGGCCACCAACAGTCCGCACAAAAGAAACACCTGGGGGAATATAAATATTGCTATAGTTACTCCTTCTTACTCCTGGTATCACAGCTATGGCAACTCACAACTTTGAACATCTTCGCTGGGTGAACTCTGCAACAATGTTTGGCAGTTGAAGAAGTCAACCGGGTTTTATATAGCCCCCGACCAAGGGAATTGGCTTCTTTACGTTAGAATTGGCACAAACAATCGAGCCATCATCTAAAATTTGTCTGTTTCTTTTTTTTGCTCGCTTGTGTTTTCTGCGTTTTTCCTCAACTAAATTCCCAGGCCCAGATGGCTCATTAGTGACCCATTTGGGCGTAACTGAGCGAGGCGAGGCTGAAACCGAAAGCCAGGCAGGCAAATAAACAAGCCAACTAAGCCACCCACCAGTGATACCTGCACCCACCCGATTCCCGTTCATTTCTTCTATTCGACTGGCTCTGCGACGGCATTCCAGCCATTAGCATAACCAAACAGGAAAACTCTTTTCCAGCCTGCTGCCTGACTGAGTTTTCCCGACTATTTTTGGGTGCCACCAACGCAAATCGTACACCAAACACCATATGTCGTTTGTGGCCCATTTTGGTAACTTTGATTTTAATTAACCATGAATGGCATACAGATTCCCAGCCCATTCGAGACGACCTTGGCTCTAATTTAATTAAGAAGAAAAACCAAAGCAGAAAAAAATACGTAGAAAAAAAAGAAACCCACAATGAGCTTGTTCAGAAGCGAGAGATTTAACAAGACGCTGACAGGCCCCGAAACGATTTAATCATTGGCCAAGTTGCTCTTATTGTTGGCATGGCTACTGCAGAATGCCATTGTTATTGGATTCGGTCCACTTTGGTTGCTACTTGGGCCCCCGGACTTCGTTTTCGGTCTGAGACAGCCAGAAAGTGTAAATCACTGCACTGTTTAGCAGTGGTTGGCATAAATCTTTGTCTTGCACTTACCGCCGAGTGTAATATTTCTAGCTGCACAAATGAAAAAAGTCGATAAAAATAAATAAATAAGTAAACAAAGCTATTTTGTGAGCTACGTTTTGGTTTTTCAACAAAACTCCATTTGAAAACTTTGGAATATTTGTAAGATCAAGTGTATACTTTTGAGCTGCTGTCTTAAAGTGAAGCTTGGTTTGAAGCTTTTAATGGTTTAATCAAGCTTTGTCTTTCTACTTAACCCATGATAACCTTTAGGTAGATTTTTAACCACATATAGGAGTAAATATATTTTGACCAAAAGCGAACGCAAGTGGAATTTCTTACAATCAATTAGACCCGGCCAAAGTACCAGCAAATATTTCAATCACTAAACAAAGCACTCAATTTGGCCTAATTTGGTAAAATCTTGAGGCTTAATTCCACAAGGAAATGAATGTTTCACCGAAGAACTGAAGCTTTAGTTAATCCATACCATTCCATAAACAATCTCCCAGTAATTGGAATATTGACAAATGGACAAGCGTTTTTAATAGTCTGGCTAATAGGAGTTGACTGTGTCCACTGGGACTGGCTCGAACTCAACTCGAGTCTGCATTTGTACCTGTATCTTTGAGGTTGTCAGCATGAAACATGCAACTTAATTAGCTGTAGTAACCAAAGCCGAGTCTCAGATATTTGTTGTAATTATGGGTGCAAGGTAGCAACACTCTGAGCTGGCCTTATCTGAACGTTATCGGTGCGACTCGGCTTTTGGCCAGGCTAAAAACAGCATTGAAAATCGCTCATACGCCATGTAATTAGATCTGTAATAGCCACATCCGCCTGCAGGCCTAAACGTTTGGGAAATGCCTAGTTAGGCCGGTTCTTGCAACGCCTTGGAGATTTTCTGTCAGCGCGTTTTTGTGGGGCGTGTGATCTGCATTGTCTTATTAATTTTAATGACTGAATTATACAAAACTAGACGCACAAGCAACTTTTTGCCGGCTGCAGCTTGCCAAAGCGCCAACAACTTCCTTGATTACACACAGAATTCGAAGTTGAGTTGAGCGGAGTTTGTAAGGCAGCCTGTTGTTGTTCTCAAATCGAATTCGTTTTGGCTTTGTTTTCTTGTAGTTATTTCGTTTTTTTCTATATAATTTACGTACATGAATTTAATGTTTAGCTGCGGCTATCATTAAGTCTAATTGACTTTTTATCGCTTATGGTGTTCTCAGCTTATTTCTGCTTTTGTTTGTGAGAAATCCGAAGCAGAGCAAACTTGATCAGCAGATTGGCAGTAGTTCATAGAGCGCGACCTAGGGATGGTAAATTAACATTGTGTCTAAAATCTAAAATCTGGAAGTATTCAAAAGAAGAATAAAATAAAATAAAAATTTTATTGGCGCCCGAATAGGGATACGAGTCATTGCCTCTGCTCGGGCGCCAATGCAGTATAACACATGTTATATTATCATCGCGTTTGGATTCCAGGACCAAGATAGAATTTAAAAAGAAGAAATTCAACCGATTCAAAACATAAAGGATGAGATGGCGGCTTATTAGGGATATGAGTCGTGACTATTCGGTCCCTGTTCGGGCGCCAGCACAATCTTCAGGCGAATCTAAAACTCGTGATCGATTGATTTTCCCACCTCTAACTTAGATATAGATACTACCCTCACAGGTGTGCAATCATGCTTGGATCTCGCCCAGTAATTTGATTTCAGCACAAGTTCAGGGTGAGTAACCACACAAGTCACCGAATTGCTCTAGAGCAATCTCAGATTGGACAGCAAAAAGTGAAAGTCAAATTTGATGCAATAGAACTTATTGGATTTCTACAACAATGGCTATACAAACATTTGAAGAAAAGGGGAAGGCGCTGTGAGCGCCCACACGGGAACTAAATTCAATTAAAAAGCACTAATCGAGTAACGAATTATTTCGGACAGCCCCTCGCATAAATCTCAGCAACTGGGAGTCAAACGATTTGCATACAATTTGGCGACACACAACTTTAATTTACGAGCGCCAAAAGGGGCGTGAGTTGTTCAACATGTTGTTGTTGCTTTTATTTTCGGTTTTCATTTGTTATTGTTACAACTGAAAATCGGAGACACTGAGCTCCGATTTAACTACTTAATTATGAAGCAGATTTCGGTCTATTTGCATTGGCAGTCTCGAGAGCGAACGCTCAGTGAAGCTGTCAAATGATCTGTGACCAAAATTGTTTTAGCATGCAGCGGGCCGATCAAAACAACAAATTTGCTACAAAAACAAACGCTTTACGTGCCATGAGGCACATTGCGCAATGTCCCCGTACAAAAAGAACTTCAAAGCGAAATGAAACCGAGTTTGCAAATGATAATTGTTGGCCCAACCTCGAGGCAGAGCTGAAGGTAAAACAGTAGTCGCAAGAAGGGAGGAGGTCGGCTGGGGTAAGTCCATCTAAGCTCACTTTAATTCCATTAATGAAAACTCTGCTCTCTGCTGGCCAATGTGTTTTTCTAGAGCTTTTCGCAGCGTTGCCTGGCTGACATTTGCTTTATCGAAGGTGGGAAAACAGAGCGCTGATTGGTACCCTAGAAACATAATCACGGAATGATATTTCAGACTCATTAAAGAATTAACTGGAAATAATGTTAGTATCAACAAAACGATTTCAGAATGTATAGAATCTATAGATATGGAATTTGAGGCGGAAATGATACCATTATGATATAATACCAGTCTTTACATGAATAGTTTAAAGACTAGATAGTAAGTAGTATCTAAAATGTATTTTTTAATTGTGTGACACATAAAGTAATGCCATTTTATAAAGGTTTGATCTCATTTCTGAATGTTTTCCAGGGTAATTAACTAATCAACAAAAATTAGATTTTTTGCCAGCCATTGTTACAGTTTCGCACTTGGCAGTTGTCGCGGTTTCTCTTGGTATTAATCATTATAAAACGTGTAATTGCCGGGGTTTTCGCTGTACAGAGTACACATTGTAATGTAAGTGAGCACGACATTGTGACAAAGGCTGGGGTAAGCACGACCTTGACCGAGTGGCGACCAACATGTGGTATACTTAATACTTAATTGGTCATACTCGAGTCACAGCCAGCAATCCGCAGATGGGAGTCAGCTATGCAAATTGCCATCCACCCAACCGACAATTATGTAAAACTATAACTATAACGAATTAAATAATAACTTTTTGCGGTCATATGCTGGCCTAACAAATGCAAGTAAGCCGAACTAATCGCCTCTGCTCCATTTGCGAATTCCAGACCCCCTCTCCCTCCGAATTGTGAAATTTCCTTAGCCAGAATTCGCCAGACAAATTTCAGGTCCGACTATTTCCCCAGAAAAATCACATAAATCACGAAAGGAAAAATATTGAGTTGAGCCACGAGTGGAGTTGGAAAATTGACGGCTTTTAATTTCGACTTTTGAATGATTTGTTGGCAATCAAAGTATTTTGGGCGTCGCTTGGGAAATGCGAATCCAAGTCAATCGACTATATGGATTGGATGGTTGTTGGCCAATAGAGGCACACAAACAGAATGCAATTGGGAGGCCATTAAAATGCAATTACAGGCCACCGGTGGTCAGCTGCGGCAATCGGAACCAGAGCCACAAAAACGCAGGCCCAACCGCCGAGTGGGTGGCTGTTTTGATTTTTGGTTTTGTGGCTGCCAATCGATCGATAGCCACGCAATTTGGCATCCTGTTTGGTGTCAATCAAGCCGCCTTCGATTTAGATTTATGCGACAATTCGGTTAGCATTTGCATAACGCCCCGGGTCGCCAATCACGAGGTGTTGGCTTGGTGAAGGGTAAGTCCGCCTTAGTTTGAGATACTTCAGATTTTAGATTTTCGGTTTAAGCCCCGTTGATATGCAGATTTCCCAGGGTCAAAGCCGAAGAATTGTCGCCATCGTAATTGTTTATTGATCTATGGGTAATAAACTTTAAGCCGCGCTTTGTTCGCCCTCTGAGAACTCGGACTTTGATAAAAGTCTTCGACACAAAACACCGATTCAAGGTTCGAGGCAGGCATTTTGCAATTCTTTTCACGCCACGCGTTCTGGCTGATCTTGTGATTTGATTTCTAAAGTTGCCAAGGAATTAAGCATGGCTATTAGGAAATCTGGCAGGCCATTCGAAATGCGGCAAATATGATTTAGTTCTGTTTGCAATTGATTCCGCTCCCTCCACCCAAGTTACGCATACGCCATGTGTGCGCGATAACAAATCAGTTAAAAATTAATGCATGCAAAATATAGGCGAACCAGCTGCCGACCAGTGGCCAGTGGCTACCACCGAATGACCAACTGCACCAATCTCCACTCTCTGTTTGTCAGTTATTAAAGTGAGTAATTTTTCATGGACCACTTGAGTCCATTTGGTGCGTGGAGAGGCAGCTCCGATTGATCATTTGCATGCGGGGAACAACATTTTCCACACCTACGGATCTCTATATCTGTAATGAGCTGTCAGTCAGTCAATCAGCTGATTGATAATCCAGTGCGTGTCTTAAGTCTGCTTTTAGAAAGGATTTACAGATTTACAGATATGCTTAATGGGCTTACAGGATTTTTCACTGAATAATATGGTAGTTAATATTAATTATTTATTTTAATAACTGAAACTAAAGTTATGAGGCTGTAAAACAAGACTTAATAGCCAATTTACAGCTCAAATTACAGTACAGAACCAGAATAAGTACTAGAATTTTCTCAGCTGGAAACCGCTAGAAAACAATTGTTCATTTCCACACCAACATGAATGGAAATATAAAAGTTTCCGTTAGAGCCAGCAGATTGCTGACAAAAAAAGATATGTACAAATTGAATTAAATGCCCATGGAGGTTTTCCATGAAAAGCTGGGATTCGTATTCGGTAAGTCCGATCCCAAGTCGCCGCGTGACTGATCTCTTTCGCGATCTGCTGGTCGGCAAGTGCACAAAGCTTCGGCTCTCGGCGCTGAAAGGGGCGTGTTTACTCTCCCTCTCCGTCGCTCTTTGGGCCAAGATTTGTCAGAATATTTCTCATGTTGCGGGTATAAATAACAGGGCAACTTGAGACGTCTAAGCATAACACACTCAGCTCTTCAGTCAAGAAGTCAAAAAGCCAAAACACCAGCAAAATGTTCAAACTGGTAAGCGCAGGATAAAAAGGATAACTCCCCTATGATGGATTATATTAATATTATTTTCGCAGATCGCTTTCATCTCTGCCCTGTGCGCCGTGGCCAATGCCGGAGTGATCTCGCCCTACAGCCATGGCTATGGACTGGGCTATGGAGCTGCCCTGGCTCCTGCCTATGCTCCCGCCGTGATCTCGCACGCCCCGATCATCAAGAGCTACGCCGCCCCCATTGTGGCCCACCCGGTGGCCACCTCCTATGCCAACACCTACAAGGTGGCCACCAAGGCCTACCCGGTGGTCAATGCCGCTCCCCTGGTGCACGCCGCTCCCCTCGTCCACGCCGTTCCCGCCGTGCATTCCACCTCCACCTACCACGGCTCCTACGGCGGCTACGGCAGCTACGGACTGGGCTACTCCGGCTACGGACATGGAGCCTATCTGCACTAAGGATCTGGCTGAGTTATACGATACCAGGCCCCGTTGACGAACCCCCGAAGTGAGATATTCCAGCCGATAATTCGCATTTTGCTGCCGTCAAAGTGTTGAACTTGCATTTCGTAGTCAGAGGCAGAGAAAATATATCGGGTCAATCCCCAAATTGTGTACAAAAACACCCCTCGAAAACCCAGAAGACCACTTGGAGACGGAGACACTTAGAGAAATAAGGATAACTAACGGAAGGCGGCGAGAGAGCGAGAGAGATTGAATTCGAAAGAAGGATCAAGTTTCGTTGATTTGGTTACAACGGTGCAACTCAATGCACCAAGGCTTCAGCACTTTCTGTAAATAAACGATAAATGACTCTAAAAACGAATGTAAATGATTTTTAATTATCGGGAATTGCAACTAAATTGTAATTTAAATACTATTTAAGGTCCTTATCTGTCCCAAAAATGTTTAAAAAGGTAATTTTGGGCAAATAACACCTAGAGAACTAATTATATTATTGCTATAAATGCGGTATAAAAAAATACTTCTTCTTTAGAAAGGTGTAATGGGAAGACATATTTTCATTTTGGAAGCTAATTTATTTAAAAGGATTATTTATGATCTTGATTTAATTTTGGTTTTAAAAACTCTATTAAAAAAATGGTTCTCCCAAAATTAATTTCACTGCTTAAATCTTAAAGAGCTATTAATACCCAGCTAGTGCTGAATTCGATGATGATTTATTTATATTTATACAACATCTATGGAACTAACGTGTGAACTGAACACTTCTAAGTGTTTTTATAAGGATTCCAGATCGAATTGCTCGTCGTGCCATCACGAATATTTCACACCCAACGGGTTTTTGTATTTCAATCAGCCAACTAGTAATTCACCCCAATCATACCCCCACATTTCGACTCCTATTCAGCATTCAATTGCACTTCAAATTAATTTTACTTGAGCAACTCGCTCGATTCATATCGACTCCATTCGACTCCCGTCGAGTGTTTTGAAATTTCGAAGGAAAAAACAAAATAGCGAATAAATTGTTTTATTGCAATTTGCAACGCCTGGCCCAGCCCACTAACGCCCCTTTCCCCCTCTTCATCAATGCAATTATCATTGCGGAGAGACGAAAGACTCAAGCGACAAACGCGTGCGCCTGTCAACAGGTTGACCAGTGAAAAGTGCGTTGAAATAGATTTTTATTAATGCTCGGCCAACTGTCGCGGCTAAATGCTTTTTGCCCAGTTTCGTAAGTGAAAAATTGCAGCACATCAAGAGCTGCTGAGAAGTGAATTGAGCCACTTAATTACCTTTTCAACCAACCAGCTGATCCTGAAAAAAAACGACCATAATTCAAAGGAAAATTGAAAAGTCGTGTATTAATATTTGCCCGGCGGCTGCGAAAATCATTTGGAAATCAATTTACGATTTTACTCAATAAATGTTATTTCGCAAAGTAAAAATCTTGTGCTGAAGGGTGGGGTTACTAAATATAAATATAATTCATAGCGCCCAATAACAATAAGCCATTGTTGGCGGCTCTTCGACCTTGACAACCAGCTCCGAGTTTAATTTGTCTCAGTTCAGTTCGGCATAAATTATGTCGCCTGTTCATAAAGCATGTCTTGCTTATAGTTATGGGCTTATGGAGACAGCATTACCGTTAGCTAGTCAAGCGATAATTTGGCAACAACCTTGAGGGATTCGCAGACAAAGGTGGGCATGTGCTTCCTACATCTGCGGAGGCCATTGAATATTCATTCGAGCCCGTCGCTTGACACTAAGTGGATGCATTTCTGTGGCAGGTGCTCTCATGGCACAGTTGCAGCTCTCAGCTGTTTCCCACAACCTCGCGAATGCAACACACACCTGTTGTTTACTCGCCGCTCCTCAGATTGAGTGGAAAGCCCAAGTACCGAATTCTAAACTTCCCTTTTGAGTTTTTCCTCTTAGCCCAAGAGTATGCTGAGCTTAATTGAATTATTCAAGCGGAATCGGATTTGCATTTCGCTTTGCTGCTGCTCTGCATTATTAACAAGTCACTGATTCGACGCAGGGCAAGGACCTTTGGCAGGATACCAGTCTTTAATTAAAACCTGCATTGAAGCCACAATCTCTGGAAAGGGAAAAACTGGTCAGCGAGCGTGGAAAATTAATTCCAAAGGCCGCAGGAACTGCTGCTACTGGGGGAAATGCACACGTTTTCAATCTGACCTTGACCAGGACATTGACACGAAGGGAGCTAAAGCTACCCATCCACCCACCCACACTCGTAATTATTTACTTGTTATTTGTAAGAAGGATTTGCAACGGATAATTAAATGCAGCTGTGTCCTCGGAGGTCCTTGCATTGAGTTCAACGACTGTGGATGAGCAATATGGTATAAATATTTTGGGATGGGTGTAATATAAATTCAAAGCAAAGCAAATAATATTCGTAGCATATTTTCCAGCCCACATTCAAGCAGTATGCTCAATCAATTGAGTGAATCAAATCAACGAAAACTTCAAAAGCTTGCAACAAAGTTTTTCCGAGGAGGCGAAAACGCGCAATTGTCGTTGGCAAACACGTGCAGCGATTTAGCACGCATTACGAGTACATTACAATGCGGCTCCAACTCGAGAGCACCTGTTGCCAGCGGCGGTGGAAAATCGGTGGAAAATCGTCGGTGAAAATCGCGGGGGGCAACCACTCGAGGGGCTTGCAAACTCAAGAGCTGGGCGTGTGCTCCACTCAGCGAAGGCAAAGGCAAAGGGAAAATCTTCGGGGAAATTCCCGCTTTTAGTGCCCTCTTTTCGGTTCAGCGAAGGTGAACATATCGATTTCTGATTTAGCCACTTTGTTATGGTAATTTCACTGGCTTCCCACTCCGCCCATTTCCATTTTCCCGTTGTTTTGTGTTGACAATTTCGATGAGCGCGTGTCGCGCATTTGGCAGCCAATTTAATTGGCCACCCGTGCGGGAATTTCGCCTGTTTACGACAGATTCTGGAGCTGATTTTATGGGAGCAGTAGCAGTAGCAGTAGCTCACTTTCGGGCAGCTGCGAGGCGCCTCGAAATGCGCTGCCAACTTTCGGGGTTTTACCAGCTAATTGAGAGCTTCGAACCTGGCTTTGTTGGCGGCGGTAATAAATCGACTTTTAACTGGCGTGTGATATTTTGGCATTTATATTTCGGCAACGGCCATCAATCAGAGTCATAAGGCATAAAAAGGTGCCTGGAACGTGATCGCAATGGGTTTCTTGTAGCCGCCGGTACTTGCTTGTTTTTCTTCTTATTTTTTTATTTGCAGCTGGTGGCGGCAGTAAAAGTTGCATTCGTAAAAGTTATCCATGGATTTGGGTGTGTAAAGTGCACATGCTTATAGCTTCTGTATATTTGTCAGGATTAGGCTGATTTTGGTATTTGGATTTTGGTATCTTGGAAAATCTTAATACATCGTTTTATATATTCAGATCAATGATTAAAGATGATTTGAAATAAGGAACGCTTCTGTCAGTAATCAGTAAAATTGGTTATTGGTTTCTTAATTATACAATTGGACTATAAATTCATAATTTAAATTAAGTTGACCACCAGGGCGTCAAAATACTCAAGAATTAAATATATATTGTCGTGACAACAGATATTATTATTTTAAAATATTGGCAAACATTTGTGGTATGCACTCACCCTAATTAAACCCATTTAAAGTTTCGACCATCGTCGGCTCCTCCGAATTTCCCTTGAGGATGGGGCATTGCAAAACTTGTCGCATGCATTTGCCGCACGATTCGCTTGTCGATTGCACGTCGTGCGCAGATCCCTTAATGGAGTTTTTATATATCGCCTCCTCTAGTTTCCAGACCGCCCCCGCCTCCTCCGCCCCCGAAATCAGCATAATGTAAGCGACGCAACTCGGATCGAGGTATATAAACCTGCGATGGTCAACAGAAATCGATTCATTACGTGTGAAAGTGTCGCGGAGAAGTGACTTAATACGGAAATCGAAAACGGAAGAAAGCTTAAGGAGAAAAAATGTTGAAAATTATCAAAGCAAGTGAATGAAAAGTGATTTTGGGTGTTTATTTTTAATAGATTATTTTCTTATACCTAGAGTGTTTTATTATGTGTTCTGATGTGTCTTGGTTCTCCTGCTCTGGGTAGCTTCCTTCATGGTCCATCGACGGTTGGAGTTCCTGTGGGAGTTCCAGTTCCTGTGCCTGTTCCGGTTCCCTCTCCATTTCCGGTTCCTGCTCCAGTGGCAGTTCCAGCTCCAGTTGCTGTTCCCGTTCCCGTTTCGGATACTGTGACAGTGCCTGCGGCCTATAACGTTCATCAGTCATTTGCCTATGGATCTACAGATCACTATGCTCCCGCTCCTCAAGCGGTCTTCAAATATTCAACCTCCTATGCTGCACCACAGCCGGTTATCAAATACTCCCTAGGAGCTCCGGTAACCACCACCACCACCACTTACACGGGATTTGCTGCACCACCGACTGCTCATTTTGCAGCACCACCACCACAGGTTCAGTTTGCAGCACCACCACAAGTTCAATTTGCTGCACCACCGCCTCCACAGTTCGTGGCCAGATATGCTGCCCCGCCTACGGGCTACCAGTTTGCAGCTGCCCCCTCTTACGGAAGATATAAACTTCACTTTGGAGCACCTCCACCACCATCTCATCATCATTCTCCAGCCGCCGTCTACGGAGCTCCCCCGGCGACATTTAGCACTCAGGGCTGGTAACGCGAGATACCGAAACCCCAACCCCAGATGGGCCCCCAGCTCATTATGCATAACTATGAATGATAATTTCCTCAAATTAGCAATTAATTAAATCTAAATAATGTTGTTATGTTTCGTATTATCCGCGACTCGTGAATTTATGCGAAGAACGCGGAGCGTAGCGATTTAATTATGCTTATATCTTAAGCCCATAAATAATTCAGTTGTTTTCATGGCTTCGAACCGTTTTATTTTGGCTCCGCCAATTTTGGCCAAAGGCGAGGCATGACACTGAGATTGGGCCCAGATGAATACCGCCAGATATTCCGCTATTATCTCCGATAACTTCTGACCAACTGACCTAACTCAACGAACGAAAGAGAGCTAGCGGACTATCCATCAATTGGGTCAACAGTTTAAACTTTAAAAAGCTTTTGAGTTGAAAGATAGACAGCTTGATTACACCTCAAACATTGGCTTTGCATAAATAAATCAAGTAAATTGACGATTTCCGCATTCAGAGTTTGAATATTAAATAGGTGTCATATTTAGTTATCAAGTAATAAAAACAAAAAATGCTTAAAAATTAAAAATATATAATTGTGTTTATACGATAAATATTAATAAATATAAATATTAATACAATAAATTAATTTCAATTTATGTATTCATTATGCATGGCAATATTCCCATAAAAAAAAAAATTACAGTTCCTAAAAATATATACTTATGCCACAAAAATTATTTCCATCTATAAAATAATTCCTTAACAAATTTTTATAGTCACAACCGTCTACCCTTTTTTTCTCAGTGCCAATTAAAATTAGATGCGCATAGATTTTGACCAAGTCCCACCGGCTGAGGTCAATCTTTGACGAGAGACCCACACAGAAAGAGCGGCAATCAAGCGCTGAGATTTGATATGGACAACAATCGGGTCTTTAGCATGCAAATCTCGCACCGCTCCGCCAAAGTCCTCCGTTTTGGTTGGGGGCTAATGGCTTTTTTTATGTTTGTGCGGCATTTCTGGCTCCTGTCACATGACGCTCGATTCAATTTGTGTTTAATAAGCTCAAATGCCGTCGACATGCCTGAGGTATGCAGAAAAGTGTAGAACAGTGTTGGCGGCAAAAGGGGGACTTGCGAAAAACATATATCATACCCCTCTGCTATTTAGCAACCTTAAGCCACTGCTAATTTGAGTAGTTGCATAGTTTGGATGCCAATAAAAATGACCAACATTGATTTATATGCAAGGCAGCCAAATATCAATATTATCAATAGACAAAACTGCCCGGCAACAGCTTTGTTAAGCCACGGGCACAACAAATAAACAAAGTAAATAAACAAAGGCAACAAAATGCCAAAAAGCTTCGTCTTGGCCTGCACTCAAGTGTTGGCTGGAAGCCATTCACGAAGAGTCAGGCCAGCAGAAGACCTGAAAAGAGTGACGGAGAGAACCGATCGCAGCTCCTCCATACGCATATAAAAAGCATCTTCAGCTGGCTCACCAATTTTAATCAGCTGCCAAAGCTGCGCCAGCGAACATCAACGAACCAGCGACCCGGCTAAATAATATATATTGTTTTTAAGAACTAGAACTGAGAACTTCGGTAAAAGTGTTGTGAAATGGCGCCCAATGTGAGTGCTTTTGTGTGTGAGAATATATACGGTTTAATGCCACTAAAAACCTCTTTTAGTTGACCTGTGTGTGGATTGTACTGCTGCAATTGGTGGGCCTGGCTCTGTCGGATGTCTCCCATTTGGATTACTCGATTACGCCCAGTTCCCAGCTGGCCTACTACCATTATCCCGCCCCCAGCCGACAGGGAGTTCAGCGGACCCAGAGAACCCAGTATCAGCAGACCCAGCAGTATCCCCAAGTGGCCCGTCAGTTCGCCGAGCCCGCTTTGGAGCAGGCTGCCTTCACCCAGGCCCTGACCAGCCAGGGCTACGTATTTGGAGCACCCTCGGCTTCAGCTCCAGCTGCTCTTCAGGTGGCTCCACCGGCACCACTGCCCCAGCAACTGGTAACCAGACCTTCAGGATCTGCGACAGGTCGCTCCATAGGCTCCTCCTCCTCCTCAGCGGCCGTGGATGCCAACTCCCTGAATCTCAAGCTGCCCGTGCCCTTTGGCTTTACGCCCCTGAATGTAGCCCAACTGCCACTGCAGGCCGGAGCCCCCTATGCCAGTGTGCCCCGTACCACAGGGCTCACTTCCTACGGAACACCGCAGATCCAGAGGCGCTAAACTAATCCCCAGAATTTAGGATATTAATAAATTTAAACGAGCCAGAGCCATCCCGACTGATCATCAAACTGCGATGACTTCTGCTCTTAGTGAATACACATTGATAATAATAAACTTGCCATCTAAGCTTAGTCTTTTCGGTCGAGTCTTGAGTTTTTATTGGCCATTTTTTTGTATTTGTCTCATTGCCATCGATGGAGACTGCATTTGCATAATGCCTTGAAGGTTGAGACGCAGACACAACAAAGAGGTTTACACCTTTCACTCTCCTCCGATGGGTTAATAGTGTTAGCCATATTTACATACACACAAATCGGGCCAAGAGATCTCATCTCATAATGAGACCTTAAACTTGGCATTGGAAATGGCTGTGAAAACAAAAGAAATCGAGCCAGCGACTAAGTTGTGACGTATATTTATGAAAGCCAATTAAAGTCAAGTGTCATTGATGAGGGTCTGGGAACGGAACTGGGAACTCAGAACTGGGATCTGGATCTATATATATATTTATTATAGCAAAGGGGATAGAACCTGCTTTCCCGCGAAAACAAAAACAGGAATTAGAATGTGATCTGCATAAATTTGGCTTTCGAAAATCCATTAAACCAAACGGTACTGACGACAGTCAAATAATTCTTAAGGGGGATAAAGCTTCTGAAGCGGCTCTAAATCAGCTTGCAGTCCAATTGAAAAAGGTTAACTAGGAAGTGAGCGGATAGCACCAGTGTGAAGTGGAGTGCTGAAGACAAGAAGGTGATGGCGATGATGATGGGTAGATATATTTCCGTGCTTGACTCACCGGAAAATTGGCGCGTCATCGGTCGAGAATTCCAGTCCAGAAATTGTCTTGGCAAGTGAGCGAGAGGTCAGCCTTTGAGTTGGACTGTACCACCTGTGGTTCAACATTGGATCACTCCGATCAGAAGTGGCGGCAATGCGGATACAGAATACAGAATACAGTTACATGCGTGGGGCAACTTGATCGCCCGATTGCCAGACAGCATATATATCTCGCCCTCTCGACTCGTCATCGCAGAAGACCTTGAGATCGGCGTCATCATCGGTTCGGATTCCAGAAGCAGCAAATATATAGCGACTTTCAAGTTGCTCTGTCCATGTTTTTAACAATTGTCATGTTAATAATCCAGATAAAATTCTTTCTAGCTTAGTAATTAAATCCATGTATTAATCTCACAAAAATTGGTTAGCTATAGCATCGCTTATAAATGAATAGCATCAATAATTATGTGATAGTTAATCTTCCTAGATAAATTGTGATAATAAATTTGCAATAAATAATCAGAAATATCTTCCAAAAACACCCCTTCTAAATATACAAAAAAATCATTTTCCATCACTTTTTAAGTTATTTTATTTTAATTTTAAGAAAAATCTGAATTAAACTCCTGAACTGAATGACTCCTTTAAATTGTAGTACCTATCTTTTTCCTGGATAATCCTTATAAATGCAATCTCCGTTACATTGTAAGTTAATTTTTGGCTTCCTCGTTAGTAAAGGAAAAGTACTCGCCTCGTAAAGAGCACAGCCATGCAAATCGCAGGCCAACAAGCCATCAGATATCAGATGACGACGATGCTGCTGACCAGGCCAGCACGTGACCGAAAGAGCTGCGATGGCTCATTAAGTCGGCAAGCCGGTTTCGACTGCTCGATCACTCGGTCCCTCGCCCTCTTACCCTCTCACCCCTTTGGCCAATTAAACCGTGCCGAAATGATTGAGCCAGCCACATCACATCCTGCGGCCAGTTGGCGTCAAGGTCAGGTCAACACGAAAACAAATGAAGCTCCGGCGGCCAGGATGAGAGGGAAATTTACGACCGCCTTTTATTGGCAACTCGGCGAGCCATTAAAAAGTGAACTAATGAGACATTTAGTGGGGCGGAATTGTGGCCTAGAGGGGGGCGACGAGTTTAATAGCCAATTTGGCTTAGATTGCGGCCAATTCAATGCAAGGCGGCGCACATTGATGGCCCAAACAGACTGCAAATTACGCACAGACCGCCCGGCCACCGAGGGACTCTTCAACTGCATACAAATGTCGATCAGTGCACTGGGAAAAAATATATAATTTAGATAGAAATTTAAAAAATAAATACATAAAAAAAAAAAATGTTGAAAAAATATGTTTCTTTGGTGGAGAAAGTTAGCCTAAATTAAATGTGGGTTAAATATCTTTTATGGGGAAATATAATTTATGAATTTTATTTTAGAATTTTAAAAGATAGAATTTTTCTTATTTAAAACGGATTTTAAATAATTTTTGTGCCTTTAAATTCACTGTAAACTCATTGCTAGATTATATTAGCTAGTTAGATATATCCAATGTTAAATCTATAATTTCTCCGAGTGCCTTGAACAAATCCAAACGACAACTTGGACAACTTCCGACAATACATTGGGCAATTGAAGGCGGAGCACGTCTTGGCCAAATGGCGATCATGTATGCTACTTGGCACTCGACCAGGTTAACCAGCTAAAGAAGAAGCGACCAAAAATCGGCTCAGACAGAATGTCCCCCAAAGAGTACGGATATGGGCACGAGCTATATAAGCAACTGGGCTGGCTGCAAATGAACATTATCGCTCAAGAGCTTTAGACAAACCCAAGCACAGCAAAATGTACAAGTTTGTAAGTTGATAAAGGAGTTCCCTAAAAAAGGAGGTTTAAATTTTAACTAATGAATATTTTTTTTCCAGTTGGTTCTCGCTGCCCTCATCGCCTGCTCTGCGGCCAAGCCAGGAGTTGTGGCCCCACTGGCTGCTCCTCTGGCCTACGCCAATGCTCCTCTGTACGCCGCCGGCGGCAGCAGCCAGGTGGATGTCCGCAACAACTACGACGGCACCCTGTCCTCCTACACCACCGCCCCCTTTGAGTTCACCGCCCCCTACTCCAGCCGCTATGTCTCCGGCATCCCAGCTGCCCCCGCCGTGGTGGCCAAGTACACTGCTGCTCCCGTGGCCGCCGCTTACTCCGCCCCTCTGGCTGCTCCCGCTGTTGCTGCTCCTCTGGCCGCTGCTCCCCTGGCCGCTGCTCCTTATGCCACCCCCTATGCCGCCGCCGCCTACTCCGCCTACCCCTACGCCTCTCCCTACGCCGCCCCCTACCTGGCATCGCCCTACGCCGCTCCCTACGCTGCTCCCTTCGCCGCTGCTGCTGCAGCTCCAGTGGTGGTCTAAGGACACTCCCATAAACCAAACCAAACTATAGACAATTTTTGTAAACAAACTTGAAATAAATAACGAACAAACAACTATGAAAACCGGATTTTTTCTTTCATTCAAATCATAAAACCATATCCCTTACAATCGGCATTCGAAAAATCCATTCTTCACATAAAAATTAAGATTTTGGATTTAATAATATTTCTGTAAATAAGTAAAAATTCCGAAAAAATTTATTGATAGAAAAATGCTGCGCACTTACAATTTTTAAATCTTTCATGAGATGTAGTCTTTCTCAGAGAAAGAGTTATTCTCATATTCAAATTAATTATTGCTAAGCTTTTTTGAGAACCAGTTATAAATCTTGTCAACATTTTATATTGCTTTTCAATTTACACTTAATTAAATGTATTAAAAAAGCCTTTTCCTTTCCGAATTTATCATGAATTGATTTTTTTATAATTTTAGTTTTTTTAAAAAAATTACAATTTACAATTTTTTAACAATTTGTGCATACAAATGTTCGCACTGAGGAGACAAAATGTACTAAATAGGTTATAAATTGGACTTAGTAAAGTTCAAACTGCAGAAGTTAGTCACACAGTGTGTAAACAACATTTGTTGTGATTGCGTTGTCACCTAAGGCGCAATATCGATTGTTATTTATGGTCAAAGCAATATTTATGGGTTATCATAATCATATGCCACTTATGGGGAACTGTCAATGCCTGGGCTTGGTTTGGCCTCATGTTATATAATCTTGGGCCGTGCTTTCGAATCGCCCAAGAAGTTATTGGCCCCTTCATGGCAGTCGCAGTCACGACTTGCTGACCAACTAAAGGGGCCTGGGTTACCTCACCTCGAAACGAGCCAAATTCAAACCAACCCATTGAACTGAGTAGGCCAAATCGGCGACGAAAGTGAAGAAATGCAAGTGCAAGTTGTTTGATTGAAGACCGCCTCAATTTCGCTATAAATATTAATGGAATTCGAAAAGGGGAAGTCATTAACAGCCGAACCAACAGGTCGAGCACATCGATCGAGAAGCTACTCCCCCAAAGAAACCGAACAGCAAATCCCCCAATCAAGATGTGGCAACTGACATGGGTGAGGATTCAAGGAGGACTTTTACCCAAGGGCTTTAAATATTAAATTTACTGATCTCTTTAGACCTTCGCCGTGGCTTTCCTTCTGGTGGGTGGTGAGGCTAAACCCACCCATCCCTTCAATCACCACTTTAACCACTTCGATCCTCATCACCTGGGACATTTTGATGGTCATCATCTGAACCACCTGGATTCCCTGCACGCTCTGCCGCACCACCTGGATTATGCGGTGCAGGAAACGGCTCTTCCTCTTCCTCCGCCGGCTCCTCTTCTTCCTGCGGTGGCTCCACCACCGGCTTTTGCTCCTCCACCACCGGTCTATGGTCCTGCACCACCGGTTTATGGTCCTGCACCACCCGTTTTTGGACCTCCTGCACCTGTATTCGCTCCAGCTCCTCTATTACCCGCTCAGGCACCACTTTTACCCGCTCCTGCACCACTTTTACCCGCTCCTGCACCACTTTTACCCGCTCCTGCACCACTTTTACCTGCTCCTGCTCCTCTTTTACCTGCTCCTGCATTCCTGCCAGCTGCTGCACCACTGCTGCCAGAGTTCCACGTGCCCAGTGTGACCCACCAAGTGCTGCCACCCGTCCTGGAGGCGGTGCCCTTTGCACCCACCTATCGCGCCATTCCCGGACCCAAGACCACCACCCACCGAGTGTCCATCGGCTACGCCTTCCCCAAACTGCTGGCCGCGCCTCACGCCCACCTGAAAGCCCTGCCCCTGAAGTTCGCCCACCACCATCATCACTCGTTGTGGTGATGAATCCTCACGGATTACGGAATCCTCACCAAAGAGTCATTAAAGTCAGCTAGAAAATGTTAAATGTTAATATACACGTACCTGCATTACAACATAATTTATCGAATAAATATAGTACAATAAAACGAAAATTCAAGTGAATTACATTTATTACGGTCTTAAGCTTTGGAAATGTCTGAAAGACAGATAAACATTCTTACCAAAAATAGAAAACCCATAGAATGTACACAACTACGGATGATAAAATCATAGGCAGGCCAAAAATTAGCCAAAATACACATATTTGATATCTGATTCAGACTCTCATTACGAACCAGACGCCTCGTAATGTCGCCAAATGGGGTTTCAGTTATTCGGCTAACAAAGTAATGGTAACACACATACACACACCGATAAAAATGCTGTTAGTGAATTTCCAACTGCACGCAACAAGAAATCGAATCAGAAATTCCAGACACAAAACCCGGCCCAAACACGCGACAATTGTTGCAACAAAAAAGCATACGAAAAAGTGGCAATTCAATTAAATGATTTTAGCCAAGGGAGGCAACACGTTTTTTGGGTGAATAATTGCAGCTCATTTGGCCGACACCACCCACCGAAAAGTAAGCCAAAACCCAAACTGTCATAAACTGGGGGGAAAAAACGAAATCTTGCCCAATATTGGCCTAGGTTATGGTCGGGAATTGCGTGCAATTATGAAAGTTTTTTGGGGGGCGATCGACGTAAGAGGCGACCGATTGGTTATTAAGTACACATATCGGCCCGATCCAGCAATGCCCTTCATCGGGCCCCCATATAGAAAGTCTTCCAAGGTGTTTTCGTATGCCTGGCCACCGATTACCCGAGGGCTACAGAATTATAAAAGCGTTGCTTGGAGCTCCGTTTGATATCACAGTTCAGTCTGCCCTCAAGCTAATCACACCTAGCCAACCCGAACCCAAAAAACCAATCAAAATGTTCGCCAAGATTGTGGTGAGTTTGGAAGGATTCTCGGTTTAATCTCACAGGATATAATAAATACTATTTCGTTTCCAGCTCGTTGCCCTCTGCGTGGCCTCTGCCCAGGCTGGTCTCCTGCCTTTCCATGCTCCTGCCCCCCTGGCTGCTCCTCTGGGAACTCCCTTCGCCGCTCCTCTGGCTGCTCCACTGGCTGCTCCTGTGGCCACTGCCGGCGTGGTGGCTCCCTATGCCTCCAGCTTCAATGCCCACCGCATCAACCACGCCGTCGCCTACCCAGTGGCTCCTGCCCCAGCTCCAGTGGCCTTCGCTGCTCCCGTTCCTGCTCCTCTTCCAGTTCCTGTGGCTGCCCCAGCTCCAGTGGCCTTTGCTGCTCCTGCTCCCGCTCCCGTGGCCTTCGCTGCACCTGCTCCTCTGCCAGTGGCTGCTGCCCCTGCTCCCGTTGCCTTTGCCGCCCCCGCTAAGGTTGGATTTGGACCCTTCGCTGCTCCCGTGGCCGCTCCCCTGGGATTCGCACCTGCTCCGGCGCCTGTGGCCTTCGCCGCCCCCGCCAAGTTCGGATTCGGACCCTTCGCCGCTCCCCTCGCTGCTCCAGTGCCAGCGCCCCTGGCTGTGGCCCCCAAGTTCGCCCCCGCCCCGTACTTCTTCTAAGGATTCAGCCGCAGGATCACCCAACTCACCCACATCCGTCCTATTAGCTTGTAGAACTAGCCCAAATCTTCATACCCAGAGAGCAGCAATGCTTGGCGAATAAACAATTAAATCATTTATCAATTTATTTCAAGACTTTTCCTGGGGCGATTTATATGATCGGTTTTCGGTGATATTTCCTATCATAGCTACCTTGGGATATACCTCCAATAACCGTTTAGCAGATGATTAATGTCCAGCGAGATTAAAGCCTTCCGGTAAAATATAGGTGTAAAATATCACTTAAATGTCTTTTTTGATATATTAAAGTTAATGAATCCAAAATGATTACTTGGCATTAAAGCAAAAATCACTCCTTATTTTAGTAATCAAGAAAAGAGTTTTCCATTCCTTTAGCCAAAAGCCATACAATTTTACCTTAAAACTCTATTTATTTTATTATTATAAGATATATTTCAGTATACATTTTCATGATAACACCAGCTAGAACCTCTTATTCTTCACATGACCGATCCGCTGGAAGAGTGGAACATGTTCGTAGGGCGTGTGCGAAATGGGCACGGAATCGTAGGTGACGTGGGCAATCTTGGTGAGAGGTGCCACGATGGTGTAGCCAGGATGCTGATCCAGTTCCTGGGGCGTGGAGGCCACCGGCAGAGGATGATGATAGATCACGGGGTGGTGGTAAATGACCGTGGCGGTTAGGACCCCACTCAGCAGGGCGAAAAAAACGAAAACCTTAAAAACAAATGAGAGATAAGATTTGCAAAGGGAACTCTGAGAATCCAACCCGTTTACCTTGAGCATTCTCTGGTGATATTCTGGCTGGGACTGCACTTGGACTAAACTGAATTCAGCCGAAGGCCAATCAATTTATAGGCTCGTCTTCATCGCTGGCTTTCCGTTCCTCTTTTAAACAGTTAGGAACCGGTTGACAATCCCCTGGAATACTGAAGTGCTGAGATACCAACTGCATTTCCTTCGCCACCAGGGAACCTGTTGCAACATCCACTTTATAGTGGGAGCACTACTCCACTTGGCCTTTTGTCCCCTTCTCTTCCGAGAAACCCGTTTTCAAGTTCAAGTTTAAAGCGTCCACGCCGAAGATTGTCAAAGAGTCAGTGACTCTTTTGTGCACTTAATTATGGCATATCGTTGGTTTTGTTGTCTTACATTTCTCTGTTTTTGTTTGTTTTTGGGTTGTGAGTTAGTTGGTCGCACGTCTTTGGGTTTTGCCTTTGTTTCCCCGTTTTTATAGTCGTTTTTTAAATCTAATCATTGCCCAATCTTGTGTTTTTCGTGCTATTTTATGTTTCTTTCGGAGGTGTTAAGAATTGATTAGCCTGACTTTATTCGGCTCTTTATGCTTAAGCTGTTATAATCGATGTTTTGAGCTTTATACTAGGGCATACCCTATATAGAATCCGGTTTATAAGTTTTGGATGTTGTTTTTGTTACTCAACCACCAAATTAAACGTACGATTTACATTTGTCAATGGGTGTTGATTAATTTAGCTAAATGAAAATTATAATAAAAGATAGGTATAGCATTTTTGAATATTTTCTTTATTTATGTTCTTATTTATTATCTTGAAAAACAGCATCTTAATATATAAATAAATATATACACAAACATCGAAAGCCCATTGACCCCAAGTTCTCAGTCAAATCATGTGATCTGATCAGAGTCACATGAATGAAACGCTGGAAAAGGCCACCCACTGGATTTAGACTGCCCACAGGCCAAAGAAAAAACTGGAAGTGGAACCATTGTGGACTGGTAAATGCCAAACTCGATTGCAGATTATACAATGGAGGTCCAAAAGGCGAAAAACAGGTGTCGGAATTTGATTTTACTTGCAGCGGCTAAGGATGGTTTTGTGGCACGCCGCTTACTTGGGCAACTTGTCCAGCGAATTAGAGTACTTTGTGGCCACTGTTCATTAGATCATCGATGTCCATGTGGGGATGCAATCCGTTGCACTGGGAATGGGTATAAAAGAGCCGCGTTGGGATCGAAGGCAGCAACACTATTGGTTCAGCCTCCCCAGCAGCAGCAGGAAAATTAGCCACAGCAAGATGTATAAAGGAGTGAGTAGCAGAAGGATATTAAAGGATAATTAATTTATATATTTAATTTTTAGATTTTATTTGTGACTCTGGCCTGCCTGACGACCTCCATCCTGGCAGCTCCTGCTCCTGAACCTGCTCCTGCTCCCGCTCCCTCGCCCAGCATTGGATTCGGACATGGCTACGGTGGATACGGCCTGGGATTGGGCCTAGGCATCGGGCACTACGGAGGACTCTATGGCGGCCATTACGGCGGACACTTTGGAGGAATCGGGCTGGGACTGGGCTACCATGCACCCATCATCTCCAAGACGATCATCGGCAAGAGCTATGGCCTGGGCGGCTATGGTTATGGCCTGGGCCACGGATATCTCGGAGGCTACGGACACGGACTGTACGGAGGACACGGTCTGGGTCTGGGCCTGGGATACGGACTGGGCTATGGCTACGGCCATGGTTGGTAGAGGTGCTCCAAGGTCCAGTAATCTCAAGCCACTTCAAAGTGTGGAGCCACGACGAGCGTGCAACATGTGAGAGTTTTCAATCGAGTCATTTACTTCGCAGTACCCAAATCATTACGATAGCCTTAATCAGTCAATCACTCAGCAAGTCAATAAATCAATAAAAACAAAGCAACAAATATACACAAGAAAAATTGTATTATTGATCGTTCGAAATTATTTATGGATTTTAGGGAAAACTTTAGATATATAAACTAAGCAGAATATAATTTTCTTTTGTTTTTAAAGAATTTTTTTTTTACATTTCACAATGATTGGCTATGTAAAATCCCACAATATTTAAAAAACAACATTCCCAAAAAGAATGTCTTTTAAGTATTTTTAACCCATTAAAATAAAAACCTTTGCTATTCCAAAACACTTGTGACTGATTTTTTTAAATTCAAACGAAATTTATTTCCACATCAAACCCACACTTTACAATCTGATTTTTGATAATTTGATATAATTTCACAAATCTCTACTATATCCTCTCTCTCTTTTTCTCTGTGTATTTTACTCCTTATATCTCCGATCCAAACGAAACGAAAGCAATGCAGAAAACGATGATGTAAGGGCTGGACAATCCTTACCAACCATGCGCCAGTCCGTAGGAAGGAGCAGCCAGGGCCGGATAGGCTGACTTGTAGCCCAGTCCCAGGGGAGCAGCGAGAGGAGCATGAGCCAGGCCCAAGGATCCATGGGCCAGACCCAGAGGAGCATGAGCCAGGCCGAGGGAGCCGTGAGCCAGGCCAATGGGACCATGTCCGTAACCCAATCCGTAGGTCGAGATGGCGGGAGCAGCCAGAGGAGCGTGTGCCAAGGCCGGGGAAGCATAGCTAATCCTGGGGCCCAGGAGGGAGGGAGCGGCCAGGGCGTGTCCATAGGAGATGGCCGGAGCAGCAGCCAAAGGCAAAGCCGGAGCAGCTAATCCACCCAAGTATCCCGGAGCGGCAGCAGCGCTGGCCAGGCAGAAGGCGGCGAAAACGAACTATTTATTTGAAAAAAATATATTGATATTAAAAATCATATTTTAAGGACTTTCGCCTAAACTTACGTATTTGAACATTTTAAGTTTTGGTTGCAAGTTGAACTCGTGGCAAGAACACAAAGCTGAATAATGCCGCTGTCTAAGGCACAAATGCTTTTATAGCCCAAAGACCTGGCCGAAAATGTTGCACGAGAACAGATCCAAGCCGGTGGCCCAGAGACTTTTACTTTTGTTCAACGGAGAGACTCGGCCCAAGCGAAAAAAGTCCCAGAGAGCAACATGCAAAGCTGGCCTGTCGAGTATCGAGATGGCGATAGAGGCCTGCGACCCGCCAGAGAACCGCATTGCCCCGCCCCAGACAACGCGGATGTTTGCCTGGGCTGAGATTTGGCCATACCCTTTCAGAGGGTGTTGTAATACTAAGCAGGAAATTCACTAAAACCTAAATTATAAGTTATTATTAAGTATCCAGTGGGAACCATGTAAGTAAGGGTTTTTATAATAAAACACTAAGGGCTTACGGATTTGGAATTTATTGTTGCATACTTTTAGACACCTTTAAAGTGATTTAAATTATTTATTTCATTTTCCATAAACACACAGCACTTATACAATTAAGTTATTATTCCTAGTAAAATGTCACAATCAATATGATTAATTTTCACTCCGATTTTTTATTCGTCTAAATTATAAATTTAATTTCCACTCAAAGAGCATTCCCACATCGATCAGCGATCACCCAACTTTGTTGTTTGATTTTGAATAATTTCTGATAAATTTGTTTTTGGTCTATTTACCTTATGCCGCAGCCGCGACAAGGTGTGTGTGAGAAAAACTTAAATTGCATTTTGTATCTTGCCTTATTCGGTTCTTTTATGCATTTATTTTCCTGCAGCCAACAAGTTTCGCTTATTCCGCCGTTTAAAATCATTTAAATGAGCCGCTACGAATGCGTGCGGCTATTTGGCTGGTAGAAATTTTCGCAGTAAATGCTCGAGCATTCAGAGCCGAAGTCTTAATTACAACACAGACCGGCAATGAATGGGGCGTGGCGGCTACACACCTGTGCGTAAAACCGAAGCAAACCAGATCCGCCCCGCGATCGTTTTATGTGGGCCAAAATCGACTCGCAGCTCGATGTGCGTTTAGAACAATAACCGATCGCAGGCAGGGGCGTGGGCAAGGTCGTTCTTTGTGCGGCGGCGGCGGGGGGATCCTGGGCCCAGCTACGCCTCTGGCGGAGGTAACTTATGAACTGGTGCACCCATAACTCATGCGACAGCAGCAACAACGCCGAAGGAACTGCGGCTGCCAGTTAATTGCCAGCGACCCACTCTATGCATAATTTTACAGACAGCGCTTTACGCAAGCCCAAAGCACTTAACACTTATGAAAGGGGCGGGGCTCGGAAAGGGGGCCAAAAAGGGGTCGGGGACTCGCTCCAGCACTTGTTGAAATCCCCGCCCTGCAGGCGATAGTCAAACTAAAAATACTCGCTTGGTTTTAACACTTTCTGACCAAGATATTCAATGTGCAATGAGATTTGTTTGATTAAAAATATTATAATTAAATAATAAGTCAGAAAAAAATATGGGGAGGTATACATATAGATGATGTGTTGATATCCAACAAAATATATATTTTATTTCTATTTATTTATTTTTTATTCACAATTTTAGTATTTAAAGTTATACTTAAATTTCTAAATATTAATCAGATCATTTTTAAAAGTTAGATACAATTTTAATATATAAATTCTTTATTTTAAATTATAATGTAGGACCAAAAGGGTTAATGAGAAGGCTTAGCCTCGTCCAGAAAAAGCCTGCGGGCGAATGGAAAGGCAAAAAGCCTGTGACAATAACAAGGTGGTCTAAAAGGGGGGTAAAAGGGGTTCCCAATGCGTAACTCGAAGGGGATTTGCATTCGCATACGCCGTGTGGGCGATGGTGATGTTGATGGCGACTCGACTAGCCGAAGTTCTCCACCCGATTCGCGCTTTTGGGCTGTAAATCAAACTTGCCAAGCATTTCAATTAAGAGCCTCCTGAGATCCGGCTCTACTTGCAGTCGGTGCCTTGCTGATATCTACACAGTGCGAAAAATCGCTGGCAATTAATTTTGTGGCACTTGTGCAACACAGCGATTAAATCAAAATGCAATTTATTGGGCACCCGAGTTGAAATGCGAGCGCTCACGGATCGGGTTTTTTTTACTTTTTATTGATGTCTCCGCAAGTTGATCGCAGCAAGTTCTAATCGACGCAGACTCGCCATTATCGTTTCAATGCTCTCGAATGACAGTGTACAACTGTCAATTAGACAAGATTGTTGTAATCGCCCGAGCAGTCGCTAAACAGCGGGGGGTAATTATAGCATATGCCTCTGGGAGTCTGCTTGTTTGTAAAGTGGATATGCGTAAAGCTAATTGGAGGTAACTTAGATTTATTTAGGAGGAGCAACTAAGATAAACGGCAATTTATCTCTCCATAATATAAAGAACAAGATGGATCGCTGTACTCGAGTACCTTCAATGTACCTCAGTTGAATGAGCGTGAGAGGGACGAAGAATTCATTATTTTTTCATAACTTTTCAATGATTTACAATTTTACAATAAATTTAAAACGGTTAAATATTTATTTTCATTTTAAATTATTTATTTATTTATTTTTACTTTAAAATATACCTTACCTCTAACAATAATTTTCTGCACTACCCAACTGTAGCCTGGGAAACCAAACGCTTAAGTGCAATTTCTGGGGCTTCGGCAATTAAAAATCACCGCGTGTTTTGCGAGGTGGTGAGCCACCTTATTAATGGGGCGTGACCATCAAGACAAAAGGCTGTGTTAAAATTTTAATTTAATTTTCCGACTGCAGCCACAAACAAGTAAATTAGCTACAAGAAGTGCAGCTACTCGTGTAGGAGGCAGGGGGGCGGGACAAAAGGCGTTGAAAACATCGAAGTGCTTTTCAAATCAGCGACTCAAAGACTTGAATTAATTTGCAAAATTTAGCTTTAGTTAAATGTCGTTCTCTTGATTTGATTTTCATACTTCTCGCCGGTCGCACGAGGCGTATGATTAATGCCAAAGTGGCCAGGGCGTGACTTCATTTAACTTATTGATTGCTTGTGATTCGTAAAATGCAATTTAAGCGGCGCCATTTAATTGAGTGCACTACTCGCAGTGGCAGTGCCACAGCCAACCAACCAACGACCTCTGAGCCTTTGCACACGCAACTTGCAATCGAAATGATAAACAATGCCGCGAGCTGTGGCCATATAAACTATGAAGGGCCAGGGTGATAATGGGGTTCAAACTGCGAAAACAAAGCTCAAGGACTACGCCGAGAAACGTGGCAAAATGTCGATGAACCGGAATAACACACACAGAGCCAGGCAAGAGTTGAAAACACTCTTTGAGGACACTCTGTCATATGGTAAATATTTAAGAAGGATAGGGATTGGTCCCGGCAAAAGCAAAGTTAAGTAATGGAAAATATCAGATAAATCGAGATTTCGATTTAAAAAAGAAGTAAAAGCTCAATTAAATGAAGTGCTATACTAAAATAGTATTAAAATAGAGCAAAGCTTAAAAAATGTTAATCTACGTTTTATCATACTTATAGGAAAAGGATTTTTTGAAGCTAAATTTTCTGATGAATATCAAAAACAAAATATTATTGACCTTATTTTAAAAATTCAAATCTTTAAGCATTGTTCATAAGAAATTTTGTGGATAATCCTAGCTTGGTATAGTGGATAAAGTGGCAAAAAAAGTAGCTCCTTTAAATAGCTTCCTTTGAGCACAATTCCCGCTGCCCACTGCAAGATTCATTTTAAACGGAAGGAATAAAACTCGTTTCAGTTCTCAGTTGGTCAGTGCGTGGGCCTGAATCATTGCGTTTTTATTTGTGTTTGCCTCGGAGCGTGTATCTCCATCTCCGTTCGTATCTGTATCTGCGACAGTGACGATGTCTGGAGGACACGTGCGGCATCCTTGCAGCAGCCCTTCTGGACATCTTACTTCTTCAGGATGGTGGCCACAGGGGCGGCGGCATAAACGGCGGGCAGGGCGGCGCTGTGGGCCACACTGTGGGCACTGTAGCTACTGGCATAGGGGGCGACGTAGGGGGCGAAGGCAGAGGTGTAGGCGGCGGTGTAGGCGAGGGGGGCGGCGGCTGGCAGCGAGCTGTAGGCCAGGGGCGTGGAGTAGGCCAGAGGGGCGTTGTAGGCCAACAAACCAGGATTGGCAGCAGCGGCGGCGAACAGAGCGCACAGGACAACGGCGAACTGCAGGATAATCATAAGCAATATTCGGAGAAAATACTTTATAATATTAAAAAAATAAGTAAATAATTTTATAAAATTAGTTTGTCTTCATTAGTTCAATTTATTTTATTCAAGAATAATATTGTGATATCCTTAAACAAAATCTTTATCAACTTACGAATTTCATCATTTTGCTTAGGTTGTGTTAACTTCGAAGCTAGACTTCTGATTGATGTCTTTGCTTGGATTTGAAGTGGTTTATATAGTCAAACATTCATTTCATCCTTGACAAAAGCCCACAATGTTTAAAACATTTTCATCACGTTTGTACCAGGGCTAAATCAAGGCCAATAATTTGGTCGCTTTTTTACTAGCTCACTTAAAGTTTGCAGATTACTATTTGATACGCTTGCAGATAGCACGCATTTCTGGTGAATTTATTTTCAATAAATGTTTTAGATTTTATTCCTCCCTTGAGCAGTTGAGCATTTCCGCGACTGGCGTCAGTAGCTGCCTGTTGCGGATTGAATTATCATAATTTAACACTCAGTGCGTTTTGTGGGCTACGGACGTGCGTGTCATTCCAACCGTCTTGGCCATCTTCGTCCGGAGTTCGTCTCTTTACGTTTCAATTGTCAGCCACTTGAACGCGCCGCTTTGCATTCTAATCAGAGATGCAAATAAAAATATATGTGGCTTATCCATCCAGTTTCGAAGGACGTCATCGAGTTGAACCTTTGGGTTTAAGGTGGAGGCCATTCGAAGCAGGGAATCGTAAACATTGGATCAAGGGCTCCGGGAGTTCAAAGAACCTGCCAACGAGTTGACCCTTTTATTCTAGTGTAAACATGGCCTTCAGAATAAGAAACGCAGTTTCCTTCATATTTTCTATTTTTATTAAACAAATAGTACGTTTCCAGCTAGTTAGATGGTTGAAGAATTGGCAGGTACAACTGAATACAATTATTTATATTTTTGAAACAGATTAAGAATTAATAATGTAAATTGAAAAATTAAAAAAAAATAAATATTTCATAAATAACAATCACATATTAGCAAATTACATTATTGAAATGTGGTTTTAGGTCTACCAATTTTCTTGAAAATACAGCGTAAGTTAGGGCAGTTTATTAATTCATTAAAAATAAATTTTGCTCTATTTTCACCGAATTCTTGATATTTTTACAAATTGAAAACTTGTTTAGCCAAAAATGTTTATAGGTTTTATGAGAATAAATAAATAAATTTAATTTATTTATTTCAAAAAATCAGCCTAAAAGTATGTGAAATCTAATAAAAGTTTAATGAGTACAAGGTAAAGAAAAATACAAGAATTGTTTACGTTTCACGCAAAGTGCAGTATTTATTTCAACAATAATAATCCATTTATATTTGTGTGTCCTGTTCCCATGACTTAACTTTCAGCAGTCGGCAGAGGTGGGAAAGTAGAGGGTCTGCCGAACTAATACCAGGGATGTAGATTTAGGTGGATAGCACGGGGCTGGAGAATTTAGATGGTTAGCGGTAAGGTATCCTTGTTGTAATAGGTATATGGTTTCAGGTCCAGTTTAGCAGTCGGGATTCAAGAAATCCTTAACGGTAGTAGGCGGCATAGGGGTAGGCGGAGTAGGCCGAGTAGGCGGACGCATAGGGATAGGCGGAGTAGGCAGCGGCCACGGGAGCGGTGTATGCAGCGGTGTAGGCAGCCGAGTAAGGAGCTGCGGCCACATAGGGGGAGGAGTAGGCGCTGTAGGCCAGTGGGGCAGCAATCACCGCCGGCTTGGCAGCAACACAGGCCACGATGGCGAACAGGCAGAGGGCGAACTGTAATTACGAGAAAAATCACAATGAGTACTCCTTCAATCGCCGAATAGATCCAGTAATCCTTTGATCCTTACGTATTTGAACATGTTGAGTTGGTTGGTTGGTGTGAACGGTTGGTTCTCAAGCACTAGACTGATATCTCCTAGACTCTAGCCACTCGGGTATATATAGCAGAATCGGTCGAGAAAATTCCAAGCCTAAGCCTCGAAGCAGCGAAGGTGATGCCTATCCATTGGTATTCACAGGCCATCCCCAGATCGGTTCCAAGTCCATTTTAAAGCCAGCCAAGGAGAATCTTGAGCATTATGGCTTTGCACTTTTGGTTTCATTTGGTATTTTTAAAAGCGTGACGAAAAGCGAAAAACAAATCGGAATGAGTGGGCGTGCTTTGCATACGAAACGCGGCTGAATATCCATCCATCGATCGGCTTGGAATCTTGAAATGACCCACAAAAACTGCCGGGTTCGGTTTTAGAAAATTATAAAGACAGGTTCTGTCGCCCGAATCATGTTTATTTCGTTTTCAGAACGTTCAGCCATCAGATCTTATCGGCTTGGATAAGTTACTAACTATGTACAGGAAACTAGTAAGTCTCAAGCGTTTCTCCGCGGAGAAGTCGATGCACTTGCTCAAAGATGATGAGGCCTCGCCATCGGTGGCCATTTCAGGTGGTGCTCCTGCTCCTCCTCCTGACCCACAGGTCTTGGGCGGGTCAGATCCAGGATGCTGCCGAGGAGGTCGATGTGCCGCCTGCCCACCGGGCTGCACCACCACCGCAGGCAGCTGGAGCTGCTGCTCCCCCGCAGCCACTGGGGCCACCACCACCTGTGGGCTCTGCACCGCCGCCGAGCTTTCCTTTGTTCTACCCAGCTGCGTGGCTGCCATTCGGACGCTTCAGCGCCTCCATTCCCCTCCAGCCGGTGGCTGCCTGAGTGCTCCTCCCACCACCCACCATAAACTGGCCAAAGGACACGGCTGTCCCTCCTGTTGAATGCATTCGCCCGTTACTGTTACTCATTTTGTTATTGCCCGCTTCGAATGAAATATATATTTTTAGATACCTTATGCATAATTATTTAAACTCATGGCTGACGCAACTTTCAGTTGGCACTTTTTAAATGGCCAACACGTGATTCTCCTACGAGAGATGCTCGGTATCTACAAATCTTGAGGATTTGTGTTTGCATTTTGTCAATGGATTATGACGCAACTCATCTGGCATTTGTTGAGCGCATTTCCGCATTTTTTGTAAACAGAATGGGGTGGAATAAGGAGTTCAATGGCTTGAACCTCATCTATCAACATGCAATAACTAATTTAGAGGACTATTTTCAACAAGAAAATTATGCCTTTAATTTGTGTCAGATATAAATTAAATTATTTTTACAAAAATATTGTATATTTTAAGAAAGAAAATAAACATTTTTTTTATTTAACCTGAAATAAATAATAATAATACATTTTCTTGAAATTTAAATAAATTTGTAAAACGTATAAACAGTAAAACATTTTTATTTTTTTTTCCTCTCTGTAAACTCTTTTGAAAATGTTGTTTGTTTTTTTAAATCTTAAAGTTTTTTAAATATTAATTTTTTAAAAGATTTTCTTATTTTAAATATCACTAACCACTAACCAAAACATAAAAGTCTGAAAATATTTTTGTTACCACAGGTAAAGTCATATTATCCTTATCATTCTATAAATAGTAAAAACCACAAAATGCTTTCATAAAATTGAGGATTTAGATACACCCACGAAAGCCTTTCTAAGAAAACTGGTTTTAAGCTTTTGTTTTATTTATTTTTATTTCCAATCAAGTGTATTTTTAGAGCATTTCGAATCCACGTTGAGTCCAGGCTAATCCCTCTTACAAAACGGTGGTGTAACCGGCGGTGTAGGGGTAGGCGGCATAGGGATAAGCGGAGTAGGCGGCGGCCACAGGGGCGGAGTAGGCAGCAGCAACGGGAGCGGTATAAGCAGCGGCAACGGGAGCGGTATAGGCGGCGGCCACAGGAGCGGTATAAGCGGCAGCAACAACAGGAGCAGCAGCAACGCCGTTGAAGTTGCGGGCGACGTACTGGGAACTGGTGGCAGTGACCACTCCCGCTGGAGCTGCAATCACGGGGGCGGCGGCCAGAACGGCGGGCTTGGGCTCAGCCACGGAGGAGGCCACCAGGGCGCACAGGACAACGAGGGCGGACTGCAAGAAAATAACGAGTTAAATCCTCTCCAGGAACCACGATTTACCCATAGAAACCCACCAGCTTGAACATGTTGGTTTAGTTTAGTTTGATTTGAGCTAGCAAATTGGACTACGACTTGATTCGCTCGGACATGCAACTTTTATAGCCCATCGGAACTCGCATAGGATGCTTGACTTTCTGGGCACACACGATAATCGGGCGAAGCGAATGATTCTATACCGCCTGCATGGGAATGCAGAGCGGCCTTTCAGTGGCTCAATTTGCCGTTTGGCTACGTGCCCGCCGCCCACGGAGGTCGAATCGGAATCTGAATCGGAATAGGACTGGGAATCGGATTCCAAATCCATCTATTATTTCGGGCACGTACGCATTGTGGGCCCATAAAAGTTGTCGCCGCGAAGGTAACCAGTAGCCCGCTGTGATTGATGCCACCACACAAAGCTAATTGCCGATGAGTAACCTCTTGTGCCAAGAGTTGGCCAGGAATCAATGAAACTGAATGCCTCAATCGGATTGCGATTGCATTGTTTCAGGGTTACATTCGGTTCGTTCGGTTGCGTTCGCCGATATGCAATCGATTTTATGCAATCGAGTTACAGATCCTGCGTTGCCAAAATCTAATCTTCTTTACTGACGAAACGCCCACTGGCTGAAAATGCCAGTTACGCGCGTTCTCGGCTCGAAAGGTCATTAAACTGAAGGGAGCGATGCAATTTCGAGGGGGTCGAAAGCTATCAGTACGACTATAGTTGGCAGACAGCTTAAGTTACCAACCATTCAGAAGCGAAGCGTGCCCATGTGATTGCATATCGCTGGTTGGAAAAAGAATCCAGACAGATAGAGGGTCTAAAAGCGGAATTGTATTGTAGCTATGATAAGGCTTATAATACCCTCGGCTTAATTGATTATTTAAAATTTAAAATAAATAATAATAATATTTGTTTAATATTCTATTCAGATATGGTAAAGAAAATGTATCAACAATAGGCTTTTAACCATGAAAAATAAGTTTCTTAATATGTACATTTTTCTGTTTTATTTTTTTTTAATTTTCTGCCACCAGCTGCAAGAAGTAATATTAATATTATTTTTTAAGAGCATCTAATGAATGCAAATTTTTCATTTCCTTACGAAAACTTTATGCATCCCTAGCACTCGCAAGAGTACATACGTAAACCAAACAAAACAAAGTGCAGACCGACAATTTTTATCTTCGTAGCGCTGGACTACTGAAAGCCGGGCAATCTTTAAGGGAGCCAGATAAAGTCGTGTATATATGTATACATATATTGATTGGAAGCTGGAGTGTAGTCGGCGAATTTGCAATGCTGCAGTTTACATTGCTGATTGACGGCGAGCGGTTCTCGAATAAATGATGAATAAATCGCGCAGGATCCCGGTTCTGATCCTTATTTTTGCCCTAACGATATGTGAATGTGATGCCAACGGAGGGGATATTCCCCTGCGTTGCGACGAATACGATTCCATGGGATTTATGGATGTGAACGAGGCCTTCTGCACGGTCACCGGATTCACGGTCACCCACAGTCAGAATATCGTGATCAAGAACATACCACCCGGCAACATGGTCAAGTTCATGAAGTTCTACGAATCGACGCTGCTCTACATGCCCTTCCATCTCTTCGAAACGTTTCCCTATCTCAAGACCCTGGACGTCTCGAACACGAATATCCTGGAGCTGACCAGGAATGCCTTTAGTGCGGCCAGCAATCTGACCTATCTGAATCTGGCCTACAACAATCTGACCTCCATCCAGACCTCCGTGTTCATTGGAGCCAATGTCCTAATGCGCTTGGACCTGTCCTACAATGAGATCTCCTCGTTGAGTGTAAATGCCTTCTGTGGCCTGCAGACCATCAGCCAGATCTTTTTAACCGGAAATCGCTTAACAGAGCTGCACAGTGATATTTTCAAGGACAACGAGTACTTGGAGAAGGTGTCCTTTGAGGGCAACCAGCTGACCAGCATTCAACCGGAGATTTTCCGCAATATGCGGCGCATTAAGGAGGTGAATCTCTCCAACAATCGGCTGGTTTTCATCCATCCAGACACCTTTGCCGATGCTGCGAGCCTGGAGAATCTGGTGTTGTCCTACAACGAGCTGAAGAACTTCCAGCTGACGGAGAAGAACATTGTGCATCAGCTGCACTTGGATAATAATAATCTGACAAACCTGACCATTAATGCCACGCGATTTGTGCGCGCCAGTCACAATCAGATTTCTCAGCTCTTCCTGCACCAAAGTCTGCACATCGAAACATTGGATTTAAGTGCCAACAAACTGACTGGCATCTCGAACATTACGAATATCACATATTTGCTTTATCTGGATGTCTCGGATAATCCCATTGGCCCCCTGAACATCAGCACTTTTTCCCAACTCAAGAGGTTGAGGGGACTGAATCTGCGAGCCACTGGCATTCGGGAGCTCAAGTTTGGTATGTTTTCGAAGCAGAAGTACTTGGAGGAACTGGACCTGTCGTTCAACAACCTGACCAGCCTCAATCTGGACATGTTTGTGCCGTACCTGACCAATCTGAAAAAGTTCCTGGTAGACGGCAACGGGCTGACTGAGCTGCAGGGAAATCGCTCGTTTTCCGACGCCTTTCCGCAGCTCCAGAAACTGGGAGTTTCGCGGAACCGCTTCAATTGCTCCTACCTGCACCACCTGCTCATTCCGCCCTCGCTGCCCGAGTCCGTGGTGCTGAACATCGAACCGGACGCCAATCTGGAGGAGACCCCGCACATCCGGGACGTGTCCTGCATCAGTCAATCGCAACGGCTGGCCAATGCCTCCTTCATTGCCGAGGAGTCGCGCCTCGAGTCGCAGATCCGCATTTTGTCAAAGCAGCTGGAGGTGGTCGAATTTCACTCGGAGAATCTGGGCCTTCATCTGGTTTTCATGCAGGCCTTCGCCTATGTGCTTGGTTGTATAGTGCTAGTTGGCGTGGTGGCGCTGATAACCCTCCGGTATCTGAAGAATCGCCGATCGGGTCGATACGATCGCAGCAGCATTGTCTTCCGCTCGAACGCCACAATGGAAGCTAATCTCACCCTGGGTAGTGCCGATCTTCAGTAGTCCCGCAAAGCCTTAAAATAAATGTATTCTTTTTTATTGAAAAGTAGAAATTACAACATAATAATTGTAAAATGATTTAAAGTCTTGCCAAAAATTGTGAGTTAAATATCGTAATTCGTAAAATAATTTCTATAAGTGAAACATTTTTATTGTTTAACTAAAATACATATTTTAAGAAGTAAACTTAAGTTCTTGCCTTCAAAGATCTTTAAATAAACGTTAATCGTTTGTTATATTTAAAAACTGAACAAAGTACTGAGTTGTATTTACAAACAAAATGAAACAGAAGAAATGCGGAAGAGAAATTGATAAGGTAAAGAAGGAGAAGAAATACTCGTTGGTTTATCTGAAGCGACCTTGCACCCAGAGATCTGACTTCCTGCATGCCTTTAAGCTCTGATAACTACTAGCATTCAAAAGCCGTTAAACAATTATCAATTGCAATTTGAATTTACAGATTAACTAATAATTTTGTTTGTCAATACTTGTATGTGCTTTTCCTCATTAAACCGCTAAATAGTTACCCTTTTGAAACATACCTAAAAGTAAAGGAAACATTTTAAGGCACATTCTTTATAAGATTAGACCTTAAAAAGGGTTAAAAAAAATATTATTTTTAGTGAAACTAAAAGTTAGTAAAATAAATATTTTTTACAAAATAAAAAACTTTGTTTCGGTTCTTAAATTTTTTTATTTTTTTCAATTTTGGTTTGCGTTGTCCTATAAATTCCAGTAAATCCTCGATCACTCAACCTACTTCTTCAGCAGCAGGGGAGCGGTGTAGGGAGCAGCGACGTAGGGAGATGCCACATATGGAGACGCCACATAGGGAGATGCCACATAGGGAGATGCCACATATGGAGACGCCACATAGGGAGATGCCACGTAGGGAGCCGCGAAGTTTCCGTGGTATTCCCGGCTGTAAACCGCAGCCGCAGGAGCAGCAGCCACCAGAGGAGCGGAGTAGGCCAGAGGAGCCACGATTCCTGGCTTTGCAGCCACGCAGGCAATTAGAGCGAAGAGGGCGACGGCGAAGAACTTGAACATCTTGGTGGATTTGGTTGTTTTGATTTGCTGGCAAACGAAACTGATGACAATTGCTGGATGAACACGGCGTTTTATACCCGCCGGACCACCCACAATTAGCCTTGGCACTTTGGCTGTGTACTTATATTTCTTGGCCCACCGTTTAATTAGCCAAAGTACTCGCACTTAAAATCGTTCGCCGAAGCCAACTGCGCATAGAGTGAGTAAGTACGTGACTGGCCTGAGCAACATAATTTAGTTTTCGGCCGGAGGCCTTGCAAGGTCGTCCGATGGGCACTCCGTTGTGTTTTGGGGCTATAAAAGCCGCTACTCCGGACTGTTTTAGACATCAGTTGCATTTGTTCAGTTCGACAAGTAAAACCAAAACAAACAAATCCTACCAAGATGTTCAAGTTCGTCGCCGCCGTCGTCTTCGCTCTGTTTGCCTGCGTGGCCGCCAAGCCCGGAATCGTGGCTCCTCTGGCCTACTCCGCCCCCTACGTGGCCTCTCCCTACGTGGCATCTCCCTACGTGGCTGCTCCATACACTGCTGCCTATGCCGCCCCCTACACCGCCGCCTACACCGCCTCCTACGCCGCTCCCTACGCCGCCGCCTACACTTCCCCCTATGCCGCCGCCTACACCGCCCCCCTGCTGCTGAAGAAGTAGATTCCCGGAAGGATGATCCGCATCGCAGGATAACAGATGGACACTCGCAATGAAACTGAAATAAACTCGAAAACAATCGAACACATTTGTCTTTTAATTAAGGGGAAAGGGGGATGTACTCGGGACAACATTTTACAGCTTTGGAAAAAGAGCTCAAAAATAAAATGTTGAAGAAATATATTCGCCTACGAAATTGCGCAAGAAGAACCTTAGATAAGTTGTCTAACCATCCTACTTAATAGAAAATTTAAGCATATTCATATATTGGCTTTAAAAATATTACATACTTTTAAACTGTGTTTTGTAATCATAAATAATTGCTTTTATTGATATATTTTAATGAAATTAAATGAAGATTTTTGTATTATTTCAAAAATATTTATAAATAAATATTCTTATTTAATATACAACCTTTTTAAGCTTTAAATAAGAACAGACATTCAAACATTTAAATTTCTACCGGTTAGTTTAAAATAAATATATCGACCGCTATAATTTTGATTTTATTTTTGCTACTTTATTTTAAACTACTTATGTATTTTATTTTATTTTATCATTATTTTCCACATTTTTATGAATACAGCAAAAACAATCCTAAAAGTTATATAACAGGCCACCACAGTAAACTAAGTGAAACAAAAGAATCCTACCACAAACTAATAATAATTAAAGATAATTATCCTTTTTCCGCACACATGTTTCCGGGCGTGCAGCCATTTTAGTCCGGACACAACACACAGCGCTTAGACAATGCAACGTGCTGCGTTTAAAATTAGATGCCGTGGAGTATACGTAATCTGCGGCAAATCAGAAACAGAACCACCCGATTCGTACAAAGGGTTTGCATTTATTTTGAATTATATAAAATTCAGTTTAATTCAAATTATAATACCCCTCAGCCCAGAAGTATGTTATTGATTTGGCCCAGCGGTGTGTTAACCCTTAGTCCGCGCATTGTAGTTGACCAGACTGCGACTTTTGCTGAAACCGATGCTATTGAACACCTGCAGGTTGGCTGACCAGCCCAGGGTGAATGAAATGTTTCCGAAGGGGTCAAGAACCACCTTGTTCTTCACGGGCTTCTGTTTCTGGTGGTTCTTTTTGGCATTGCTCTGCAGTTGGTTGAACGCACTGTACAGTGAAGTCGGCGGATGCTGCACGAACTGCTGAACGCCGTTGACGAACTTGTTTACTTCGCCGAAAAAATCATTATTGTTGTAGAATTTGGCGGGGTCGTCAATGAATTGAATGGCTTCAATTGGTTCCTGGTAAAATGTTTCCTCTCTTAACTCCAGATTCCGGGAAACTTGAGTTGGTAGAAGAATATACATCGACTGACACCAATTCACATTCATTAAAAGTAGCAAAACAAAAAAAAACTGTTAAAAAGAAAACAAACATTTTTAAAGTCAATATTATTTGAATATTTGTTTTATAAAATCTTTTAATGTCAGAATAAACATATACAGGTTCTAATCGATTTAGAAAACAGAATCGATAAAGAAAGCCCTAAAAATTGCAGTTAAAATTTAAAAGCCTTTGTAAAAAAATATTAAAATAGTAAAAAAGGTTTTAAAATGACAAGTTAACAATTGAACAAGAAATAAGAATCTAAAATTTATACTAAATGTTTATGCATTAGAATACCCAAAGTTTTTCTTAGTGCACTTACAGCCAACATATCTCCTGTGACTCCGAACGATTACTAAGCTAAAGGAGGACAACAGCAGAGGCTTAAATACCCCTTGGGATGGAACCTTCCCTCCCTCCGAAATAAGGCAAATTATGACACATAAATTTCAGACCAATTTCAGAACTTTATTCGAGGCATGTCCGTCAAAGAGGTGGCTAAACTCCGGGGAATAGCTGAGGGCGACAGGTGGAGCACCTGTCGGCTGCTTGAGGACGCCTATTTGTGAGCTGGCTCCTCCCTAGATCCAACCGTAGCCATGTCCATGACCATGTCCATGTCCATATCCCCCGTAGCCGATGGGATGCACAACGCTGTGCGAGGTGGTCCAGATGGGCTGGATCACGCGCACCGAGGGCAGACTGTGGTACGAGTGGGTCAGGATGGGCGACGAGTGCAGCAATCCTGGGGCGGCGCAGCTCAAAGCCAGGCAGAAGGCGAGGAAGACGAACTGGGGGGCGGAAAGAGGTGGTCACTTAATTAACTCCTTTCGGGCGATGGAAATCCTCAGGAAATCCTTACCAGCTTGAACATTTTGAGTGGGCTTTGATTACTGAAGAAGAACTTCTTAAGATGGAAACTCCAAGTGGAACTCGTTGAGAAGCTGCCAAAAGATGCTTTGATGGCTGGTTGAGCGCGTTGCGAGTTTATATAAGCCAAGAAGCCCCAGCAATCGCTCGGCCTTGGTCCGATACCCAAAACCCTAAGAGTCTCTTTGAAATCTTAGCGGACGCGGAGTGCTCAGATTTCCCAGTGAGTGACTGACTGACTTCGGCTTGCAGTTGCCGCCCACCCACTGCAAATTGCACCACAAACTCTTGTGATTGTGATATTGGCTAGTACGCACCGCAGAGCTCCAAAAAAAAATTAAGAAAAACTGCGCAATTCTCCGTTCGAATAACAAATCAACAAACCCGCAAAAATACGAAAACATTCTTGCGGAATTATATGCATGGTACAAACAATAAACTCATTTAATTGATTTCGGCGTGGGAGTTTGTTTTCATTGGTTCCAAGACAAAGGGAAACTTGGCCATTTTTCTCCCGCATTTCTCTCAACCCACACTGACCTTGAAAGCCTCTCGAAGGAGGCGGGAAAATACCGGAAGTGCGTCTCAATTCCGGACGCACTTAATTGTTTATTTTGGGGCCAAGAGCAAGACCCAAACCAAATCGATGGAAGTAAACAAAAGGAAAGGAGATGCGAGCATTTGCGACTTAGCGAAGGCCAAGGAGTAAAAAGTACACGTTGAAGAATTTTTAGCAAATGGAATTTAAATAACTAAATAGACCAGTATGTAAAAAATTAAAAATATATTATGTGTCCGGGTAAAGTCAATATTTATTTGCAGGATCCAATACTATTTTGTTTCACCAATTATTTGGAAATTATTTTAAATCTTTTAAGGGATTTTGTCCAAGGGCAGACTAATTCTTCTACATTTTTAAAATAGGGTACATCACGTTTTCTTTTTATATGTCGGAGATTACCGGATTTTAATTTAGTTTTTCAAGACATGAGTGAATACAATTGTTCGTATCATTTGCTGGACTAGAAATTACGAAAATACTAAGAAAGTGGAAAAAAAAAGAAAATAAAATTAAATTAATGTAAAATTAAAAAAACTAGTTAGTACAAAATTTTAGACAAAGGCTCTTGACTTTTTTGCGAGTGAATAGAAGGTTGTGGTGCAAAGCAAGAAAAAGGTAGCTGGAATGCTGGTGGCAAGAACCAAAGGTGCCCCTTGCGGTTTCACTGTCTTGTCAGCGGACTCACGACCATCCGATTCGCATCTGGATTCTGATTCTGATGCTGAGTGGCAGGGAACGAGTTCCACTGGCAATTGCAATTGCAACTGGCCCATTCAAAGTGAGTTAAGGGCTTCTTTCATTTGCCGCCTGCTGAGGCAAATGCCTTTGACCTTGGCTAAAGTGAAGGTCCGTTTGTTAGTGGGCAGCTATAAAAGGCCGGGAACAGCGAGGAATGGGCATTCAGTTGGATAGGTGATCTCCAAGGAATTGCAACGAGAGAAAATGAAGCTGGTGAGATCGGGAACCGTTCTTGAGTTTCTAAATATATTAAACAATTTACATTTACCAGCTAATCTTCGCCTGTTTGCTTGGCCTGGCTTTGAGCCACGAGGTGTATTACTACACCCCAACCTATGGGTATTACCCCAGTACTTTCGCAAGGACCTCGCCCGTCCTGCCCCTGGCCTATTCCCGTCTGATTGCCCCGGCAGCCGCCGAATCGCATCTGTACCACAGCGTGGAGACCCCGAACTCCTTCCAGCAGCAATATCGCAGCGACTACAAGCCCCTGACCTATCAGTATCTCTACTAGAAGCTGGGCAGGCCAAACTGTAACCAAGTGAAATTTGAATAAAGTTCGACCACTCCTCATCGAAGGGGTTTAACTCTGGATAACCCCATTGTTTTGAGCTGTCTGTGAAAACAACTTTCCTACTTCCCCCAAAAATCCAAAAAAAAAAACCAAGTGACCTAGGTCACCCGCTGTCTGTTGAACTCGGCCTCCTATTGTTCAGATATAAAGCCCCAACAATGGCTGGCTATATCGAATAGCTCCGCCCTTGGCCACAGTTGTTCACCTATGTCCTGTGCCTGTGCCCCAGGAGGCCTGTCTAAATTTAACAACACTACAAAGTGGCCACAAATCAAGACTCACATCGTGACGTACGACGACGGGCGAAGAGAAGCCCTAGAATCTATCGCAATATGCAATGTGACCGCACAGAAAGCTGCGTGGAAGACGCCTTCCACAACTTTTGCCGTTTGGTGCGTGGTTTGCGGATCCTGAAAAGAACTTGAGAACGTGACCGGGGGCTGTCACATGTTATCCACCCATGGGACGTAGGCAAAAGGCGCAGAACGGAAACCGAATGCCATCGAATGGCCCACATTAATTAACATTTGATTGGCAATGAATACTCTCCAGGTATTTACGCAGGCTAATATTGAACACTTAAACAGCTTTGTCACCACTTGTCGATGTCCTTGGAACTTGAACAAATCCTCTTTGCCTCCCACTATAACTAAACAATTAATTAATTGCATTTGCATAACACCTTTGGTCAAAAGGTGTGAGAAATGTTAAACCTATTATTTTTTTCTGCAAATCTTTTACATTACTTTTGGTTAAAGACTTAATAAATACAAATTATATTTTCTGGGTGCCAAAATATTTAAATAATCTTAAAAATGAGTTAAATTTTGATTCACATTCAATAATAATAAAAGAACATTTAATAATAAAACCATCTTAATAAGAAATGTACAAAATTTGTATTATGAATAGAGATTTGCATTTCGTGGGCTTTTAGGTTGAAGCCAGTACCATTCTTATTAGAAAAGAAAATAAATGAATATTCGATACATCAAAATTACTATAGTAGAAATATAAATTAAAATTAAATAAGTCTACAAAAATGTTCATAATTTTAGGGAAAATATAAAAACACATTTAAATCTTCTTATTATTATTTTTTTTTAAATGCCAATAAAAGTAAAATAACACATTATAGAAAAATAATTACAGCGTATTTAACTGCCCAGCAACCCGCTGATTGATGATTACGAAACTAGATTGAGTTCGCGTTCATTATGCAAAGCTAATCAGAAAGTACTCATCTGGCTAACAGATACCTCTGATTGGGTGGAATGCCGAGGGAAGGTGGCATCAATATCAGCTTACTAGAGCCCATCATTTCCATGGAAGGGAAAACCTGTTCCTGCCAAAGGAGCAGGAGTACCTTCAACGCCATCTGCATCGGCATCTGATGCGGTCCATGGAAAAGTTCAAGGTTTTACAATGTCCAATTAATGGCTAAAGAAATACCAGCCGACCAGGCAGGCAAATCTATGCGAACAACAAACTTACATTGCTCAGCTAAATAAATACACTAGAAACATAGTTATAAATGTTTTTTAGAAATTTAAAAAGAAAAAAAGGAGTTTCATTAACAGAAAAACAATCAAAAATGTTCTTAATTAGTTTGTTTGAAGGATGTAGGCAAGTACATTAACCTTCCCTGAAATATATTTTATTTATAAATAAATTAATATATTTAAAACTAGATTTAAGACCTTAAACTTTTTCGGCGTGCAGCTGGCCAAGGAATGAACTGAATTTAGAACGTGCTGCAGGGAGTGGACCCCCGGCAAGTTGTTTACCCAATATAAAAACAGGCTTTGGGTCCCGGGAACCGGGAAGCTTTGGATATAAAAGGTCTTTGGGAGTGCAGAGAGGAGCTCAAAGTGAAAACGACTCTGGACGACGTAGTTTGCTGGTTAAAGAGAAAATGCGCACTTATCTTTGGGTAGGCAATCGATTCCCTCCTCGAGCTGAGTAGCACCACTCACTTCACCTTCTCCCGTTGCAGTTAGCAGTGCTCCTGGCGGTGGCCACCACCACCTGCTTCAAGGCCAAGCCGCTGGTCTCCTTCGGTGTCAGCTATCAGCAGCCCTACGTGGGACCCCAGCCGGGACCCTATTACTACGGAGGAGGAGTACCCTACTACCAGAACTACCACAACAGCCCGGGACCCTACGGCTACCCCTATCCGTATGCCAATCGCTATGGCGCCCTCGATCTCGGAATCGGCGCCCTGTCGCTGTCCTCATTCCTCCTTTGATTCTGATTTTCATTCCGATTCCGCATAAAAGCCAAGAGCCACGGCAAATAGAAGCGAAAATCGTACAAAAGTCTTTTCACTATTTTCCTAGGCACGCACTGTTAAGCCTTGTTTTTCAGCCCAGGTCAGGTTGATATATATATTGAACTATATAGTGCTGGGTGGACTTCGAGTACGTGACATATCCCCGGGCACTTTGGTGACCCAGTGACTGATTTTCTGGATTTTCGATTTCCGGTCACAAAACCCTTTTGATTGATTCGGATTTTAAGTTCATGTGGGTGTCAGAATAATGTTGTCTATATTAGTTCTAAATTTCCTCCCTTCGAAATGATTCAGTCGGCGTATTTTAAGCAACGACCTTTTCGATCTACCGATTATGCTAATGTCCTCGACGGTGTCTCTCATTTATTTATAGCAGTTGTGTCTTCGGGTGGCTCTGCATAACCGAAATGCGTTTGCAAAACGTGCAAACGCAGCTTGAGTCCCAAGGCGAAGGAGATGCAACCTGTGGGGCGAAGCACATAATTGCAGCCACTATCAGGGATTAAAGGAATTCCTCATCCACACACTGCCACTCGTGATTTCCGGACACATGGCGATAAGTTTGAGATGCGACACTTGCACGTTACGTTGAGCATGTGCCCATTTTAGCCATTTCTTGACCCAAGTCTTGAACTATTAAAGTGTGCGCCCAACTTGCTCGTGTAAAGGTGTTGGGCGTGGCACACTGAACGAAAAACATGATTAGTGGCTGGTATGACGACCAATAACAACAAAAAGTAGATTCAGATTTCTAAAGATTTTTTGTTGTATTGCTGCTTCCTTAGTACTTTATTTTGACCCTCTTATTTCAAATACACACCTGCTTAAACAAATCTAAAATTGTATTTATATTATCCAAATAATGTTAAATAGAAAAATCGTTAAGCTGATATGTTATCTAAAGTGAAAAATGTTATTATTTAATCTAATCCATTTAAAAAAAAAACAGAATACCTATGCTGCCAACCTTAAAAAGCTTAATCAAACGCACAATGCCTACATCATGTTGTTCATAAATTGGACATTTCAAAAATAAGACAAACATTTTAACAAAATGAATTTCTTGTAAAATATTTAAATGATACTCATGAAACCGTTCTCTTGTTTGGTGATTATTATAAAAAAGACTCCAAATCCCGACCAGTAATTTCTGGAAGCAGTCTACCGCTTCCCTTTTGGAATCACTACTATTTTTTGGGTAGTGCTCACAAGGAACCTCGTCGCTCGGGTGAATGACGTGCACGGATCACGTTCCCCATCACGCACAACAATGCTAAAAACTCAAAAGTGCAACCAGCGACGCCCAAGGTGTTGTTAGCTGGCTTTGTTGGCCTGGCTGAAAGGGAAGGCATCAGCAGTCACGTTGAGCGGAAAAGCCCGAGGCGAGCAACAGGTTTTCCAACTCGCAAGGCGAAAAAGCTCCAGCTTGTCCTGTGAGTCCTGTGTAGTGTCCTTCTCGACGGCACACAGGGCACTGATTTCCGACGGGTGTGTGTCAGTATGGCAGGCGAATCGGGATCGGCCACCCGAAGCCACAAACGAACCCTCGGCAGTGTCCTCGTGGGGGCGAAGGTTAGGATGCGAAGCTGCCACGACATTGAGGAGCTGTATAAAAGCGGGTGCCCAGCGCCTGCCACTGGTAGTCTTCATCGAGACTTCAGCGGTTCGCGTTAGCCAGAAAAAAGTTGCTTTGAAAATAAGAAAACTAAAAGCTGAAAACTAAGAACTCGAACTGAAATACTGTGCCAGTGCCACAAGAAAAGTGAACTTAGAAACATTTAAAAAAATTAAATAAAATTCGAACCATGGATACTCTGTCACCCAACAATGGCTCCAAGTCGAGTTCCAGCGGCAGTTCGGCGGCCAGCTCCTCCATGGATCTCGGCAAGCAGCAGCAGAAGGAGCAGAAGCTGCATCGCCACCCCAGGAATGGGCCCAAGAAGCTGTCCCGCTCCAGAAGTCTGCTGCAGCTGCTCAGCAGGCATCTGGGCAGGCACTTCCACCACCAGAACCACCAGAACGAGACGGTCTACAGCAGCCAGGACGACATCAGGAGCAGCTCCACGGACTCGTTCAGCCTGAGCTACGAGCGGGGCAGCCACGAGTGTCCCATCAATGGTTCTTCCCTGGATTTGGAACACACCTCGCGCACTTCGAGTGCCTCGGCCTGCTCCAGATATTCACCAGGACTGGATTACTACGACCAGCAGGGACACATCTATGTGGAGGCCGTCTACAGGCCAGGCAGCGCCATGGAGCAACTGCATCCGCAGCTGCACTTCGAGGAGGACACCAGCGAGGAGGGCAGCGGCAATGAGGCGGAGGACGAGGTGGAGCTGCGGCACGACGAGAACGAGAACAGCAAACCGCGATCCGCCTCAGCCGCCTCTGCCAAGTCGCCGGGACTGCATCTCAGCAGGATCTCCATCTCCTCATCGGTGAGCCGCATGCTGCAGCACTTCTCCACTTCCACGGGAAACGCCTCGATGCGATCGCTGTCCTGCAGCAGCACTCCCCTGCGGCAGCCCAAGAAGTCCCTGTCGCCGAACAACTCGAACAGCAGCAGCAGTAGCAGCTCCAGCCACAAGTCCTCCGGCGCCCCCGCCTCCAAGAAGGAGAAGAAGCAGCAGAGCATCCTTCGGCCGCCGGTCCAGTATGTCTCCATGAAGGGCATGTCGGGCCTGTATTCCCGGGTGCCCAGCTACGCTGTCTGCTATCCCTACACCCTGCAGCATATGTACTAAAATTAAAAAAAAATGCCTAATATGAGGGAGAAATCACAGAGAGCTGCAAGCTGGTTGGGGGTCTTGAACAATATACTTAGGAATTTCTAGTGATGTACGAGTAGTGCCTGAAAAAACCGAGATTTGAGTAGAGGGAAAACGGAAAATAAGGGGGTTTACAACCGAAAAAAAATAAAAACAGAAGAGCAGCCAACATATTTTATAAATGTGTCAAAGCTTAGGCCCAATAAGTGTACCTAGAGAATCAAAAACCTATCTATGTGCTACGATATACACCTTAGATGATCTAATTGTCTTCGGCTAATCTAGGGACTTTCAGTTTACAAACGAATACAAATTAAATTTAGCTTAAAGTCAAACGAAATGTTATTTAGAAGCCCCTCACATATCTTTCGAAAGTAGCTCTTGAAACCACAGTTTTTGAGCCCTTAAGTTCAACCGTTTCAGTATACTTTGAAAACAAAACAAATTTTTGCACTTTTGAACTAGTTTAACAAATATATTTTGCACTGATTTCAATGACTATTAAGAACAAAACAAAATTTTACGAATTTATACAACGGAAAATTCTTAAGAACACACTAATAGAGGAACATTTTACAATAATTCACATTCCAATAAATCGAAACTTTTTTAAAACCAAACCAATTATTCTAAACAATGAAATATCATGATGAATTGTAAATGGTATTGTAGATGATAATGAAAACTTAGCGAAAATGTTTAGAGCCTATATATTTTTAGATCCTAACTAAACAGAGATAACCTAACACTTAAGTCTAGTTGTCAATAAAATAAAATATACATGAATATGAAAAAACGAAACCAAAATGATTTTAATTGCATTCAAGGTGAAGGGAAGACAAAGCGAATGAACCGAATTGCATTGGCCAAGGAGCTTCGATTCGTAACGGTTTGGCGAAAGCTAAAGGACACCGTTAACGTAGGCAAAAGCTCCGGCCGAAAGAGAGCGAGAGAGCACATCCTGCGAGAGAGAGAGAGAGAGAGAGAGAGGGGAGCACATCCTGCACGTGGCCTCCTTTTGTTTGGGTAACAGTCTGCGGCACTCTGTTCCCTGGGAACAGTGGCCTTTCGGGGCTGCCGATGATGTAGGCAAAGTCCTCAAAATCAAGTCGCCGAAGGACTCGACCTTATAGTTTTGACTGGCGCATATCATGTCCGTGTGACGTTAATCGTTACCGCTGCACTTGGCGGGCGTGACAAACGAAAGCGTTTAAAATTTGATGACACCTCAATTATTAAGGCTCTTCAAACCGAGGACGTTGGATGGACGCGATGGATGTGGGGCCCCTGCCCAAGCAATCGCTTCGAGGTCATTGTGTCTTTGAACCCTTTCTTGTATAATAGCCAGCCCATAATAAACAAGCCTCAAGCCCAAAGGGTTGGATATCCTTGGCACAGTTTGTCCTAAAAAATCAAATTAAAATGCATGATTTATCCGCAAACAAACAAAAGCCTTTAACCCGAATTTCTGTAAACAATGGGCGACAAATTGCTCTGTATCTTGGATAGTTTTATGACGCAGTTAGGAAATGAATTTCATATGTTTAAATTGATTGGTATCATTCGCTAGAAAACTGCGTTCTAATAAATGTCTTCCAGGAATTCGACAGGGATATGTTTCTGTGCATTGTTTCTGATTTTTCAATGGAAGGATACCAGAAACAAAGATAACATGCACGCATTCTAGGAATCCTGTGGAAAGAGGACTCTGTAATTACAATACAACAATCAACTATTCAAAGGTTATGGTTCAGCAAAATTGTTTAAAAGCTTTAGTAATTTCCTTAATCTAAATAAAATAGTTGTCATATATCTTAATGATATATCTATAATATATCTATAATGTTAAACATTTAAACATTTTATTGTTTATAAATATTTTATTTTCCATTCACTCTTAAAATCCAATTAAATTTTCAAGCTTTTTGAAATAATGGATAAATGATAAAAAAAACATAATAATTTAATCAAAGCTTAAAATGTACATGATGGCCTTCTAATTCCACTTAAAGTAATATATTTCTAGCATTAAATACAAAGACTTTTTTATTTAATGCCTTTTTAAGGCTTTTGTACTGCAAATCACTTAATGTTTTCCCAATATAATTAAAATCTTTCAAAGTTTATTTGAAAACTGGGGTCAATCGCCGGCAGGAAAACAGTTAAGCTTGTTCATTAATCTGTTGACAAAGTTGATTAAGCCGAAATGAGTTAATGCGCCGCTAAATGATTGCGACAAGCGCTTAACAAGTCGACGACAATGGAACCCCAGGCCCAAATTGAATTCCGAGTTGTGTCATTTTGGCCAAAACAAAATCGCTGGCCGCTCTGACGTCAGTTGGTGTCAACAATTGCGCCTCTAATTAGATGTTCGCCGCTTTTCTAGGCGGAGTGAGGAAAATCCCGCCGCTGTCGACACCTCCTGATTCCTAGCTTTTAGTACTGCCCATCTTTTGAATTTTCATGCCCCACCATTTTATCGTCTCGGAGTCAAAACAAAGGACTTCATTAAGCCGCCGCCGTCTTAGCCTGTCTTAAAATGCCTTCACACAAAATTGGCATTCGGCTTTATTTATAGCGCATTAAAATCAATTTTGGGCGCAATTAAATAAAAACCAACAACAAGAAAGGAGCAGGCCCAATCTATTTTCGACCCCCAAACTTAAGTGAGGTGAAATTTTGATAAAATATTGCTTCACCCAAAAGCCTCTTGGTTTCTTAAGAGCGCCGCCTAGAGTCCTTGAAAACTGTCATCGTCAAGGATATTTTTAGGCAAATCAGGCTCAGGTCTCTCAAGTACAAGCAGCAACAAGCCCCTCAGTTCTATTTTCGACAATGGCAAATTAAATCAACCAAGAAAGTCAAACGGAACAAAGTGAAATGAAAACGTCTAGCTGATTAATAATTGATGGCTCTGTGGGGAGAGAAAGGAAAACAATTAAAGGGAGTAGCAGGAGTGTCCCGAATTCCTTGGAATTCCGTCTCGAATAACAGATGCCTGCGAATCAATGGGATAATACTAACATTTTAACTAAAATGAAATGTTAATAAAAACATAAGATTTATAAACAAAAATAAATTATAGTACAATATTTTTTACAGTAAAGTTCTTCTAGTAGCCCAGTTCCACCTTAAAATAAAAGAAAGGTCATGATGATATTAAATATGAACTTAATTAAATAAATAAAATAGTGAAGATAATTTTTATCGAGTATATTAATCTTAAAATTGCAATCAAGTTATATAGGAAATATTAGCAGATGATTTTTTGGTAAATTCTTATTGCACTATGCACAATGCACTATTCCCCCTGATAATACCAGGTATTTGACCACCTAGAAGTGGCTGGAATCCAAAAGCAGACCGCGTGCATTGACACCACCTGGCGGCCAGCGGCGCAAACTCCGGGGGCAGTGCAAACAAAAAACAAAACAAACCAACGGCGGTAAACACAATTCGCTTCCCGTTTTATTATTAGGCAACGATGCAGGAACAAAGGATGTGGCAAGGAGCAGAGTTTTGGTGGCAGATGCCTTGCAGAGACACTCGCTCTCTCGAAGAGCCGCTCTCTCTCTTTTGCTCTCTCTAAGGACACTTTGCAGAGTGCCGGGCGAGGCTATAAAAGACAGCGGCTTCCGATTTGCCGACTCACAAGCGGCAGGACAACGTGCCCAGTCGGTTCTCTCTCGCTCTCGCTGGCCAAACAAAAGGAAGCAGGCAAAGGTAAACAGTGGACAAAGACACCGGCAAGGATAACAAAGGAAGTGGAGAGTATTCGCACCGGAAGCGGAAGTGCAGTGCTCAAAACAAGGAAATTACTCATACGCATCGTACGCCTACGAAATTACTCATACGCACCGCTGGTCAAAGAAGGAAGCCAAGAATTCACTGGCTGCACTCTTAATAAGGAAATTACGCATACGCACGGTTGGCAGCAGTCTGGTAATAAGGAAATTACCCATACGCCGGGTTGGCTTAACTGCAAGAAAAGATGGGCACTCCTCATGTCTGCTTCGCCGACGAGCAGCAGCAGCAGCACAAGACGGCCAGCAATGGCAGCCTGAACAACAACAATAGTAGCACCAGCAGTAGCAACCAACTAAATGTGGGCTACAACAACACGATGGGAACCGGAAACGGAACAGGAACCCCTTCGCCGGGCGGCAGCCTCAGCGTTTCGCCAACACCGCGCTACGAACGCAATCTGGGCTTCTTTCGGCAGCTCAGCCGCCGCTTCGGCCTGAGGTCGCAGGATGACCTAGTTCAGTCGGATGACGCAGCCAGCGTTGCAGCATCGCGAGGAGGAGCAGGAGGAGGAGGAGGCGGAGGAGTAGCTGGGGTCACGCTCCAGGAGGAGGACGCGCACAGTTCATCGACCGACTCGTGCTCCTCGGGGCGTGGCCTCGGCTCGGTGGCCCACCAGTCGCGACTGGAGCTCATGTCCATGTCGTGCGCCTCCAGCGAGACGAGCAGCACCCTGGACATCGAGGAGCAGCAGGAGCAACTGCAGCAGCAGCAGCCGAATGTGCAGCAACAATCGAAGAGGAAGCCCATTAACCGGGCCAGTTTCTCGCGACTCCATCGACGCTCCACATCCTCGCTGCGTCGCGCCTTCGAGAGCCTTTCGCTCACCTCGCGTTCGCTGTCCTGCAGCGGTCCCTCACCCCCGCCGCCGGCTCCTCCACCAGCAGCGGCTGCCTTGCCCCTAAAGTCGGCTCTCAAGTCCGCCTCAAATGTCGAGCTACACAAGCAACAACAACAGCAACACCAGCCAGCGGGCAGATCATCCTCATCGTCCTGCTGTTCGGCGTCCAAAAGCAAGGTGAAGCCCCCGCCCCAAAGGATCCTACGGCAGCCCGTCTCCTACACATATCTCAAAGGCATGTCCGGTCTGCCGACGCAGCGGGTGCCGCGCAGTTCGGTCTGCTGTCAGTACGCCAGGCGCTAAGGATCCAGTACTCAACTGAATATAGAAAGGATAACAAGCCAATAAGTAGAAAACACAGAGCGACAGAGAGAGTAAGCAGTATCAGGAACCACTAATCAGCTAGCTAAGCAATCATCTTGTTCTTAATTTATTTTGGGTTGAAAACTAATTAATTGCTGAAAAGTTATGTAGAAAATAGTCAATTTATTTAATTATTAAATTAAACCAATATTTTTATTGATTAATTTTTATATTCTCACTAAACATTTTAACATTATTTTAGACCTAATATAATTTAAAATTAGATATTTAGGCCACAAAAAACACAATTCTCAATTTGCAAAATTAGCCCCGTAAGATTTTAAATTATTTCGTAAATCTTATCTAAAATTAAGTAAAGTCCGCATTCAATACTTTAAGATCCTTGAAAACTTTTAGGTAAGTCTATAAAACCTGCAAGGTAAAGTAATGAAATGATTTATCTATTCGAAACATCATCTTCCACTTAACCTCCCCCACCCCCTCCTCTGGAATTCATTTCAAAATCTGTGATACAACAATCGTAACCCTGTCCCTGCAATCCCTAAAAAACCTTCCCTTCCAAGTCCATCGTATCCGAAAGCCTTCAATAAATCATCGGCAGATTTGAAAAAAATCTAACAAACTTACTCGATAAAGTTTTATAAAAAATTTGAATAACTTTTGCACTTAATATATATAAATTAAATCGTAGATACGTAGAATTCGTCAGATTAGAGCCACACATTTGTCACCGCTTTGATGCTAGATCAATATCATTCCACGCATACCAAAGACTGTAAACGCAAAACAAAATTGAAAAGAAATTAAGAAGTTTGATTGAATCGATTGGAAAAGTCACAATAGATTTCCTTTTTGTATAAATTCTTATACAATTCGTGCCTTTATCAAAAGTCAAAGCAAAACAAGATTCACGTAATAAACATTTGTTCCAAGAGAAATCACTTGTAAAGTATATTGTATGTATGATAAGTTTAAGTAACTTTCCTTTTTAACTGTTAAATGGGATCAAAATTTGTCAGGCATTTATCTATGTTCCGCAATCCTAACTGAATCAGCCAAGAACTCTCCTAGGAAACATAAATTATTTACCTTAAGTCTTTTTATTCAAATAAAAGTAATAATTTGCCAAGAGATTAACACATTCCAAGATATAATAAACCCAGCACTCCAGTAAGTAGAGTTCAGAAGTAGTCGATATATAGCAAGTCTAAAAGAGCCGCGAAACTGACTTAAGAGTATTCAATATATACATTACTTTAGCAGTTATACACATTTACAGTTTATAGAGAAAACAAGAGAGAACGCTATAGTCGGGTGCCCCGACTATCAGATACCCGTTACTCAGCTAAAGGGAGTGCGAAAGAGATGGAGAAAAACTTTGATCCGCCGTAACTTTTTAACGAATGGTCCGATTTAAAAAATTTCTTCTACATTTCGATAGGTATTGATAAACACAATAAAACTGCATTTTTACTTTTCCAAAATATTGAAATTTTTAAAATCGTATATATGCGATTGTGGGCGTTAGAGGGGGCGTGGCACCCTTTTGAAACAAACTTGCGCTGCGTAGGAACTCCTAGAATCTGCATGCAAAATGTCAATCTTCTAGCTTTTATAGTTTCCGAGATCTCAGCGTTCATACGGACAGACGGACAGACAGACAGACAGACAGACAGACAGACAGACGGACAGACGGACAGACGGACATGGCTAGATCGACTCGGCTAGTGATCCTGATCAAGAATATATATACTTTATGGGGTCGGAAACGCTTCCTTCTACCTGTTACATACTTTTGCACGAATACAATATACCCTTTTACTCTACGAGTAACGGGTATAACTATTAAATAAACCATGCAAACCAAGGCCTAACTATATATATACGAATGCCAACGCATTGAATCGCAAGCCAAAGCAATAAAAGTTGACGGATTATACAAAACAATATCAGCATTAATATACACATATATACAGCAGCATATACCTATTAATAACTATTTACCTAAGCAGCAGCAGGAGCAGCAAAGAATTGTAATCATCTGAAAGGCCAGTAGCCACAAAGCAAACAGAGTTCAATAAAAGTGAAATAATTTACACCAAAATGGAAGTGTTTTTATTAAATATGGGGCCACCTTTCATTTTATATCATCTCTATTTCCATATCACCAGCATAATTATCGTTTCCACATCAACCGAAACTTACACCCTCGTATACAGCTTACTTTATCTGCACTTCATCTTCTGGCGACACCAATCGAAAAGTTTTTCCATAAAAAAGTTGGCCAAAAATAGCTACAAATCAATGGCATATAGACATAATGATGATTATGTGGAAACTGCAATTAGGAGGGTCTGGCATGGAGCCCAACGCACGGGTGAACCTCCTATAATGGCCTAAGCTTCCTAAGCTCCGAACCCATCCACTAGAATATTGTGTTGTGTCCAAGAAAGTAGGTCAACGATTGAATTGCCATCAAGATATCTCTGTTGCTCCGCTACCACTTGTACTCGGTTGTCAAGACGCTGTACATTTTGATGGGGGATCCGTGCTGAATTTATAATGAGTCTGAAGATGTCTGAAGGCATTTGATTAATACGATTCCAACTGAACAGGCAGACAATAAATATCGAATAACCCGGACCCAAACCGCAGCCCACTGACAGTTTGATTTGACATCGGATCGGGAAAGAGGTTTGTATTTTGCATTGATTGATTTGTGGCTGAGCGACAGATTTCAAATTAATAGCGGGCTCCCGTTGGGAAATTGAAACCGAAACAATCATCATAAAAATCCATCTGTTTGGCAAATCAAATTAACGAAATTAGCAACGATATTAAGCATAACCACTGGAGAGTATTGGGCACCCCTGCCGATTTAATGGCCCTTCGAAGTTCCTGCCACTAAATGGCCGCCGCAGTCACGCACTCGATGCTCCTGCCGATTTGTTGTTCTGTTGTTTGCGGCTCAGCAACAAATTACTGGCAACTCACACACTCAATCACTTGGGCCGCCGACGTGACGTGACCGAAAAGATGATGAAAAATGTCAGAATCTAAATATTTTCACAACACAGCCCATATCACAGAATTGGCATGCTCACTAGTCGGAGAGCTAAAAATATCCTTTGACCTAATTCTCGTTGACAGTCGACAAATGTTGGGGCATTAAAGTGAGATAAAGAGATAGGCAACCAATTGTGGGACGACTACAGGGCGTATGTGTGATTTTTACAGCTGTGATTGTTGCTCATACGAAGCGTTGGCTGCTCTTTGGTTCCCATTTCGAATTTTGCTTCTCCCATTTCATTTTCCCAGTTGCCAGTTTGCCAGTTGAAATTGCAAATGCTCGTAACAATAAAGTGAGCATTTCCAGCCGGCAGCCGCAGTCACGTAATCATTTTGACAGCATCCAGGACTAGTTTCCCCCACAATTCACATCCTTTAATATACCATTCTCCAGCAGCTGTCTCTTCCGACCATGAGAATAGCTATTTTTAAGCATTTAATTAAGTGCCTGTCGTTGGGGTGAATATTTTTAGCATTTTCTTTGCTATTTCAATGCGGGCTTCGCTGGCGGTTTCACCCCAATCTTTTGGCTTAAGTTTCATCGCCACGCACGAGAGTATGAAAGTTCCGTTCTGCTTATTAATAATAAACGGAAATAATTTTTACATTCGTTTCTGCGGCGGAGTCTCGAGTTGCTCGCTTTATGGGACCCTCAAGGTAACGCACGGATTTCATGGGGGGAATCGAATACGGGTTTCCTTTTAACAGGCTACGCGGCATTAACTTCGCGCAGGGAGTCGGGGCCCTCAGCCTCCGACATTCGCCGTATTCCTCCTTATTCCTCCGCCCTTTTCCGCATTTTATTCATATGGAATGGGGCGACTCTTTATGAGGCAGGGCGTGTTAATTTGCTGCACGCGCCGGGCATGAAAAGCCAAGGCGACGGAGGGCAGGGGATCAAGGAAGCGGTCAACTTGTTGCCACTCTACTGATTTAAATTGATTGGGTGAGGGAAGTACCCTTAAGTTTTTAAGGAATTTTCAAGAATTTTTGCAATAATGTGTTATTTTTTTATTTGCTTTTTAAGATTTTAATTCAAATCATTACGAGTTTGTTTGGAATTTTAGAAGTTAATTGTTAAAACATCATACAAAAATATAGTTTCTTTATTAGAAAAAGGGCAAAGTTACGAAATTAAAACTGGCCTGTTGTTTACATTTCGAGCATATTGAATTGACATGTCCACATATCAAGTCAAAACTGATACCCCATATCATCAAATCAATCATCGTTTCATATTAATATTTTCCTTGGGTGTAAGTGATAATTTGATTTTAGTATAATTTTGTAATGTTAATTAATTTCAGTAACTTCAAACATTATTTCATAATTAATAATAAAGCTTTTAACTTTTTCCAGCCCCCTTTGTTGGCAACCTAGGTACTTTAGTACACTTACAGGGTACAAACATGCAGACCGCTGTTCGCAAACAGTAGCAAAATAATTAATCTTCTTTCTGGCTTCGCCACACATGAGGGTGGGGAAAACTTGAGGGCAAAACTCAAACGCGACAACTTGAAGAACAATCTGAACTTGCGGCCTACTTTGTCAACTTTTCGACTGTCTTTTAGTGGCGGCCTTCACTTTTGGCCACAAACACGATGCGGGGGAGGAGACACCCTGCATCATTTTCATTCTCGTTTTTATTTCCATTACATTCCCCGCTTATATGACTGCCGACGACTTCCATGTCAATATTTACTTGTATCTTGTTTACCTTTGCCATCTCATCATCAACATCAGCATGGCCTTTCCCCCCATCATATACCATATTTTTACGCTTGTTCTCATTTTTTATTGTGTATTTTTATTGCTCATGTTTCCTGCTCGTTATCTTTGTTGTTTCTGCCGCTTCTTAATGGCACTCGTCCTGTAATTTCATTTTTCAAGCAAGAACTGTGGGGGAAAGTGAAATTTAATGAAATTCTCAAGAGTCCCTTGGTTTTTGGGCAACACGAGCCGCTATTTTTAGTTCGAATTAAATCTTCGGCTATTGGCAGTCATGCATCCAGGACTGGGACATTTTCGGGGGCATTACTTATGCTAATTTGCACTTTGACCC